CCCCCCCCCCCCCCCCCCCCCCCCCCCCCCCCCCCCCCCCCCCCCCCCCCCCCCCCCCCCCCCGTATGACTGTTCAGGGTACGTTGACCATCAGGTTCCTACGCGAACGGAAAGCCATGCTGAACGTCGTGTCTCTTCCCCCAAAGAACAACGATCGGCACCAGGAGGCAAGACGGGAACAGGTTCCAGCCACGTATGTACAGAGAACAGCGGACAGAGGGTTACATGTAGTGCCAGGCAATGAGATCCAGACCATTTAGGCGAGCACCTTCATATTAGTAGTCTCAAGAAAAGGAGTTCGGTGTGCATATAATCCTGCCCAAGGACCGTGCGCGACTGCCGCCTGACTGAACTACCTGGTTGTTTGTCCTCCTCGTCTGCTCACGCTTCGAGTTTGTTCTTTGTCTTTGTGCATCATGTCGAATTCTGGGCCATCGTCGCCGCCGCGTCGGCTGGAGGACATGGACCCTGACTACATCAAGGAATCCAACTTTGGCGACATGATGGCCGTAAATGGCGTCGTGCAGTAAGTTCTGTTCCCAAGCCCAGCCGTGGGATGGCAATCTCATCTTGACTAACTTGGTATTCCTTCCACGCGGCAGCGGTATCGCCATGCTTGTTTTCATCCTTCGAATCTACACGCGCGGCTTCATGATCAAATCGTTTGGCTACGACGATGCGATGATGATCCTCGCCTGGGTATGTTCCGCGTCCCTTGACGCCCCTTGCCTCCCGCCATCAGGGAGAAGAGACTGACGACAACTTGGGATCGCAGGCCTTCCTCTTCTGCGGCGGTATGGTAGCACAGATCTACGCCGGATATAACGGGGCTCTCGGCCGCCACAAAGACGCGGTCATGGCCACAGATCCTTCCTTGATGGAAGTGTACGGCAAGATGTCTTTCGTCCAAGGCATCTGCGTGACAGTGACGGCCAACTGCTTGCTGAAGCTGTCCATCGGCATGTCCCTCTTACGTCTCAACTCCAACAAATGGTATAGACGGATTGTTTGGGGCCTCATCCGTACGTGAATCCACCATCTGCTGGAGCTCTCACCCTCTTCCTTCTTGGCGCTTGTCTCTGATAATGGGGCCCGCAGTCTTTGTGATTTGCTACTTGATCGAGGGCATCGCCACCGTCATGTCGTACTGCGATTCGCTCGAGGCGCATTGGGACCCCAAGGTGAGGGAGACGGCAAAATGCTACTCGGAGGACCTGCGCAACACTTTTGGCACCATGAACACCGCGTTCAATGTTTTTACCGACGTCATGTTCGCCAGCGTGCCAGTCCCCATGCTGTGGACTCTTCAGACCAAGCTCAAAGTGCGCCTGTACTTGATCGGTATTTTCAGCTTGGGTTATCTGTATGTCTGCCATTGATGCTTTCACACACTTCACCATTTTTCTCTGCGTATGTGCGTTCGGGGATCCACACTGATTCCATGGCAGCACCGTCGCCGTCGGCTTGGTCAAGATGTTCTACCAGCTTACAGGTCGTGACGACCCAGACAAGACGTTCAACAACAGGGTCCAATTCTATGGACTGTAAGCGTTGTCTTCCGCTTCTGGTGGCCCTTTTCATTGTGTGCTAACTCCTGACTGATACAGTCTCCAACTCAACGTCGGCATCCTCACCGCGTGCGCCCCGATGATCAAACCACTTGTCGCGAAAACACTCGGAATCCAGTCCTCGTCCGCCGTCTCCACGGCGCCCGTCTACGCCAGCAGCAGGAGCAGGCAAAGGCCCAACCCCGCGGGCTACGTCCGCGAGGACGGCGACCACGCCTTCGAGCTCGCCAAGTACGACGACGGACAGTATCACACAACCACCATCAGGGGGGGAGGAGGCGGCAGCGATGCCAACAGTGAGACGCATATCCTTCCCGACGGGTTGGAGTCGAAAGGCGTGGTGAAAACTACCCAAGTCATCGTAAACCGTGATCAAGAAGGAGGACAATCCCGCAGAAACGGCGCCCCCCCTTCGGCAAGGACAGATTTATGATGATATGTGAGCGGATGTAATTTCTTGTACCAACGGCGTTGAGAGGATATGATGAACTCTAATAACAGGCTGGTAGAATTCATACAACTGTATTGAAGCGCAGGAGGTTGCAAGCAGACAGACGTCCAAGAAACTTCTGCCTGATTGATGCATATAAGCACTGCACATTGTCCATCACGTTTATTCATCCTATTCAGCCTATTCTTCATGCTGTCAACGTGATTCCACAAGCCTCAGACTCCCAGTCACAGACATTATCACGTTTCCCTTCTCCATCTCTAAGCTTCCTCGATGTTCACATCGAACGAGTCACAACGCAAAGTTCAACATCATGGATCCTGTAAACAGGATTCTACTCAGAGAAAAACCCCTCAAAAAGGTGTTGTGTGAAGAAAACACCATCATCACGTCATTGCATATCGGTGATGACTTTCTGCTCATCGCCTCTGCGAAATGGTGCGTCTACAAATTTGATCTGGCGTTGGAATCTGTCGAGGTGCTGGCAGAGGTGCACAGCGTATGGAGCCTTGCTTTCCGGGGTAAGACGGTCATTTTTGGCACTTCACACAGTAAAATACATGTTCTTAACAGGAGTACTCGGTAAGTTGAGGCCAGCGAGCATCAACCACGGACAACGACTGACAAGCAACATCAGGGCAGCCTCGCACACGATCCGAGCTCATGAGTCACTTGTTCGGTGTCTCACCTTCCTTGACCGTAGCACCATTTTCTCTGACTCACGAGATGGTCCAATCTGAATCTGGACCCTCGAACCCGGACAACTCCAGCCAAAAGCTCCCCTCCGTGGCCATACCGGCGATGTGCGGAACATTTAACCCCGTGGCGACACGATCGTGTCCGCCAGCTACAATATTGACGTAAGAATCTGGAGTGCCCTGACAGAAGAGTGCCTGCACGTTCTTCACGGTTATCAAGGCCGACTTCATGGGCTGGCATATGATGGCAAGAAGGTTGCCACGAGCGGCACAGTTGGCGATCTTCGAGTTTGGGACCCAGAAACTGGGTAGGTCACCTAAATGCACCTGAAGTCACTTGGTTTGCGCATGTTTTAAGTCCATGGATTTCATAGAACGTGCAGAGCTACATTCAAAGGCCATGGATCTAACGCCAGTTACGTATCCCGTATCCCGTATCCCGTATCCGCCTAGAGAGATATGCTCTTATCTCCGGCGAGGCAGACGGATCCGTCAAACCATGGGCCTTGTATAACCATCCAGTACATGTAGATGACAGCCCGCGTGAACTGTCCAGGACGGATCGAGATGGTGGCGCGGTCACCTCCATGCAAGTCCAAGGACGACATGCTATCGTCGGCACATCGTCAGGCGTCGTCAAGGTCATTGATTGCCAATCCTCGGAAACGCTACACTGCTGCGAAGACGGAGCCTGCGGACTCGTCGTCTTTCAAGTTGGCTTCCCCCGAGAGCACAGTCCAGTGGCGGCTTACTTGAAGGAGGAGTCTGCCAGTTTGACGCTGTTTTAGTAAAACTTTATACGAGGGTTCGTAAAGCGATCGAAATATTCTACATATATTCCATAGTTTTCCGTTTTTGTGCGATCAAAGGCTACTCGAATTCGTATAAACGTAATTTAAGCATAAGAAATTGTCAGGCTTGCCACTGACTGATAATTTTAATTTCGCCCTGGTCCATCCATTATCCAAGCTACAACTAGACAACAACAAGACGGGGATGTGTCCGACGACCGTATGTGCCCTGGCTGACGGTCACCATGAACAAAAAGGCAATGAAGCACCTGCTGCCTTTAGCCAAACCTAGCATGGTACGCCATGCTGATGGGCACAGGCGCAAAAATGACAATGGAGACAATCTGGCCGAATCCCCAGCTGTCCCCCTCGTACTCCATAGATAGTACGTGTGACAGTTCGCGCTGAAGGTGCCGTAGGTAAAAGACTGCCCAGAGAAGGGGCAAGGAGAGCCCGACCGGGACTAGAAGGAAGACCGTTGCGTAGTATGGGTGCCTGCTGAGGCATTCCCTCCAGACGTAGTGCTGGAAGATCAAGTCCTGCCACCGGCTGCGCCCCGCGAGGTGGCGGAAGCCAAGGAGACCAAGATTTTGCCAAAATGTAAAGATATAGACGAGGATCATAGAAGATATCCCCAAGGCTCCGATCGACCCATAGACACGGTTCTTTTCCAGACCCAGGAGACCGTCGCTGAAGCAAATACCTTCCACTTCGCCCCAGTCGTCCATATCAATCACGTCGCCGTCGCTGGTCCGCATGGGTGTGTTACTGAACCAGTGGATGCAACGCGAGACAAAAGTGTAAAACGACAAGGAGGCGGCCACGTTGAGCAAGAATACGCGCATGTTGTGCTTGGCAGGCTCGTCGGTAGCGTCGAGCAGGACAATAGGGTACAACAGGGGCAACATGCAGACGACCGACACAATCTGGGCAATCTGTGCCTCGATGGTCTCAAAGTTGGATGTGCTAATGCCAAAGTCCTTCATAGAGAGGAAGATAATGGTGGCGAGCTGCGCCGCAATGGCGAAGTAGGCTGCCGCGTCAAAGAAGGACTGCAGCCCAGCCGTCACTACGGAGAGCCGTTTTGGATGCGTCCTGTGTCTCCTGACTAGGAGGACTGTGAGCGCCGACAGCGAGAGGCTCAGCCCTGCCATGAGGACATATCCGATGGCGACCTATGGACTTGAACATCAGCGACTCGAAAACAGCATGAAAAAAACATACATGTACATGGGAGCACTCAAGAAATTTTGCATCATACCCCTATTCCCGAAATATCGGGGTTCCCAGTGCCGTATATAGCACTGCAAATCTCAACCCTGCAAGGCCACAGCCTTTCCCTCTCCCACCCGGTTTCTCGCGTGATACCGTCGACGTAGCGACTGAAATCGCCCATGCTTGAGAGCCTGGAGCAATCCGCCATCTCGCTGTTGCGACATGGAGGTTATGTGCTGGATTCGCAAACGACTGCGCAGGCGATCAAACAACACATGCATTGAGCAAGGAACCAAGCCATTTGAGCCGCCAGATGAAGGATGATCGCGCGTATTTGACTGGCGACCGGACACCGCGGAGCGTCGGCCTGTGTCCAGTCTTTGCAACTGCCAAGACCGGGCGCAACATGAAGGCAGCTGAGACGCGACATGATGCAGCTAAACACCAACACAATCCCGGACGCTCGAATAGACAGCTAGAGAAGTATACTAGTCAGCCGCAGTGCATACGGCCCACGAAGCCACAACGCACAGCCGCACAGCCGCACAGCATCAGTCTGGTGTTAAGTGACCAGTCACCAGGGGTGACTCTGAGGGGGCCATTCATGTCAGCGCCTCGACTATATGTATATGAGCCCGGCCTCGCGCTTCACCACTTGACAATATGAATGCACGTTCATTACATGTTAACTAGCCCAGTTAGGTTCTTACAAGAACCTAGGATTCATTCCTACGCTTAGTCCAAATCAAGGCGCGTGTTACGTGTAGGTCACGGCTCATCGCGCGCCGCAATGTCCAGCTGGCCACCACCAGCTACTTCCACAAACCCCGAGGAAACTCAGCCCCAAGCAACCTGTGGATTGATTGTTGGCATGTATCACCATTTACACCAAATCAATTTACTACGACCGCGCGGACTGACCCGAGATAGGAGGTCTGGACTCGCCTGTCGTTTGCCCTGAACGCTGTGGCTTTCTCCTTGTCGATGGCTTCGATTTCTACTTCTCTGGATGCTGTGACCAAGACGGCTGCGCCATTCCCACGACATGCGTGGAGGGTAACATGGAGACGGCAGGGTCTGGCGCCCTGGCATGGTAAGGCACCGCACCGTCGGCGGTCACGTTGCGATCAGCGACAGCGCCTGAATATAATGATGGCAATGATAACAAACCTTTTCATAGCGCGGGCATCAGCTCTGCATGTGTCACCTACGAATGGCCCGATGCCGTCGCCATCGGGTATGGGTGCGCCACGTCTCGTACCACCGTGACGGTCGAGTTCCCCGAGACCAGCGGCGACACGAGCGCGACAGGGACGCACGACGGATATAACATTGGAAATACCAAGGCCGACACTGCCCGATATAGACGACGACGATGACAACAGTCCAGGCAACGGAAATTTCAAATCCGAGATGGGCAGGATTCCCCTTCTTGCTCTGCGACACAGCCATGTCTGACGCGAGCAGACCTCGAGACCGCGCAGCGAATCGGCGCGGGCGTGGGCTCAGGAATCTTTGGGCTCTTCCTTCTGGCCTTCTTCATGTGCGGTGCAGCTTCTTCCATCTGCCCGATTATACGTTATGTTCAATGCTAATGTAGACAACGTACAGCATCTTCGGCTGCCGGAGGGCGCCGCCACGAGTCACCCGCCCTCTTGATCCGAGTCAGAGTGCAATACGAAGTGCTACAATTTGACAGACCATTCTGGGCTGGTTGCCCGTCTTCCCTCGAGTTAGTTCACGCCCAACTCGAATATCTTTATATAGTTATGTTGTTCCTATACTGCGATTGACTAGCTTACACAAAAGCTGATTATTACTCTAGAGTAGCTCAAAGAGACTATTCTTATCAGCGTAAATGATTAGTACTTCAGTACCTGAACTTTCTGTTCTAGATACTTCCCTCAATGTCTGAGCCTCAATCAAAAAGGAATTAGGGACCCTTCCGTCTCCTAGCGTCATTCGACTTTACCACCATGTCGCTATGTCTGCGTATTGTGGTCGCCTGCTCGAGTGGCTGTCTTGGAGTCTCGGACTCTGGGGCTCGACGGTGAGGCCATTGAGTTTATTATAGATGTATTCGAATGAGGCATAGTACTTTGAGCGAAAGAGACGACAAGAGACCTCCTCATCCCCCGCGCGCTTCAGATACTGAGGCCGGCTGCGCCCCTCGCGTTGACGCAGCTTTTTTCCCGCTCAAAACGGCGTATCGTGAACATGGTGGAAATTGGAGTCCCTAGCAAGTCCCTTTTGCCGGACACGTCATTATGTTCAGATTTCGACGTCGTCAGCAAAGCAGAGGCTGTGCTTCGAGGGAGTAATTGCATAAAGTAGGCTCCATGTTCGCTCTCTGGAGATTTGAAGTTAGAATCTCAAACAAGTTCACAACTCACACCAACCTAGAATCGCGGACCAAAAAAAAAAAAAAAAAACCCCTTCACCATGGCTGTCGTTGCAAAGCTCCTCGGGGCGATCTTGGCCGCCAACTCCCTCACCGCGGTGAGCTCGCAGTCCAAAGACGAGTACGACCATGTCATCGTGGGCTTGGGCCCGGGCGGTGGCTCCCTTGCGTATGTTCTTCCACCCGTATTGATGCGCCTCATGAGCATGTGACTGACAGGACGTACCAGAGCAACCTTGACCGTGAGCAGACACTCTGTCTTTCTCATCGAAGCCGGCGGCGACAAACCGGAAGACCCTTTGCAAATTCTGCCGATCCTATTAGTACCCTCATATGGCCATGTCGGTTCCGCCCCTGAATAACATAGTGCCCCTGTGGCCGGGGAAACACCTGTACATTATGGTAGTTTAATTAGATCAGCAACTGCCAACTGTGTCAACCACCAATTGCACACCGCAAGTTGGCAGTTGTTGATCTATCATCTATGTAATGCGATATATCCGTCCCACCGTACCCCAGCCCTCTCCCCCCTCCAAAACCTAAAACTTTAAAAGTTCAAAAGCCCCGGACATTCGACCCGACGCGTTGCACCCCTGCAGCCCTGCTAGGATCCCGCGCTAGCGTACCCACCTCCCGAATTGGCACGCCGCCGCACCGCCCCGCGCCGCCCGACTTGGGACTCCCCGGCGCCGGGCCCCCGCCTCCGCGACACCAGGCCCTTTTTGAGCCAGACTTGCTTAATGATATGAGGCTCGAGACAAAAATAACTCTCGCTCGAGCGGAAGCTTGGCTACCTTTGTTAATGTGATTGGGAACATTATATTACAAAAGGATTGATTGTGCTGCACCACCATAGAGGAGGTGGGGCGCGGCACTACTAGTTCGTAGTGCCTTGGCGGCTTGGCCAGCTGCAGTGGTGGGCCCTAGTGGCTTGTCCTCAAAATCCACAGTGCATAGAGCCTCAGGTTGAACTCCCTGTGGGGACCTCCTTTGACTAAGTACGTAGTACGTACATGCTGCTATTGGTCCTGTGTTGTTTGAAGTTTCCCCGTTCACAACTTCACACTCTCTTATCCCTTCTCTCTTCACATTTCCCCCCTGATTTGGCAACTACCTTACCCTTCAGCAACACGACTGCTATCCATTGCTGGCTGCAACTTATCAGCTGGACTTCTCTTTTGGCGTTCGCGCAGGAGACCGTGGGGGCCGTCACCAACTTCGACACGGGCATCGCAGAGCTTGCCCCCGTCGTCCTCCGCAACGAGACATATGCGCCCTCTTTGGTCTTGCCTTGTGTCTTTGCTTTCCAAATCCCGGCCGTCGCTCGGTCACTGGTGCCTGGGACTACCTCATCTTTGTTCAGGTGGAATGAGAGCACAAGTTCCTGGGACGTCGCCGGTAAGCAACCTATGTATACGATAGGGGAGGGGCTGCCCGATACTCCGGACGACGAGACCTTCGTTGCCCACTATGCCTTTGGAGGGGTTTCCGATACCGAGGCTTACCGGAGTGGCTCGTGGAGCGTCTGTTGGGGTAGCTGTGCACAAGAGGAGGATCGCCCGGTGGAGCATACCCCTAATGGCACGACGGGCGGCGTATGTTTCACGACAAAGGAAGGGACACGGGATCCTCATGACTTTACAGAGGGCTCATGTTCAGACTCCGAGTGCCTTACGTGGAATATTACCGAGGTTGCCACGAGTCGCAGTGGCACTGACGTGTACTGTGCTTGGTTTTCCTCTTCAACGCCCGAAGCACGCCCGTGCGAAGCGCAAGTCAAGTCCGATACTATGGAGAGCATCTTCTCCTCGGCTACAGAAGCGTATTGCGGCAGAATGGACGGGCTCGAGTGCCCCGAGGACGAGGAAGAAGACGGCGGCGCAGCCAGGCGCGGGAGCTTCCCTGCTGTTTGGACAGCATGCGTTGCCTCCTTTGTGGGCGGAATGGGAATTTGTTTTTGGCGTGAACTACCACTCCAGACGGTATGGTCACAAAATTTTCGACGACCCCTTGCTCGCCCATATCATCAATATATACATTCGATATCCCCAGTAGATGCTCGCCATGCCCATTGACCGTGATACCGATTCAAGACTCAAGACCTGTATATCTACCTCCCCCACACAAGCTTTTGCCAAATCTCGGAGTTTTTTTTTTCAGCATAGTTCGGCTAGATTGGAAGATCCCTTTCGACCTTCTAGATGGGCGTTGTCTCGCTGACAACAAGATAATTGCTCGAAAGACGCTTTCCAGTGGCGTACGGCGTGGGCCGTGTGCTCAAGGACTGGTAATTTCGTGTGCTCCATAGTAAGCAGCATACGGCGTAAACTCTGGGTACACCACGCATAGGTATCTTGGCAAGGTCGCAAGTACCGCTGCAATCATCGAGGCGGGACTCGGTGGGCCAAGTTACGGTCAAGTCTGTGGTCATCCACTTTAAAGACCCTGGGATCTGCGCGAAACCAAGAAGGTTCCCCTGCCTACACATAGGGCTGCCCGATGGTACCAAGAGTCCAGGCATGCCCCAGAAACGGCGATCATGAACAGAAGATCCACCTACTCTAGTTTTGCTAACGCTCATCAGGCCAGGCAATCATTCACATGTCCGTTCCTTACCCCTTTTCCCGCCCTCCTTTTGCTCAGCCCAAAGAGTCCAGTCATATTCGTGCCATAAAGCCTCGATGGGCTCCTCCATTCGCATAGCGATGCTGAAAATCGCTGGTCTCTTGCTCGCTGCCTCCAGCATTCAGCCAGCGCATGCCTCGCACTTTCGACATGCGGCTAGTCCAGGGTATCGCCCGGCAAGCGACGTCTGCCCGACGCGCTGTATCGATGCTGGCGCGGACTCGGCCAACTGGCCCGTCTACCCAGGGTATAACCAGCTCAGTGACTGCCCCGACACTATCTTATATGACTTTTCCCTTCTCGACAATGTTGATGACCCCGACGCACCTCATCGAATGTTTGCATGCACCTCCTATGGCCCTGACTGGACCGGTCTACAGAACTCGACTTTGAACGCAGCGCAGGCCGAGTCCATCGACGTCGAGTACAAGGTTGGCCAGCTCGACAAGAGTGTGTCTGCGTTGGATGCAGCGGGCATTCGGTCCCTTTCGAAGTAGATGCGTCATTATCTTGAGAGTGGCTTTGGCCCTGCTAACGAAACCGGCATTCTCTTTGCTCAGTCAGGCCAGACTTCTTTGGGTTTCTAACTTGGCTCTGGACTCCAGAGGGAATGCAGTGGCTCAGCCGTCCTCGCTGCCTTCGAATCTTCGTTGTCCTCTGAGATGATGGCATCGAGCATTGCCCTCCAATGGTGTAGCCCCGATAAGGATGGGACTCATGCCTTTGGCGTGATGGCCACTACTAACCGCACATTCGCCCCCGTGAGGGACGCCATCAAGACATGGTACAACGCTTCCTGCCTGGATATCCCAGATGCCGAGGCGATTCCTGGCAAAGCCTATATGGTGACGCCGCTGCTTGGAGAGCCCGTGAGGAACGCAACCTCGGGCACCTCCTTCAAGCGATCCGAGCCTAGGAGACTTGCGGCACGCGCCGAGTGCGAGACGATCGAAGTTGACCAGGGAAACGGCTGCCCTGAGCTGGCTCCCCGGTGCGGTATTTCCGGCGACGACTTCACCAAGTACAATGACTACGACGACGATCTGTGTTCAACCCTGCAACGTGGGCAACATGTCTGTTGCACTTCAGGAGATCTTCCTGACTTCAGCTTGGGACTCCTGCGGTATCACAGAAGAGTGCTGCACGGATACCAGCACGGGCGCGCCCGGTACAGTCAAGGAGGGAACGAATGGGTGCATGCCCCTTGGAGCCGAAGACGAAAGCCGTCAACTACCCCAAGTTCCTTGTCGTCTTCAAAATTTTGCTGCCAGACAGGGAGGTACCCATCGCAGCGCCCTCTTCCTTCTGGTCCCTCGAGAAGTAGCCATTGGCCGCATTGCAGCGGTTGTCGACTTCATTGTCTTCATGACGTACGATCTCCACGGTCAGTGGGATTCTGGCAACTCGAACTCTCAGTCAGGCTGTGAGAATGGACGCTGCTTGCGCAGCCAGGTAACGTCATCGAGATGCATGATGCCTTGTTCATCATCACCAAGGCTGGTCTTCCGTCTAATAAGATTTCCGCCGGCACTACTAGCTACGGACGCTCCTTTAATATGGCTGACGGCGACTGCTACCCTGCAGAGTGCTACTTCACAGGAACTCGCCTCTCCTTGGGTGCTACCTTAGGACCTTTCACTGGCAAGTCGGGTATCCTGGTCAATGCCGAGATCAAGAAGAAGGCTATCGATAAGCTACATAGACAAAGGGACATCCTGTTGAGGAAAAGAATCTCGAGGAGCACTCACGAATTTGAAGGCCAGATCTGTGCTTCTTCAAACATATGCTAGATGCAACATTGATCTAGGCTCTTGATTCGAAATAGGAAATGACACTGTAAAGCATGACTTATGTACTATGTTCATTTGCGTAGACTTCAAGCCTAGCGTTGTGATCCATCTCCTCCAAAATGGCATCAATCTCCTTCAGGGTCAGATCGCCGTGCTTCTTGTTCGTTCCTCTATCATTCTCTTCATCCAGCGAGACATTCTGTAGCTGGGGTTGACAGATACACCTTTGGCTTTGATCTGTACCCGTAGACGTTTGCCCACAGGAGACGCCGAAAAAATCATGTTTACTATCATCGACGCCGCTGCCAAAGATGTAAGGTTCTTTATCTCCATCACGAGACGCTCGAAAATTTGCTAGCCTCCTTGAACTTAGTGGCAGATACCTGGAATTGCCAAACTTGGATGCAGCGGTCGTCTGAGGACTCTCCAGCTTCTCATGGAACGATGCCTCAGGGAACAGTTGAGCGAGAGTCGGATGGGACTCAAATGGCGTAGCTGTCGCTTCCTTAGAAATTGACGGAATTTCTGCTGGCCTGTGACCGATACTGAAGGTAGAATCTCTCGTCTTGGGGTTGTCATCCGGGCCCTGACACCGGGGGAAACTGAATGTCCCAGGATTCGGCAGCTTTATCCTGATACGTGTCCCGTTCTTATATTTGACATATTTACCTTCCTGGAAGATGCTCGACGAGATCTGTTGAGGCGAGCTAGGTGGCTTAGTCTCCTTTCCATTTGGTTTCAACCAGTCATGCGTGCCAGGGCTCCGTGTAGTGTGAATGGAATGGTTTAAGGTTGAAATTCCAGTAGCTGAGTCAGGAACAAGACAGTTTCTCTGTTCGTTTCCTCGCAAGTCCAACTTGGCATACGACGGACTCTGCATGTGCTCAGCGACGCTGGTTGGAGTGGTCGAATCCTCTGAGACCAGCTGCTGAAGACTTGATTGCTTGTTTTGCAGGTCTTGAAAGTTGTCTGACGCATGTTTCATCCTGTTGAGTGGCTGGCTCTGTAGGTGTAGATGCTCAAACATCCATGTCCTCCCTGTCCCTAATGCCATGGGAGACATGGGGTGAGCGGACCTAGATGGAGATGGGGAAGGGGCCGCATGCCTCAAAGAAAGCAAAGAGTCCATCTTCTCGGATATAATTCCGATCTCGTTCTTGAATAATTGGGCGAGTCGGTCGGCGTCGCTAATGGTCCGGCGTTCTGTAGCTTCTTCACGTTGACCATGAGAAGAAGGTTGGTTATCGCTTTTTCGTTGCCCTTCAAGGATGACTTGCTTCCACTGATCGATATAATGTGAAATACATGGGCGCAAGGTGCGCGTCGCCCATGTATGCAGGTTCTCTAGAATGCTTTCTAGCGCCTTTGTGTCTCGAGAGTGCAACATGTTGCCTCTCCATATACATACCATGCGCTTTCAAAAGTTAATGATCAGTACATTTGGTCATTATAGATATTAGAAAACTCTTACATATTGTTCAGAGGTCGTTTCGAAGTAGGCGATCCAGATGCGAACATGCTTGCCCGCGGTGGTCATTGTTACCACAGGAAGAACAAGCCTATTGTTCGCATGCTTCACAAGGATGCGAGACAGCAGAAGGCAAGCTGCTGCCGAATTTGCTGCTCGACAGCAACACTCAGTCTCAGACTCGCTCGACTTCTTGTGCTCGACGATGAGCCAGGGGTAACATGTATATTCCTTAGGCCCGCTCTGCCACATTGGCGTGTCATCCGTGACGCTGGGACGCAGGCCATGCGCAACCAGATTCTGCAGAACTTGGCGTGAGAAGAAGCTCTTGGCAAAATCATTGAATGAACACCAGCTCCAGCTTCTTCCCAATTCATTCCCAACGTGCTCGCTGCTTCTATCAAAGTGGTATGTCGGGAAGTAAGCAACGAGATCAGGTTTTGGCTGAGGTAGGCCACTTTGGTTATGCTCCTGGCGAAAGTCATCTGTGAACAGCGTCCATGGTCGTTCCTTAGCGCTTTAATGAGAGGTAAGCCACACAGTGACGGTTTCGCTGTCTGCTAATCATGTTATACTTACTAGTTAAATTGCTCGTAATAGTACTTTGCTTTCGAAGCACTAAGTATTTGAGTAAGCAAGTCCCTTCAAAGTGGCTCCCTCCTAGATTAATAAACATACCGCCGTAAATCTTCATAAGCAATCTCTGTTTCTGCAGATAGAGGAGTGAAAAAGTATTCATTATAGAATGCCGCCCATTCTTGGTCGCGGCGGACCTTTACGGCTGCATGAGAGATCGTCATGTGTCTTTCAAAATCCAGCGTATCAAACTCTTCTTGGCGTTCGTACCAATTTCCCCCACTGGTATAAAAGCCGCCTGTCGGTTGAAGGCGCTCTGGAGGATCGTGGCCGTAGCCCTTCAAAAAGGACGACGTTCCCCCAGCGGCCCAACGTGCGTCAGAAAGGGTCGCTCGCAGCGATTCAACATGTGGTGGAAGTTTTGTCTGGTCGTCTATACAGAAAAAGATGTGATTTTCTTGTAGTATCTCTCTCGATACGTTTCGCTCGTCAGGACGTGACATCTTGAGAGGATGAGGGCAGTGATTTTAGCTGTCGAAGTTGGCGTTTAGGATTAAGGATCCGGACCAAACTCCTTGAGGGGGGGGACTCCCTGTCCTTAATAAACCATCGACTCGCTATAAAGATATGATAAGTCGTATTTGTTGCTACTTTTGGCCTGCATGCAGCAGAAGCACAGCCTCATGTACTATGACCCGAATCACAGCCTCCTGCAATACAACGAGAATCACTTTGAGCTCTATGAGACCATGACGCACACCTGTCACACATTCCGGGGAAGGCGTTATTCATATTTTCGACAGTGCAATTCCGCAGGCCTCTAGAGCTTCTTCTGAGATGGAGGACTTTGTACTGAAACAGGGTGGACTGCGCTGCGCCGTGGGCGTGCGCATGCACGTTGAACCAACAACGCAACGCATGCTGATGTATCATTGGCGGATCCGACCCCTAGTAACTGTAGATGCAACGTGGACAGGCGACACAGAACCGCCCACTAATGGGTTGCGAAAAGGTTCATGATGATAGCGGGAAGCAATTCGTGCTTGCTGGCCAGGCCCGCGCAGAAGGGCCCAGGGGCTCAAAGAACAAAAGCCCAGGGCACACTGGCCACGGAGAACATTGATCATCTGGTACACGATATTTTGAAACACCAGAGCAATCTCTTCATTCTCTAAATAAAGAAAACCCTAAGCGTGCTATTATTCAATTCAATTCATTCTTCTAGTTACCATGGATGTTACCGACCCCTTTGCCGTCAACTAGCTCAATGGTAACAAAACCAATGCTCTCCACGACTTGAGAAGTGATTGAACAAAACACCTGTTGCGTCGGAAAGATTATAGGCCGCCCTCAGTCTATCGTTGTCGGCGAAACGTCTGCCAGGAAGTCGTCTGTACGCGAAGCCATATCTCGAATTCGGTTCCACGTTGAAGATTTGGCTTGTACTCGTTTCGCCACCGAACTGGTCTTCTGTCGTGCCGAGGAGCAGCGCATACAGGCCAGAGTCAGAATCGCCAGCATTTTGAAGTCTACAGTCACGCTCGATAGAACGGATTTCAGCGAAGGTGCCTTGCGAGAAATCATTCAACAGGCGAAAGAACAAATGGGGCTCCTTCTCCCCGGACGCGGCTTCTCCAACAACGTTCTGTGCCTTGAGCTCGAAGGTCCCGAGATGTATCCTCTCACGATTATTGACTTTCCCGGCATCTTTTCTAATACGACAGAACTGCAAAACTCGGATGACAAGAAGATGGTAGATGAGCTGGTGGACAGCTACATCCAACAACGGAACAGCATCATTCTCGTGATCATCGTCGCTGGAGAAGTCACCAACCAACGCATATCCTTCAACGGGTAAACAAGGTTGACGTATCGTGTGAGTGGATATCAAAGATCACCACGAAGCCGGACAAGCTTGATGCAGGTTACAAGGCGGAAGCCGGAGTCGTGCGTCTTGCCAGGAACGAGGAGCCTGCCAGTAAGTTGAAGTTGGGGGGCATGTCCTCCGAAATCTGTGGCCGAGCGAAGCGAGCTCAAAGCGCGATGATTTTGAGCGTACCTTCTTCGAAATGGGTATTTGGAAATCTGTTCTGGAAAATCTAGTTGGCGTTTCCAACCTTCGGACGAAGCTCAGCAAAATCGTGTATGAGCATCTTCGCTCTGACAAGAGTTTCCAGGGCTGACAAAGTATGATCTCACAGTCCTAGTATGATCTCATAGCCCAGCTCTTGAGAAAGTAAGCCTCGCCATGGAAAATCATTACCGAATCTCAGATCGAGCACATCATCCAAGTCACAAAGCGATTTGTCGAGGCCAACCTTGAACATATCATCAGAAAGGTTGAGGAGAACGAGACCACGGAAAATATTCTTAAAGAATACGCGGATCCATTTCTCGTAGAGACGTAGGAAGCCCTTAGAATGAAACTGAATGAGCTCCTTTGCCCTTATTCTGAAGGCGTGTCTCTTCCACTGGACGTCTCCCTGCGTCAATCATTCAACGACAGGTCAAAAGCACGGCTTGCTGCCAGGCTATGGGCTATTTTGGAAGAGAACGACCCCAACAGAAATAAAACAAAGTCATCGGAAGCCATTGACAAGACATTGATCTAAGAAGCCATCAACAATACACAGAGCATAGAGCATGATAAGTTCGGCACGACAAAGGTAGTGGACTGGTGCATTCAAGTTCGGATCTCAGCCAGCCTACATACGCAAACAATTGAAAGTGAAGAACAGAATGGCCGTTAGTAGACGTGCCATCGCATCTTCACGGACAATTTCATTAATCTTGCCGTCGAGAATTGTCGTATTCAACGCATTCTAGACATCACACCTACGAAAGTGGGCGAAATGGAGGCAAAGGAGTTGGAGGATCTGGTAGGGGAAACCGAGAAGACCACCAGCCGGAAGATACAACTTGAAGCACATGTAAAGCTTCTCTAGATGGGATTATCTATGTGTTGGTCAAAGGCAAAACGCTATACAAACGGCAAGTCGGCGCTGGTTCCTACCTACATGTACAATACTTCCAAATTGGGTAATAACAGACCTTGATAGAGCTTTCAGCTCAAGTCCAACCAACAGTTGCTCAAATTTCATCTTCACTACCGGAGCTGGATTCGGGTCTGGTCAGGTAAATATCGGACACGGAGCCCCTTCGTACCAAATTGATAGCTAGGGCTTTGTTAATGGTACAGAGACCACGCAGAATGGGGGACAATGCGCTAGCAATATCGACACAGATCTTCCACGGTCGACATGTCTGAGCAATTGGGACGAAGTCATCATTTGCCATGCCGGCAGCCAGCAATCAGTCACCTGTCAAGATAACGGTAGTGTTTCTGCCATAAGAAACGGCCGACGGGGAGGCTGATGCTGATAGGCTCTGATCGAAATTCTTACAGAAAATCATAAACCATTTCTCTAAAAATGAAGAGTTTCTATTACATTTGGCCATGCTCGTGCCACCAAGGGCGGTATTGCGCGCCAGAAGGCGGACGGAGACTCGTGGAAGCCTGGCTGGGGTAATCTCTAGCTGGCGGCAAACGAGGAGCTCGGACGCAGAAACCGGAGCGCATAGTTAACACAGCGCGAGATTGTGCTGCATTAAGAGGCGTCTCGGTCATCAGAATGATTAGGCAAAGCAGCGTCGGACGTACATCAACTGCCTCGACGCCTTTGTCTCCCCACCGACTTCGAGCGTAATGCATGTGCTCACCAAGACCTTCACTAAAAGTCTCTTTCCTGTTGATATGCTCTCGACTTTCAGATTCCAGGAAAGCAATGAGACAAGTGGGAGTTGCACACTCGTATACTGCATGTACTAGATCCCACAGGTCCAGTTGTAACTGGGCGACATGGTCCAACACTCATGTCACACTCCTCGAAAAGTTGAGAATGTGCCTTCCGAGCTCTTCCGGGCATTCCAGGGGCATGGGATGGCCGGAGTCCTCGAGGACCGTTAAGATAGCCCCCCTAGTATGCCCGCAGACGTCCTGCTTAACACGTGCCAATGGCTCGACCACATCCTTCCAACCTGCATATACCGCAACGGGCACACTGATGTCTCTGGCAAGGCTGACGACGTCCTCCGCCATGGTGTAGTCCAGCCAGCCCGCCTTGGCCATCTCACTGCCCTGTAAGGCATCCGCCACGACGGCCTTGACAGTGGCGTTGGACAGACCGCCGGCAGAGAGAACGTTGCGTACGACAAACTCTGCGCTCTGCGCCGTATCGTACGCATGAATTTGCTGCTCTCGCATGGCCTCCGGAAGAGCAAGTGGTGTAGGCGGCGCCGGGGCAACGAACGCCACACCGAGCAGACCAGAGACGGTACGCCGGCCTGCCACTGCTGAGGCGACCTTGGCTCCCATGGAGTGGCCGACGATGATGCAACGTTCAATCTTACAGTGATTTATAATGGCCTCGACGTCATCGGCGAGATGGGCAATGGAGAACGCGCCCCTATCGTCTGGTCCCGCGGATCGACCCCAGTCGCGGAAATCCAGGGACAGAATTGGGAATTGGCGCGCAATGAGCTCACATAGGACGTCCCACCTGCCGGATGAGCCTCCCCAAAAGTGAATTAAAATAAGAGTGATCTTTTTATCGGCGTCCGTCGCTTCGAAACGGACGGGGATGGCAGGGTACGAGCGGTCAACGTGAAGCGTCATGTCCGGCTGCACCTGGACGAATTCGGAGGTGGACCGAAACATCATTGTGAGAACGCTGGGGAAATGGAAGCTCAGGGTGACTTGAATACGTCTTCTGCGTCGCCTTCGCATCTTTGATCAGAGTTATCAGTTCGACTTATACCCATTCTCTATCACGTTGAACCCGAAGTGGCTCGGGAAAAGGGAGTCGAGTCACTCCGCTGCCGAATACGATCTAGCGGGGCTTCAATAATATGAGAAATCCCGTCAATGAAATATAATTACACTGTAGGAAAATGTGGAGTTAATCCGTGTGTTGTTTAAGCGTTTGGAATCACTTAACGTGAGGAAAAAGTGGAAAATGAACGACCAACAAGTTACACCAGCTTCGCGGTGCGCCCTCCGATTCAACGCGCTGGAGGTTTGAACATCCCTCCAAAACCAATAGACACTTCAAGTCGCTTCATCCTCAAATCCAGCAGGATATGTGGCACATGTCTGCCTGCCTTGAAAATCGCCTGTGCAACCTGCTCCCGAAGACTGACCTCCGCCGTTGGCCTGAGGCACAACACACGTGTCCGAGTCATCATGCCTGACCAACAAGATTCACGGTGCTGTCAGCTGTGCCGTCAGCCTACCTTTCCTTTTACCACCAATATCAACACATACTTTGACACTGCGCACATTTCCTTTCTTGCTGCCTTGACTGGACACTCTTGGAGTCGCGGTACCAGAGTTGCCTCGAGCGCTCTCACACGAAGTATTCCTGAGCAGAACCTTGTTTCGAGCGTCTTTTCCTGCGCGAATGGGGGCCACGCGCAAACTCGCATGTCTGCGTGATCTCGGGATCTTCGAGTCCTCTCGCTCTCCAGGCACTCGCCGCCCCCTGCCTCACCACAGGTCCGGACTCGAGTGGCTCCTCTGCCGGCTCTGGTGTATCGACGAACTCAGCCATGTCCGCGACCCACTGACCGACGATCTGATGATGTAGGAGATGATTCAGCATGAGTCTGTCCAGGTTCCAGGTATCGAGCTGCTCCTCGAGCCAGCGTCGAAAGTGTCGTGCAATGTGCATCATGCGCCGGTGGAACGCCTCCTTTCGATCCTCCGGGGTCATTGACGATGCGGGAAAGGTCGCGTCGCAGAAGATGCAACCCGTCTTCACGGGGAAGAGATGGTTCATGTGGTCGCACACATGCTCGAACCATGCCTCTTCCTGCCCCGAGGGGAAGCCTTCCTCGCACCCCAGGTACTCACGCATGTAGCAGGGATAGATGAGATTGTCACCGTTGGGATCGTGGGGCGCCGTGGAAACCGACGAGGTCGAGTCCATCCCCGTATATGTCGAGGTCACGTCCGAGTCGGCGTAGCTGCTGGAAGCGGACGACATCAGACTCGCCATGGTTCGACAGCGGTCGTGCACGTATGGAGTGTGGCCGTCCGCGAATTGGCGATCCATGGTGGGTGGCGGTCGTGATAGACGCTGTGGAGGGATGCTCACTTTCGGGCAGCAGGCATCAATTGAGTGGGAGGGGTTTTCGTTGATCGACGACAAGAATCGAGTGTCCGAGTCGTGGCTCAGATGGTCGAAGCAATATCCTTGTCAAACTAGGCTCAGGGAGACAAGTTCTTTGCCACTCTGGCGGGTCGCAACAGCCGAAGATTTCTTGTGCGAATGAGCGTGATGCCCAAATTCGACTGGCAGAATGGGATTTTGGGTCTTTGGGGAGCAGAAGCCAGGGCGTCCGACGAGCCGTTTCGACTACCTACAACGTCCAGTTGTTGTATATGGAGGCAAGGCTAGGTGCGCCTCATGCATGGCAACAGCGGCCCACGGGGTCTATATCTGCATTCAGCACTGGCAGCAACTCGCAGAATGTACGTGATGCAGTCCGCCGAATTGCACGCACGGATGTTGTTGGCGCTGCTGCAGTACATGATTTCCTCAAGTCACCTTTCACGCGTGTCTTGGTTGTGCATCGCCGGCGCCGTTCATCGGTACGGCATGCTGTCTCGTGTGACACAACATGGACATGCAAGGCAGACGATGTGTCCACTGGTCGAGTCCAGTCTTCGTCTAGGACAATCCCCTAACCGCTGGCGTTTGGGAATCGCTCCCATTTAAACCCATGCAACTCTACGCAACCCCCGCCACCACCCCCTCCATGATGGCTCAGGAGTCAGGGATAGACACTACCATGGTCGCCCACGAAGCTCGCAGAGCTGAGAACAGCAGGTGGAGGGTTTCATCCCCAGATCACCGTCTTGCATGACCGATAGACAATTGAATTAGGACCGGACTGCGTCGAGGGCTATTGGTGAAATGGTGAGCCCAACGCTAGTCGCCGACGATGTGTCGCCAACGCAGCTTGATCATGGTGTGTAGAGCCTTATGAGAGAGGGTGCTGCGTAGCGCTTGGCGCATGCCGGGATCAACGCATCGTCCCGGACTGTCGACGGATCTGGCGTTCTGCAGAATCACACGACCACACACCAAGCGACAAGACCAAATAGAGCTGCCCCGATAAGTGGGGGAGATTTTGTGAAGCATCATGTCTTATTCTTGATCGTCTCTAATGTCTTGTCTTATGCCGGATACACAAGTGTATATTAGACCGCAGGGGTATTCGCCCTGCAAGGTCCCAAGTTAGTCCTCCGGTCTACAAAGCACTCTTGCCTTGGTAATGACATTGCGGAACTGGAGCTGCCCTCCGCTCTCATCGCCATGCTTGACCACGCCGGGAAAGGCCACGCAGGCGATTTCCCTGCTTCCGCTCGCCAGGCTCTCCTCGTCCTCGCCGCCAATGTCCTCCATTGTGTCCGCGTCAAAGAGCACGCGCTGATGAGGCAATATATGAGGAAAGGTGACGCGTAATACAGCTTTCTGCACGGCGAGCAGCTGCGCAAGTTCTATCGAGTTGTTGATGAGAACACGCAGTTTCGAGTCTCGCGTCTCGCTGGGCGTCGCGGTCGTGATGGCGTCCAGTATGCGATTGATGCGGTCTAGAACAGAGGACGTGGTAGCCGCGGCGTGCTGTTGGGGTGCTTCCCGTTGGATCAATGTCAACGTCGCAGAGCGCCACTGGTTGACGGCTTCATCAGCGCCAGCTGCTTGGTCAGATAACGTCGTTTCTTGGGGCTGGAAACAGAGGTCGCTTACTGAAAGACCGCAGCATGTCCTCCATCTTGCGGAACTGTTCGGTTTGCTCATGGGAGAGGCCAACGTAGTACGCCTCGAAGACCATCTCCACCAGTATACTGGAAACCAGAGACTGCAAAAAGTACACCTTGGTCAGCTCCTCATACATGGGCACGAGCCCGGCAATTTCTGCGAGGGTTCTTTCGTCCGCCTTGCCGAAAACGAGCTGGCTCCTGCGAAAGTTGTTCATGATCCAGTTTTGCAGGCCGTTGCCCAACCGCGCCATGCCGTTGCCAAAGACCTCGTCGCTCGTCGAGCCATCCGTCCGCGTGCTTGTGCTCACAAACTGTTTGAGGCCCCGGACCTGGCTTCGTAAACCGCGAATCTCCTCGTCCCTTTCCTTAAGCTCTCTTCGGAGCACCTCCCAGCCCTGTCGAAGCTCGTCCCTTTCTGCCTCTCGTACCTCGACCTCGGATCGTAGCAGTCGCAGCTCCGTGTCCGTCCGTAGATATTGTTGGTTCAGCGCACTGTGTTTTGACTGCCAAAAAGTTGCTGTCTCTGATTCGTTCTGGGACAACCGATCCAGCTCCCTTGTGAACTCCCTCTCCATGACTTGCAGCTCGCGCTCCAGCCTTTCAATCCTGTCATCTCGCTCCCTGATCTCTTTGGATGACGCTTTCCCGGTCTCTCTCTCTTTGAGATCCTGCTCTTTGAGGGATCCGCTGCTGCTGCCGCCTGTGTGAGGCTCTTCCATCGAAGAGGTCACGGCGCGCGGCGGCAGAGCGGGCAGGCTGTTTTTGCTCCGTGACGAGGAGCCCGTGGAGGAGGGTGATGTGCGGTGCCCATGCACGCCGCCTATACTGCGACGTTCGTTCTCAGTTGAGGTCCTCATTGTTCTTAGGGAGCGTGCGCTATGACCGGGGGCTGGATGTGGATTGATGACGGCGGGGCGGCATGGTGGCTAGCTACCATGCGCCGGCAGATCGACCTTGCGCAATGCGGATCGCGTAAGGAACGGTGTCTAACTCGTGTCTTCTTTTTGTTTGCGCTGTCTCCAATATGCGGTCGATGTATAGCTCGGTCGTGCTGTCAGAGGGAGGAGGGGTTCGAACGCGCACGCCAGAATCTTGATGCAAGGAAGCGGATACGGCGATTTCGCTGCTGCCTAGATATGTCTGTCGGCACTTTTAGGGAGAGACTGCTGGGTAGCAGAAGGATGATCAGTGCTGCAGCAGACTGATAAAGGTTTGACTAAATCGTTGATGGGGTGTTGCCTAATCGCAGATGCCAGTGATCAGTGAAATCATTCCGGTGTTCGGTTGTGGGTTTGGATAAGGTTTCCCTAGCCTTGACAGTTTGTTTGGATGAGGCCAAGGTATTTCACACATTAGAAGCGCCTGTCGTAGAGCGGGCGCAAACAAGACTAACAACCATAGCCTCATAGACTTTTCCTCCTGAATACTTCACATTGATACTATAATCTGCTGCATCTAGTCATCTTTAGCCGAAGGGGGTTCAGCGCCATCTCCGTGGACTGAAGTCAAATGCTCTGCACAGGGTAGTCAGATCAACAACTTGCCGTGGTCACCTTGCACTACGCCCGGACTCCCGGTCAAAGCCTCAATCCTCAAAACGGACCTCAGCTTCTACTTCATACACCATGTCGCCATCACTGCCCTCGACAGCCTTAGCACCCATTCTGCACAAAGCCACACGATTGACGTCCATACTATCCATCCACACCTCGTCCTCATATCGCCCTACAATATCCGTTGCATCAATTGTCATTCGTCCCTTTGACTTGCCTCTCCCCTTGACATATATAGTGTTCACAATCGTAGCATGCAACAACAGTGGTCTCGCGAGCTCCTCCTTTGACATGAATGATGCAAATTTCCCCCTGACTAACTCGCCAAACCGCCGCAACAGCCCCGAGGGATCTACCGGTGGAGCGTAGATTACCCTACACTGTGCGGGTGGCTGCAACGGCTGTATACCCTTGAGAGTGACTTGGAGATTTTGATCGAGGGATGGGTTTGGTGAGCCCAGCACGACGGCGGCTTCAGTCGCGGTGGGTGCGCGTGCTTCCTCAAGCACAGCCTTCAGACTGAGCCCTCTGAGGGTGCTGACGGCTTGGTGGAGCACCTCATCCTTGAGTGTCATGACCCCAAGTGTGAGATGCAAGGTCCCCGGCGGCCGGACTGCGGACTCGGGTACGGCAGAGCTGTGGGGCGCCGTGATGTCGGCCTTGAAGGAGGCAAGCGAGCGCGTGAGCTGTGGGCTTGATAGCGGTATACAAAGGAAATGCGTCGGCACTGGTCGTGGAGGCATGGCGGCTGTTGCTGTTGGTCGAATACGACTAGACAAAGATGGAATTTCTTGTTTGTGTCTTTCGACGAAAGTCGTTATGAAATGGAGCCAACGAGTGGTGGCAATGCAACAAATTCCCTGTATACCTAGAAAAGATGTAATTGTATGTACAACGCAAACCGAATTTGACGATGCTGACGATGTCCACAATTCCAAACAAAGCAGGCCGAATTCAATCCCGGCACCAGTGGTTCGCGTTACCCGGGACCCCAAACTCCTTTACACTTCAAACATGACGACAACAGCATTCCTTTGATATGAGCACCTAGTATCAATACTCATATCCAAGTCGTCTTGACTCCTCCGGAATCACATAGCCTATCCGGCTTTCGCTGACCCAGGCAATGGCCAATGGCCAGCCCATCATCACAGCGTAGAAGGGAAAGAAGCTACCCAGTGCCGTTAGCCCATGTCCAGTCTCCGCAACGAATGGTCTTGATGACTTACACTGCACTTTGCCCTGCAATACGTCTGATCTGGCGCCCCCAGTCCGCAGGCGCTTTCGCTTTTGACGAGGAAAGTCTCTCGAATGGATGTGCCTCCATGGCCCGGCCTGCATTACGCAGCGTCGAGATGATGGAGAAGCTGCGTTTTTGCAGAGGACGGAGGTTGATGCGTGTAGCTATCATGTTGGCGAGTAGTTGTGGTTTTCTGATAATGTTTCCGTACTCCAAGAAGTGAGTGGTGATGTTCGAAAGAGTAGAGATGGTCTTGATTGTGTGCTTGATCGATTGATACTGATTGAACAATCAAGACCTGTGTAACAGAGAAACATGCTGTGGCTATATACAAAATCCATCCATCTGCCATTATCATGCCTTTGAGGCAGATGACACCACTCTCGCGCGAGACGATTCCGCAAGGCGCGTCCTCCTGCATCCGGCGAATTGTCGCTACGCCTTTCCTTTGCGGCAGATCCTGGGCTATCAGTCATCACATATCAAACATCACGCCACTTGTTGATGACATGGAAAGGCCCAAAATAAGGTCCAAGAACATTGCGGCGAGATCCGACGCTGAGGCTGGCCGTCCCAACAGCCTGGCATGATGTAGGCCACGCACCGGGTGGGCCCCCGGTCTGCACGTGCAGAAACATCGAACCATGCCATGGGCAAAGTCGGGATCTTCCCCCCCTGCGACGAATCCTGAGCGGGCAATTAGCACTGCAATTCAAATCACTGGACCGGCTGTCTCTCGACACTTGACACATTCTTTGTCTTCTGACGCCGCGAATCTTCATTGTGTGGCACGTGGACTTATTCCGTTCCACTATGAGCCCGAACTCCGTCTCGGATGACATGATGATCTGGCCTCAAACTCTGAAGATTGAACACCCAGCCCGATCCGGCCAGCGGCGCACAGCGTCCTCGTCTCGGCTCGTCCCGGCGAGACCCTTAGTGTTGGCATTTTCTGCGACACGGACGTGACGCCCTGCATTTTATGTGGGGGAATAAATAGAACACACATATCATATACCAGCTGCCATTATGGTCGTTCTCTGACCGGAGCTATGACCGACTGTCATGTATACGAACAACCAAAAACCGTGGCAAGCAAGCGATCTGCCCTGCTCTGCACAGACTTCGGCGCCTCCTCCATATAAAGGAGCACCCGGACCCCCTCGACAAACCGCGACCTGCCGTTCGCCCTGGAGTTTGACGCTGATCTTCCAATCAGGGAGAACCCCCCAACAACAATAAGTGAGGGGAAAATCTTCCGCGTCCCCCGACACGTCGTGAAGCATAGCGAGTGGCGTGTGCATCGTCGGGCCCCTCCAGCTCTATGGCCTCGTCTTCGTTCTAACAGTTACGTCAAGGAAAATGGAATGATCGTGGTTGAATGCAATCGTGTGGTCGTCGTCGTCGTCGTCGTCGTCGTCAAAAAGGGGGGAAATGGTGTAGGCTCGAGATTGTTCTCGCCACGTACCCTCAGCTGGCCGGCATAGCGCGTGCAACCATTGTTTCTCCTGCTGCACAGCTCGGACCGTCGCCTTGCCGATGGACGAGAACATTCAGAGGCCCCCCTCAGCGGGGGACCAATGATCTGACGCGCTCTATGCGTCTTCCTTCTCCTTCTTGTCGTAGTAGTTGGTGAGAACTCGACGCGCGTCGGATATGTCGTCCTTGACGACCTTGATGACGTCCTCAATGCGACTCAGGCACAGGGCCTCGTCGGGCTCCGGAGTGCCATCCACGTTTTCCTTTTTCCCGTAGCGCTGAATCTTCTCGCAGCCGTCGCGGACCTTGACCAGACCCAGTGTTGCTGAGGAGCCCTTGAGGAAGTGACCCTTTGCGGACAGCTCGAACAGATCCTTGGCGTCCCTGGCAGTGTGTCAGTAACCGGGCCATGTGTTGTTGGCAGCAGGCAGTGCCACGTACAGCGCATCGTCCATCTCTGTGAATGTTTGGTCGGCCTGGTCAAAGAAATCAAAGACGATGGATGAGCTAAAGCTGTGGTCGTCCGGGTCGTCCATCTCCAGAATCTGGTTGAATGTAGTCATGTCGACGACGCTCTCGAGTTCGGGCAACTCGTCGTCGCTTTTGACCTGTAGCAAAGAAGTGTCAGCCAGGACCTTCCTTCATGGCCGTCGTGCACGGCGCCATGGAATGGGCGTTTGACCAACCTTCTCTTGGGCCGGTGCCATGGCGGGCAATTATTCCCAATGACTCTCTCCGCGGGGTTGGCGGGAGGGTTCGCGAAGATAGGAAGAAGACAGTCAGTCGTACGTCGTATGCGCGCGCGCCTCGACAGGATCCGATGCGACTCGACGGCGACAACGGTGTCAGGAGCGTGGAGAGGGCTGCAGCACGCAGGCGGAGGAGGTGAGAAAAAAGGCAAGTCGGCAAGATGGTCTGCAACGACAGACGAGACAACGGTGACCGACCGGCCGGCCCACACAATGAGGGAGGACTGACTGACTGGTGGAGTGAGTGGTGGATGATGGGATGCGGCGGTTCGGAAGTGGTTGGAGGGTTGCAGGGGACCGACCCGATAGCCACGCCTTACGTAGGTCTGGTAGGTGGTAGTGTGAACCGGTAGTGGATGGCAGCTGTGGGCAATGAGGTAATGAAGAAGTCCGTGAGTAGTTTATTGCCAGCAGCGACTCGTGGGCGGTAATAAGAGGGGGCTGGCCAAGGGAGACGATGTCTGGCTACTTATCCCAGCGAAACAGAAATAAGTCACTGACAATTTGCTACGCAGATAAGTAGTCAGAGACGGCAATGCTTGTTGGTGTGGTTTGATGATGATGATGATGATGCTGACTGTGCTTCTACGTAAGGCAAGGTAGCTTAATACGTGTAGTCGTCCCAGGCAGGCCTGGCTTGGTGGGGGGAGGGCACGAATGAGCCTAGGGTCTCGATGTGGACAGCGGTACCGTTTTGGGTCGCGTGGAGTTGGACAAGCGTCTGAGATTGTAACAGTTCTTGGCGCGATGTTTGTGCAGCCGACGATCCTCAGGACATGATGGAGCCTTCACCCAAGGTTGGTTGAAACTTGAAATGCTCACAGGTTCTCCTCACCTATCGACCATTCTAGAATGCCCGTGCGAGCGTTCCAGAGCATTTCCTGCCATCAGGCGAGTCAGTGACCAGAGGCCACGAGAGTGCGTAATAGGGCCCTTCGACTATCCAAAAAAAAAGTCCCAGACTAGTCTAGTAAAATAGCGCGGGCGGAACCTACTGGTGAGGGGCAGCCTCACGTCGCGACAAGCGCGATGTAACCAACGTGAGCGTACGGAGTCGTGCGGAGTCAGTCCCTTTGAGCTGATAGGGCTCGCCCTTGGCCGGTGAGTGGACTGAAGCTACACGTCGCTCTTGGCGCTGGCAAGGTGGCTTCGGGTGGAGGGCGGGCCTGACGGCGGCTGCAGTGCTGCGTGGTCTTCGAAGCTTTCTGGAGGGTTTCGGACGACAAGACATGTCGAATCGGGATTCAGCTCAGGGCGCGCAGATGACCACAGGAAAAAGCAAGAAAGGTTGCATTGTGACAGTGAGGGGGTCTGCAACACCAGAGAATACATGCATTGTCTTGAGGCTGAACAACCAAGACCAGACGTGATAAGCGCTGGCCGCCAAGCTCGACCTGTTCAGTGCTGCAGGTTTGTCACAAGATGGTCGCGCGGGGGCGGCAGGAGGTCGAGGTTCTGGAGTACGTAGGCTTTGATGAATAACCGCGGCCGAGTACCTCCGCGTACCTCGTTGAAGCGATGCGACTTGCTTTCTTCGTCTCAGGCCGAGGAATGACCGCTTAGTCTCTGAAGCAAGGATTCTTGGGCTGTTCAAAAGCACATTGAATGCGTAAAACACGCAGTTGCGAGTGTTAATGCCGATTTGAAGTGACACTGCTGCAACTTTGACTGGCGTGAGTACATGATGCTAGGGAAAGGTCGTTCAATTCGGGTGGCACCGTGACAGCAACACTAGGAAGTGAGTTATTTAAGAATGAAGCTCCCGACGACCTGGGCCATGATTACGTCGTTGGTTGCATCATCGGGGGTTTAAAATTGTGAATTTGTGCTGGTTGGGCCCTCCACGTCTATCCCACGTAACTACCCGAGACCCCCGCCATCACCTGATGCTTTCGCTGGCGTTGAGGACTCCAACACTATTGACACGACGTAGTACTATGAGCCAGAATTTCACGATCAGATCGTTCTCGCTACAGGGTTGTTGTCCCGAGTCTTTTCGTACCGTAACATTGAGGTCTGGGTCGCGGCACCCGTCCTGCTGATTCTCAACCTAGCCATGTAAGGTATGTAAATAGCATGGAATGAAGACTAGTCCCTCATCCAATCCGGCTAAGAACGATCAGCGTCGACGGCATCACATCTCCACGATCACGGGACAAGGACAGTATTTCACAATCCAAAGGTGAAAATAGCCGGAGCATCTTGGCTTCATGCCTCCATCACCGTGGGCATCGTTGCTAGCCACCGCCTCCATGCGCTTACCGTCCCACAGCAATCTCTCGAGTGCTTCTCGGAGTGGGCAAGATCTTCGCGGGCTCAGAGCAACAGAGCTGACTGCATCTGAATCAGGAGGATCTTGTCCGACGAATATGTCATATGTCCATCGTCGTTTCGTATTCGGCCACTGCTATTGAACGGATGTCCTTCAAGAGCACTAAGACTATAGTGGACCCTAATGGCTGCTGGTGATGTCTCCACGTAGGGGACGTCATTGTGCGCAGCACCGTCTTATCGACACGCGCTGGCCTTTTGCAGGCACCGAATCTTGCACTGAAGCGTGTCCGATCGTGTGGTAGCACAGAGACACGAGGCTGGACGGGCAAGTTGACAAACACGCGGTGTTGCGTCTTTCCTCGCAGGTGACTTGTCCGGCGTGAGTCTCGGTGAAAGTGTGGTGTATTAAGCATTATATCGTAGAGTCATAACAGAAACTTCCACGCCAGCGGGCCTTGAAACTGTTGGTACAGCAAGTAGGAGCCGCGTTCAGAAGATGACCTTGGTCGCCACGCCGAGCAGCCATGCAGCATCGCCCCAAGCAGTTTCATCCTTCCTAGGCGGCTGGATGTTTTCGCCAGAATAGTTCGTCATACCCTCCAAGTGCCTGGAAGACAGACCGCTGCGACCTGTGGTCTGCGAGGCCGCATCTGTCGACGACTCGACCTCTTCGTCGGAATCCCCGTCGTTCTCCTCGACCGAGAAGAGACGCCATCCAATCATGTTGCTGATCCATGAGGCACCACCCGAGGTTCCGTATTGCACCAATCTCCTCACCGCAGCATCGTCCGCAGCAGATGTGTCCTGCTCTAATTCTTCCAACCGCTCGTCCAAGTCGACAAAGTCGGGGCCCTCCTGCTCGGCGGGGAAGTATGATTCCCCATCACGGTCCCCTGGCGTCATCGCTGCGCTCCGCAGGCCAGCCAGGCTATGGCTTCGGCTCTGGGCGCGACTGGCATGACGACTGACATAGCGGCTTCCCATCCTAGAGCCAGCATCCTCATCCAACGCAGCCGAGCTGCCCCGTCGGCTGGCCAGTCTGCTCGCCCTCTCACGCTCCGCGACTAGCTCCTCCTCGAGCACCTCATCATCCTCGTCGCGCATGGCCGCGAGGCTCGTTGAGCTCTGACGCGACACAAGCCACGACTGACCCTTGTATTCTCTAGCCTCCGTACTCATCAACGCGCCCGTCCGTAGAAGCCAATCGCTGTCCGAGCGGTCGCGCAACTCGAGATCATCCTTTCCGCGGTGCCTAGATGCCATTGGGCCATTTTTGTGTCCATGTGCACCGAGAAGATGCGTCGTGGATTTGCTCTTGGAGACGTTGGGGACGTGGGCCCCAGGGGCCGAGGGTGTCCGCCTGTGACGGGAGCGCGACCGCGGCCCAGCCGGCGAGTGAGAGAGAAGTCGAGGAGTCGTCGGGGCGGACTTTCCCTGCAGGTAGGATGTGCTGCGCTGAGGGGCTAGGGACGAGGCATCGTGGAATGCCGACGCGTCGACGTCGTGGATGGGGATCTTGGTGGTGAGCGGAGCGAGGGACAGATGGTGCAGGTTCGTGTTGCTTCGGTTCTTCCGGCGAGCGCGCTCCGCATGAGGGTTGTAGGCGAGATCCATCGTTGCGCCAGTCGCTCCTATTCGCGATGCGATGGAAGGGAATGTAGAGTCCAAAGACAATGAACCAGTAGTAATTGATGTAGGGGTTGACGAAACTATTTGAAAGACGGGGTTCGGCTCATGCTTGAAGGAGGAATGAATCGGAGGGCGGTTACTTGACGGTTACGGATACTCATTTCACTGTTGCTGGGCCCCACCCTGGATCGCCTGCCTTAGCGGATGCGTGAACCGCTAGCCGAGGTGACCGTATTGCTTGTGATAATGCTGGAAAACTACGAATAGGCACGGAACGCACCTCTCTTGAAAGGATCCAACAGGGGATTGTGGACTCACAATGGCCTCATTTCTGGGTGAGTGTGGCGTGGTGGCTGCATCGCGCGCTCCGAACGAGCTGCATGCTGTTAAGGGGTACTTAGGCAAACCTCCTACAATGCCCCGCCGAGGGGCAATTCCAAGTATCCCCCATCACCCAAATGGAAGGGGAAAAAAATTCACGAAGAATCACCGACAACCTCATCTACCCGCCACCCTACAATTTCCGACGTTGCAGCGTATGCCTGGCTAGACGCGGATCTCGGACAGAGCCCAGTCTGTGGCGCTCGTACTTCATGTGAAAGAAAGCCACCCATATCCCATTGCCCCCCTCTCAGCAGCCATGCGCAACCTACGCAATGTGCGCTTCGGCCGGTGGAGCCAAGCCAATATCACGGCTACATGCTGGGATCCTGAGTATGACGAGACTATTTGTGCCGTTGGGCCGACAGAGACGAGCGCTCGCATCGAGTTGCTCAGGGTATCAGAGAAGGGCGAAAATCTAGCACACGAACTGCTCACGAGCTGGGACTCGCCCAGCCCCAGTCCCGATCTTCTGGCGGATACAATCCTCAGTCTCCAGTACCAGAATGGCACGGGGTCGATATGCATCGTCCTCGAAGGCGGAGACATTGTTTCCGTCAGCGCAGATGGTCAGGTAGAGATCATGGGCTCGATAGACTCCGGCATCGCGGCCGCACGGTGGTCTCCGGATGAGGAGCTACTCATTATCGTGACAAAGGAGCAGAATGTACTGTTCTTGGGGAGCTCCTTCGACCCCGTGGCCGAAGTCCCAATGTTGGAGGAGGACCTCAAGCTGTCCAAACAGGTGTCTGTTGGTTGGGGCAAACGCGAGACGCAGTTTGAGGGTCGTGGAGCCAAGGCACTGCGCGATCCTACAATCCCTCTGAAAGTCGATTCTGGTGTTCCAAGCAAATTCGAAGATGGTGCGACGACAATCAGCTGGCGCGGAGACGGAGCGTTTGTGGCCATCAATTCGGTTGCAGAGGGCAGCCGCCGAGTGATACGGGCATACTCCCGCGAAGGCGAGCTGGACAGCGCGAGTGAGGCCGTCGATGGCCTGGAAAGCGCACTGAGCTGGCGTCCAGCTGGCAATCTCATGGCCAGTATCCAGCGGCTGGAGGACCGGGTTGACGTTGTCTTCTTCGAGCGCAATGGCCTGCGCCATGGAGAATTCACACTGGTCTCGCCCGTTTCAGGCCCTATCCAGACCGTGGACAACATTCGCCTCGAGTGGAACGCCGACTCGACTGTCCTCGCGGTTGTGTTGCAGAGCTGTGTGCAGCTGTGGACGATGGGCAACTATCATTGGTACTTGAAAGAAGAGATTCCGGTGCGCACAAAAAGTCTCTCCTGGCATTCAGAAAAGGCACTACGGCTGGCCCTGGCCTCGTCTGATAGTCTGCTCTCGTCAGAATACGCTTTTCACACCGCCAAGGGCAGTTGCCATGCTCCCTACGACAATGGTGCCGTGGCAGTCATAGACGGCACGGCTGTCAAGCTGACACCTTTCGCTACCGCGAATGTGCCGCCCCCTATGGCTCTATACGATGTACCAGTCGAGTCTTCAGTCATTGACGTTGCTTTTGGCAGACAAAACTTGTCTTTCGCCGTGCTGCACCACAAAGGCGTGTCTGTATTTGACTGGTCACTCAAGAATGGGCGACCAACAAAGCCCTCACTTCTCTTCGAAGCTCCGTTCAGCGCTGTGGACATTCCTGGCGACCACATGCCCTTGAGGATATGCTGCGCTTCCGAAACCACGTTCCGAATCTCAAGCTATCAGCAGACTTTTGAGCTCGAGCTGGCAAGAAACTGCTTGCGAGTATTGGCGGACCGGCCAACACTACTTGCCTTTGCCACCCACGAGGACGAGAGCGGTGTCCAAGGCTATGGTCAAGACCGAGGTGGGAAACTCTATCGCCTTGAGGAAACGGAGGATTCTATGATCATCCCCCAATTCCCCACACAGTTGCCATTCTTCGAGGTCACCAAAGTCGACGAGGTTACGTTGGCCTTTGGCCTGTCTAGGGGTGGGCATCTGTATGCTAACTCACGGTCGTTGGCAAAGAACTGTACATCGTTTGTCGTCACCCCGAGCCATCTCATTTTCACGACCAACAACCACTTTGTTAAGTTTGTCCATCTTGCTTCAAATGTGGACAGTAAGTCATTACCGCACAACCCTGCATGCCAGTAAATACTGATTCTGTATAGACCTGGAGGTACCCTCAGATGATCTGGAAAAGGATGAGCGATGTCGTAGCGTTGAGCGCGGCTCTCGTCTGGTGACTGCAATCCCTACCAACATGAGCATCGTCTTGCAGATGCCTCGCGGCAATCTCGAGACGATCTTCCCGCGCGCCATGGTGGTGGCTGGCATACGGAACCTGATCGAGGAAAAGAACTACGGCCGTGCATTCTCCTATTGCAGGACGCAGCGAGTGGACATGAACATTCTCTATGATCACCAGCCTGAGCAGTTCATGGCCAACGTCGGCTTGTTCCTCGACCAGCTGAAGGAGGTAGCACACATTGACCTTTTCCTCTCAGCACTTCGGTACGTGCTTTTGCATGCTTCTCTGGTCATGAGATCCGTATCTGACAAAATGCAGGGCCGAAGACGTCACGCAGACAATGTACGAGAATACCAAACAGCAGAAGCCCAGCGCGCCCTTCACCCCCAATCTCGCGCCGAGGCCGGCCAGCTCTAAGATCAACACGATCTGCGACTCAGTTCTCAAAGCTCTCCAGTCACGCAAAGCAAGCAACCTCCAAAACATTATCACAGCCCATGTCTGCAAGGATCCCCCCGCACTGGACGATGGTCTGCGTCTCGTCGCGGACCTCATGCAAGAAGACGACAACGTGGCAGAACGTGCCGTTGAGCACATTTGCTTCCTTGTCGACGTGCATCGTCTGTACGACCACGCGCTGGGTCTATACAACCTCGACCTGGCTCTCCTCGTCGCGCAGCAAAGCCAGCGTGATCCGAGGGAGTATGTCCCCTTTATCCAAGATCTCCACCAGAAGCCCGAGCTCCGACGTAAATTCGCCATCGATGACCACCTGTCCCGTCACACCAAAGCTCTTACCCACCTCCAGAGCTTGAACGTCTTTGACGAGCTGTGCGATTACACCGCCAAGCATGCTCTCTACCATGAAGCGCTTCGTCTCTACCGTTATGACACGGCCCGTTTGAACATTCTCACCGACCTGTACGCTGCCTACCTCGAATCTATTTCGCAGTACCGCGAGGCGGGCTTGGCCTACGAATCTCTCCAAAACTACAAAAAGGCCACATCGTGCTACCAGTCCGCCGGAGCACTATGCTGGCAGGAATGCCTCTTCAGCGCGCAACAACAGCCCCTAGGCACCGATGCCATGGCCGACTTGGCCAACACCCTCGCTGACGCCCTATGGGAGTCCAAGGACTACGAGGCGGCAGCAACCATCCACCTCGACTATCTCGCCTCCGTCGAAGCAGCCATCCGCTGTCTATGCAAGGGGTACCACTTCCCCGCCGCCATCCGCCTCGTCATCCAGCGCGGCCGACCCGAACTACTGACCACCGCCGTCGATGCCGGCCTCGCCGAAGCCCTCGGGTCAACCACCGAGTTCCTGGCCGACTGCAAGGCCCAGCTCACCTCGCAGCTGCCCCGTATCGCCGAGCTGCGCCGGAAAGCCGCAGAGGACCCGCTGTCGTTCTACGAGGGCGACCGCACCGGCGGCATGGACATCCCCGACGACGTCTCCATCGCGGCGAGCTCGCGCATAAGCACGAGCGCCAGTCTGTTTACCCGTTACACGGGCAAGGCGGGCAGCATCGGCACGCTTGGGACCGGCGTGAGTCGCGCGAGCAGCAAGAACCGCAAGCGGGAGGAAAAGAAGCGCGCCCGGGGTAGGAAGGGCACTGTGTATGAGGAAGAGTACCTGTGCAATTCAGTCCGACGCTTGATCGAGAGAGTCATGGCGACAAAGAGCGAGGTGGAGAGGCTCGTGTTCGCTCTCGTGAGGAGGGGCATGGCGGAACGCGCCAGGGCTGCGGAGGCATTGATGGGGGATGTCGTGGCAGCATGCGAGCGGGCCGTCCACGAAGTCTTCCCCCCGCGGAACGAGGGCGGCGTCGAGCCGCAGCAATACGCGGAGGCCCAAGCTGCTGGTGGAGGAGGCAGTGGTGTCTTTCAGGAGTTCGTAGTGGAAGGGCGGCAGACAGCTGACGCGCCCCTTGTCACGGGCATGAAGAGGCTGCAACTTCTTGGATCGTAGACTAGTGAAACACCACATATATTCCTTCCATTGCCAAAAGATACAGATATCATCGCTATGTAAAATATGTCTCGTTGGGTGAGTAGGTACAGAACCCTTCTATATCCGCCGTCGCCCTTCAACGAGGCCTCCCTATTCGAAGAATAGTATGCCCTTCCGAAAGGGTGTCTTGTCTCATTTCGTAGCCTCGTTTCATCCATCCTGCTTGGCCGTTGTCGTCTCGTCTTTACCATTACCGCTGTCGCCGCTCGCTGGCCTTGCGGTCTGCTCGCCAGATGCGCGATCTTGACCCTGCTCGTGCTCTTCCTCCCGCTCTTGTCCACCTTCCAGCTCATCCTCCTCCTCATATTCCTCATATTCACCCTCTTCAAACTCTTCGCCCTCCTCGGGAAGGAGACCGTTCATTCGATCCCACACCTCTCTTCGGATCTTGTCTTCCTTGATCTGCCTTGCGCGTTCAATCTCCTCGAATCCGCCGCTCTTCTTCAAACGACCTTCCTGGACGAAGGCATGGATCTCCTGGTGCAACTTGTTGCCTCGACGGCCAGCGAGTTCCTTTTGTCGCAGTTTCTCGGCACGTTCAATGGCTTCTAGACGGTTCTCGTGATTAGGCTGGAGAGCGCGTACCTCGCCAAGAACGCCCTCCTTGGCCGCGTTCGGGTCAAGACTGTTGCCCAGATTCTCCAGGCCCTTGGAGAACTGTCTCGCCGTGCCGGCGCTGGCACCCGTGCCAGCATCTTTCATCTGTTCCTTGGTGGCTTGCTCGACCAAGACGAATGTCTCGGTAGCCTTTTCGAGGTCGTCGCGAAGATCGACGAGCAGTTCCTCCATAACGCGAAGCTCGTCGCGACCTTGGCAAACGTCCTCGAGTTCCTTCTCCCAGATCTTAGTCCAGATGGGCTTCTCTTGCGTGAGATAGTCCTCCATCCTCTTGAGTTCCTTGGTCAGACCAGAAATATCCTTGGAAACGTTCTCCAGCTGGCGAGGCAGGGGCCGCACGCCACGGTGGACGACGTCTTTGCGCAAGTCCTCTACAAGATCTTGAAGATCGTCGACCTTGCCGACGAGATGGTCCGAGTCGGTGTTGAGGTGTTGACGGCCCTCCTTGACGTAGGAGTATCCAGCATCGCCATCTATATCCGGAACGACAGCCTTGGCAGCCACAGTCTTGACATCGGCAGCCTTTTGTCGAAGGCTGGACATGGAAGTCTGGACATCGGACTGGAAGTTGGAGTACGTCTGGCGGAGGACAGCGAGATCGCGTCGCAGGCTTTGCAACTCGCCCGCCTGGCCATGGTTGAGCTTGCGCCCGCTGCCGAACGCAGGCCTGGATGGCCCGGGGGAGCTAGCCGTGACCGGTGGGTTGGTTGCCAGGTTCGCCAGCTCTTTGGATGTTTCCTGCTGGCGGTCTGACACCTGCTGGAGGGTGGCGCCCTGGTCGTCCACATTCTGCTTGACTTCCTGCACAATCTTGGCCAGAGAAGACATGCCCTCGTCGATATGGCGCTTGATTTCATCCAGAGGCTCCACGTTGAGCACCAAGACTGTGCGGTCTTTGACGTCTGTCAGGTCTTCGAGCTCATGCCTGACCCCCGATACTGGATCCTGGATATAGATTTCCGGGAGGTCGGTGCCATTCTGTTGTGTGCTCCACGAGAACTTCTCAATGAATGCGAGCTGCAACCGGCCAATGGTGAGCTCCTCGCGTCCCTCTGGCAGGACAAACTTTTTGACCTTGGATTTGTACTGCAAGAATAGCGTCAAGTCTTGAGTGGGCGTCGGAGGCGGCGAGACCTGGAAGTACGACTCGCTTGGCTTGGACTCGCGCGGCGGTGGTGGCAGGGACTTCTCTTCGATCTTGGGCGGTTCGTCGGCCTTGGGGGTCGTCGCTGTGGCATTGGCATCTGGCAGCGAATCTTGTCGGCTGACGAATTCTGGTGCGTCAGGCAAGGGACCTGCCAGGGTGGCGCTTGGGGCGTATTTGTCCTCTGGTGTTTGCACCTCCGGACTCTCCGAAACAGACGTGCTTTCTTCTCCTTGCGCGGCCTCTTCGGACACACGACTGGGAACACGAGCGGGCGCAGTATCTTGCGCCGCGGCTCGGGATTGTGTGGAAGTATGCCTACTGTGGCGGACAGATTCCCTCTTTTGCACAGCTCGCAGTGATTCTCGTGCTTCCTTCTTGCCCCGATTGGGTACCGGACCATTCTGCGCCAGGATGGGGACGCCGTTGACCGAGCCGCCCAGATGCTTGGATATCTGGTATTGCGAGTAGCGTCGAGATGCTCGGCGCTCGAGGTCGCCACCCTTTTGAAGTGCCGCCAGCGCGCTGGACTGGTTGTCAGGTGGTGGCGGCGGTGGCGGGGGAAACGAGTCGACGTGGACTTCGCTCTTCCCCGCTGAAGGTAGGGATGGCATCGACTCATCCCCAGGGTATGGTGGCAGCACTGGTATATTCTGCATCGTGTTGCTCGACAGTGTGGACTGTTCGGAAGAAATGGAGTTCAAAGACTGTTCTCGCTGTGAGGGGAAGCGCCTCGTAGGCGAGGGATTCCTTTGCGCGGCAAGTGAATCACTTCGCGGTGCGTCGGGCTTGTACCCATTTTCTATACCCTCTTCCAACAGGTTCGTCAGGCCACTGTTTCCGCTCCCCACGGTGCTCACGCTCGTGGTTCTCTCGGGTATCGGGTTGCCGTCCCGGTCTCTGAACTGCTTCTGGCGGAGTTTGTGTTGTTTGCGCTTGAGGCCATGGAGAAGGTTGATGATAATGTCCCGTATCCTGGGCAAGTAATTCTCCAGGTTCTCTGAGCTCGCTTCTTGGCTGAGCGTCGCTTCGAGTATGTGTCGCAGGGAATCAGGCACGTTGCCGAGGTCGGATACGTCAACGTTGATGGCTGAGAAGGCTCGGCACGCCATGTTGAACTCGTAACCCAAACGTACATAGACGTCGGATACCTGTGTATCGGTTGCCTGCCCCCTCGACCATTGCGTCAACGTCTCGAGAAGCTGCTTCGTGGCGACGAGGAGATGGGTCACGCTCTTTTCGATCTGCGAGAGCGGCATGTTTGATCCGCTGCCCGAGTTCTGATGCCCCGTATTAGCTCTGTTGCTCTATCCGCATCACGTCGACTCACCTCTCGGTTGACCCTCCTGGAACTGCTTTGGCTCGATCGTGAGACGCTTCCTTGCTGCGGTCGTCCTTGCGTGCCCGGTGAGATCGAGCGCACAGGGACGTTTGGCGGTGGGCCAGGCTCCGCGCCTGGCGACCGACGCTGGAACCCCCTCTGGGACCCAGGTTGCGACTGCATGACCGAAGCGATGTGTCGTGTATATTATGGTGCGATTGTCGAAAATACGCGGCAGGTTTCGAAATGCGATCCAGACGACAATTGATCTCGTCTAGACAGATTGGGCTGGGATGGCTGGGGCAGGCCAGCCTAGCACTGGGGACCAGGGTTGTGGTCGTCGTGGCCGCTCGGTGGTGGTGGTAGTATTCGCTCAACTGGCTTGGGCTAGGTCAGCTATTTGCGCTCGGGAACGACCGACATGACCCGTGGTCAAGAATGTGCGCGAAGGGAGAAAGATGAAGACAGGCAAACGCACATGGCCGAGGGACGTGGCCAGAATGCGACAGCAATAGGAGTGTCGGGAGGTTGCTCGCTTGTCGATTGCCTGCCTGCCGCCTGGCCTGGCCTGGCTGTGCAGCGTGCGCTACCCTACAGCTGTTGGCCCGATGACTGCCGCTTCCGGCCCTTGATTGGGCGCGTCAGGGGTAGTTTTCTGTCGCGAAGATGAGAAACAAGCTTCAACGCATCTGATTGGGGCTCAACGCGGCTAATTACGGGTCACGAATCCTCCGACATCACCCCGTCCCGCACGCGTGCTATGGAGAAAGTACATCAACGCATCTACAGTCCACGGATGTAGCCGCAATCACGTACCAAGTCACGCTGATCCTGCCTGGTTACCTCTGCAGGTGCATTACCATGGCATCGGGGACGAGGTCCTCGAATCTCTCTCCGTGGGGATAACTGGTCATTCGAACAGGATGTTTCGACATCGACTGCTCACGTCGTGAAAGATCCGTACTGAACCTGCCGGAAGACTTGATGAACCGAGATCGCCAATTCGGCTTGGACGATAGGAAACCCGCGTGCTTCGAGAGCGTCAGCCCTCATATGTCGATAACTATAAGTTCAAACGGAGATGGAAGCCAAGCATCCAGAGCGATCACAACGGCTGCCCGAGCTATCGCTCCCTTCATCAGCTACGGAACGAAGGCGTGGGCCGTCCTTCTTTCAATGAATGCCAATTGATTGGATGTGGTAGTGGTTTCTGACACCTGAAGCTTTGGCCATTATGTTCTACCAGTCGTTGCGTGCACAGACACCAGGCATCTGTTCGGAACCTCGCAAGACACTGCATGAATTGGCCGTATTGCAGCTTCTATATCCGTATACGAGTACGGAATGCGCCCTGGATCGCATGTGCTGCTTTCCAAGCCAGAGCGTACCTTGCTACTTGGTACTGTACAGAAAGAAACCCTTACGATCTTACTTCTATTGTCTGGCGACAGGCCAATTCCACACCTGGAGCACACTTGTCGCCAGTTCTATCTGTCGTCGACTTGGGTCACTATGCGCCTGACCATGGTCGGGCGGATAACCGGAGAAACTTTCCGACGCTGAAACAACTTGGAAATTACTGTCCGCAGGCAGTTCAGAACACAGTTGCCATGCGCTGCCTGCATACGCCCACGTCACAAAGTACATCATGGCGTGTCTCAACGTGCGCCAGAGCCTCAATTTCCCTCCAACATCCCCCACAGCCACGCCTCGGGGTGGCTAGCGGAATGACCCTATGGACCCTACGCGGAGTTGTCTCTCAACCCTATCCCAGGACTCTTCATCAACCCAGAGGAGTGGTGCTTGGTGGATGTGGGCATGTCTGAGGACTTGGACGACGACAGCCAAGTCTGCTTCAAGGTTCTCCCATCCCCAATGGCCTTAGTCGCTATGGATGTCACGCCAGACCGGATCATATCATGTGCACCAAAAGCCCTGTATACCTGTGGCTCATGAATAAGCGTCGCGATTTGTTATTTTTATGTTCACGGAGCAGAAGCACCCGCAGGCTTTGGTCGCTTGAGCGCATTGTTGCCCGTTTGTGCCAAAGGTCGATAGCTTCTGGCTCATCAGAAACTGTGTGGTCACAATGTTTGGTACATTTCCACAGTTCTGTACGAAGCTTGGCACAAGTTCGTTCAATGGTTGGTTGAAGTGAAGTGGGTGATTCGGCGGGAGTGAAACTTGCGTGTACTTGCTAATGTCTTCAGTTCCCTGTTTCCTTTTGGCAACATCTCCTTTCGAAAAAAAAAAAGACTAGCCCTGAATTATTAAATCGACTACATGGAGGCTACCTGTACGATTTGAGAAGACCATTGTCCGGTTCACCATCTGCTGGGCCATCCAGCGCTTTGATCTTTGAGAGAAGACCGTTGCAGTGTGAGTCTGACGCCTGAATGGGCTTGGGCACGCCGGTATGCGACCCCTTTCGTGCGCCGTTGTGGGATGCACCGTTTGCGCCTCCATTGGTAGCCCCAATTGGTGCCTTGATGATGCCATTCTCCCTCAGCTTCCACTGCGCCATAACAGACCGCGTCGCGTGGTAGTGCCTCTCAAGCCCCTTTATGATGGCCCTGCCGACAGGCTCGATCTCTTCGGGGTCCACACCCACGGAGATTCGCATGTATGGGTCTTCGTTGCGAATGAACGGTGTCGAGGGCCAGATGCGTGTTACGGAGAATCCCAGGCCGCCACCCTTGGTCATGGCCACACCTTCCTCCTCGCAGGCTCGCAACACTAGGCTCGTGAACGCGTCCAAGCTTGGACGCTTGTTGATCTGGTCGTCGCCAAAGAGGCGGATGGTAACGACGTTTCCGCCGTGACTCCAGCCCATCTTGCGCCATTGAAGGGGGTAATTGAACCTGGCAATTGTGGAAGCCCTCTTGTCCAGGAAATGGTATAGCTTCTCCGCGTTAGAGGTGAGATGGTGCATCCGCGACTGATGGATGTCGTAGTCGATCTGCGGGAGGACATTCGCCTGGCGCGTGTAGAGCGTCAGACCCGTGACCTGGCGGATCAGGCCCAGGGTGTCGTGGTACTCCTCGGGATAGACGAGGAATCCACACATGACGATGTCCATGCCCATCTGGATGTACTTGTGGGCGCTCTCATAGTAAAGTACCTTGGGGTGGCTAGGCTCACTGAACCAGTCGAATACAGCCATGCCGCCCGAGACGAGCGTGCCGTCTATCAGCAGGTGGCGGTCTGCCCAGCCCTCTCTGCCCGAGATGAGCTGCGAGAACTTACGGATGTCCGTCGTCTCCAAGCCGATGGTGTTGGCCATGGGGTCCAAGTAGACGGCCTTGGCGTTATGTCTCTCCGCCGTGGCAATGATGTCCTCCGCGTCGAAAGTCTCCGAGTTGATGAACTGGATGTGATTGACCTGTCGCACGAGCTCGAAGCACTCAAAGTATAGGTATGGCGAGATGACAATGACATCGCCCGCCTGTAGGACGTTGCTGAGCAGGAACTGCTGCAAAACCGTGAACGCGGCCACGCCACTGGATGTCAGGAGCAGCTTGAGGGGCAGCTTCTCGTTACCCAGGCCGAGGGCTTTGAGCAGACGGGCTTCTAGCGCTCGCACGTCCGGCGCGCCGTAGCGGTCGTAGTTGAGACCATCTGACAGGTGGTACGAAGGATCAAACCACCAGAGCGTCTTTGCTTGGTCGTAAGAGGGACTGGCACGCTCAAAGAAGGAACCTAGAAAGGACTGCATCTGGACAAGAGCACGGTAGCGCTCCTCCATCTGCCAGGGACTCAGCGTGAAGGCCGCCAATGTCTGGCTCTGGCCCTGTTCCTGGTTCTGGGTGATCGCCAGCTGCATCTCAAATTCGGCTGTCAAGCTCTCGAGGCGAGTGTAGGTGTCTTGGAAGATGCCAATGCACCAGTCGTCGGTGCGAGCATTGATCTCCTTCTCAATAATGGCACGTTTGTCGTAGCGTTCCTTGATAGTGGCTGTCGTCTCTTTGAGACGCAGCAGCAGCACAACCCACATACCAGCGATGGACAACCTCGGCGATTCAGAAGGCTTCAGATCTGAGCGATGCGCCAGTTGCCCATGGCCATTGGGGTTGCCCACCGCAACGGGGTATGGATGTGAGTTGGAGACAACCATTGCGTGTCAAGAATGGGAAGGCAACGGATGGAGTTGTCAAGAATACAAGACAAAGACAAGGAGCTATCCTTCGAGCGACTTCTGAGCGAAGAACGCGCGGTTCTGTAGCTTGGCTTCTTCGATCTTATAGTGGGTGGAACCCCCGTGCTCTGCCTGGTAGGTAAAACAAGACGCGTCTGCAACACTCTGCTTGCCGCAACCCGGGAGTAGACTGCGCTGTCTGTCAGTGAATCTTGTACAGAGACCTCTCATTTCTCTCATGAGAGCACTTGCAAACGCTCAGGGACCTGTCACCTGGCTGCATCGCATGAATACCGACCTGCGTACGGGGGCGTGTTTTTTTGGCTTCGAGTCGGGTACATGCATTGCATAGGCAGGTGCCGCGAACGCGCAGATTCTCGACCTTTCCATGCGCAAGGCGATTGGCCGTGCTCACCATCCTCCTCGTCATGGTGCGAGATCAACCCCTTGCCATCAAGATGTGGGGTGAGGGATGGAGCTTGATGCTTCCTCCTGCAGGCCCTAGTGCTCATTCTGACCTTCCCAGATAGGAATTTTTACATGTACGCTACTTTGTATGGCTCGAGATGGCTCCTGCGAGCTTTTCGGGGCGGATTCCTTGGGGTTGACGGCAAGGAATCGAGGCTACTGTCATTTCCTACGAATTGGCGAAGATTGATAGATGGGTCCTGCAGCAGTCATGGAGGGCGGGGGCGTTGGGCAATCTCTTGAGCGCGAGAAGACAAGACTTCGAGTCTGACGAGCAAAGTCATTGGGGTCTGATCAGTCGTTTGAGGCCGGCGATTCGGCGAGCCTATGTGCTTTGTGGGTGTACCTTTTGGGAGGACCTGACAAAGGAAGTGGCGCACAAACGTATGCTCCGTCTTGATCATTCTCAGCAACGAAGCATCGCCATCTTATACAAATCCAGATACTGCAAGGATCTCTCTCGCCCGCACGCCAACTCCTCTCTCCATGCCAGATCTCGCTTCACACTTGCGATCCGCCCAGCACGCAACGCCAAACATGAATAGCATTAAGGGAGTCAACGGGATCAACGGTGTACATGGACACGGAATCAACGGCCGCGGCATGAAGGGCATAAATGGTGTCAACGGACACACAAAATCCTCTTCCCGAGGGCCTCACATCCTCAATGTCCTTGAGCAACGTTATGATCCAAAATTCTACGAGGCCATCACGGCCATCATGACGCTCCGCACATCATACCTTCGAAACAGATACATCTTTGTCAAAGGCGAGGATATGGTCCCCATTCTCTCCGGCCTGGGCGCCAGACAGGAGGACTTTGAGTCGGTCCAACAGATCAGCGACCTCACAGGGCCCGACCCAACTCTCGACTACCGGTCCGTTACCTATGGCCGATACTGCATCGACCCAGAGACGCGCAGTATACGCCGCCTCGAGTCTCAGCCTTATACTCTCACCGTTCAGGAGGACTATAAGCGCCACGACTCGGGCGTACCCAGGACATTTGACGAAGCGCCCTCAGACATGCAAGGCAACACGGTTGTCCAGGCCCTTCTGCTCTTCAAGGCGCTCATTTTCCATGGGGTCCAAGTGCCGCCTCGAGATCGGCTCGACTATTCCTCCTCGCGCTGGGTGACCATCATGTTCAACGCGCGGACGCACACGGCGCGCAACCAGGGCATATTCGGCGAGCCAGCCCTCGAGGGCGTGCACTCGGACGGTTCCGACCACACCATGACCGTCTTCCTGGGCAGCCACAACATGCGCGCCGACAGCGCCGTCACTTTTATGCATGACAACCAAGAGAAGACGGGCGTCCAGACGTGGGAGACGAACCCGACCCTGATCAGGGGCCGCGTGCACCACCAGCACCTCCTCGACACGCTCATCTTTGTCGATCACGAGTTCAAGCACAGCGTCACTTCGGTGCACCAGCAAGACGACTCGTACCCGGCCACGAGAGACATGCTCGTCGTCTTTACGCGCAGGCCAAAAATGAGCGGGCATGTGTCAGGGTATGAGGACACGATGGATCTTCACCCCACAGCACCACTGCATGTGCCCATGTGGCTGCCTTGATAGAGGGGAGAGCTACCATACGACGCGCACGCACAGACACACGGCATGTATAGTGGTGGATAAAACATTGGCAAGATTGCATTCATCTTCCTGTCAACTATACCTGGGTGGGTGCGATCGAAGTCACCATATCGTGTCTGGCCGAATGAGCATACAGCCAGAACGAACTCCAGTCATTGTCAAGTCATGTGCACGTGTCACTATACATTTCGTCGACACGAGTGCCGGTATGGTGTGCGCATTCTAGAAATAAATGTCACCCCATGGGCACCCGTGTGCTTATGAGAATCCTACGGCTCACGCAAATCCCCCCCTCCCCCGGACCCCCATGCAACCATCGAATGGGAAAGGGCGACAAAAGAATACGAAATCCATGCTTTTATTTGTGTTCTATGCATAGGCATAGAGGTGGCTCTCTTGTATCCCCTCATTCTTCTGCACAGTATCATGTACCAAGTACTTACGACAGTACTTACGACTTCGCCAAGTTCATGGGAGGAGGCACTTGCTGATAAGGGCGGGGTCACATCAAATAGGTATTCCTGGAGGATCGACTTGCAGGCGGGCACTTGAAGGAGGATCAATGCCGAGAACAACGCGTCTTGTCAATTCACTGGTGAAGACTTAGGAACCATGTGAGGAAGTATTTATCAGGATTCTGACGTGTCGGCCGGTTCTGAGGGGATCCATCCCGGTTTTGGCAGCACTGGCTTGATCAACGCCATCACGATGTCCAGGCGGGGGCAATAGAAAACAAACTAAGTTCAGCGTATTGCTTCGTTTACAGAGTTTGACAGTGTCAAATATATCTCTAACTAGTATCGGCGGGATAGGAGCTGGTGTGGAGAGTGTTGGCTACGGCAGAGTGTTGGTTCTACGCACTGGGACTTCATTGACTAGCAGGTGCATGAGCAGGAAATCGGAGATTTATCATAGGCAGATCATCGCATGCTTAGTAAAATGGGGCCTGTTTCACAACCAACATACATTAGACTGGCTTGTGTACAAGGAGAACCAACAGCATGTGAACATAGCCAAGGCCCGCCAAACAGCACATTAAAGTTCCCTCAGCCGTTCCTTATAATTGCTGACTGGGCCGACTTGGAGTCGGTTGACTTCGTGTCCGCCGCGAGTCTCCTAGAAGTCACAAGCCGAGAAAAGCCATCAGTGCCGTCGTACATGTGAGTTTACTCGGAGCTCGAGAGAGCAAACCCTCGTGCAAAAGGGTACTCACATAAGCAGACTGTAGTCTACTTTGCAACCCGCGCCATCTACAATGTCTGGATTCATTCCCAGTTCAAACTTCCGGGGCCGTGACACCGAGCCGCCATGCAAACTTCGTACCGAGTTGGCATATGAGGAAATTTACGCCCACAAGTCGCGCGACTAGGAGATGGTCAAGGTCCCGAGTTCTACGTCCGCAACCTTAACGCCCTGTCCATTGTGAGTGGGGTATGTGTCCCTCGCTCGACTTCAACTGCTTTTACCGGTTCAGTCTTTCGGTATGCTAACTTGTGGACCAGATGTTCGTGGTCGTGAACCACTACGCCGCGTACCACTTGACGCTCAACTTTGGACGACCAGGTAGTTCCTTCCCGAGCGCTTCCTCAAACGAGACGGCTTCCCGGACGACCGACACCATGTAATGCAGCCATTCAGCATGGGTCCGCGCGACTGCATAGGCAAAAGCAGCTGGCGTACGCCGAGGGGCGTCTGATGCTCGGTCGATTGCTGCTCAAGTTCGAAATGCGGCTAACCCCCGAGGCGGAAGACTGGATGGACCAGAAGCGCTACGGGACGTGGATGCGGCGCCATTGGAAGTGTTCATCAAGATGTGTGAGAGGCGATCGGCTCTCGGGGGGTGTGGGTGCGCTTTGTGTCTGAGTGGAGCGGCAGAGGAGAGAAAAATGCCGGAGATGTTATCTGCACGTTCGTTGTACGTGCGAAAGACTCGCGGCCATTCTCCCTTGAGGGCCTCGCTCACGGGGTACTGCGAAGTGGCTTTGTATCCGTGGATAGATGATGGTCCAGGGTCCAAGAACAGCTCGGATGAAGAAGAGTGATGAAGGGGTTGCGGGGTATCGGTTGGGGGTTCGTGAGCAAGGCGCGCGGGGATACATTTCGTCCTCTGTTTCCACATTTGATGCTCAGACGGGGCCCTGCTAGGAAGGAAGGGAGATAAGGAAATTTTTTGGGTCTACCAGGTTATGTGGGCACTCAGCGGGTCAGGAGACGCGACTGTCTGCGATCTAATAATTAGGATCTGTTTGCTTACGCTCCTTGTCGTGTTGCGCGGCATAGACCACGCTCTAGAAGATTTGCAACGTGCTTTCCATGTTTATACTACTGCCACACCGCTGCAGTCTGCACTATGCGTTTAGTTCTTGAAATCCTGCCTAGTTGTGCATTAGCCGCTCAACGCGCATCTGATCACTGGTGTGTGATAAGGGGTTCCTGTAGCGTGAGTGGGGTATGCGTGCTGCGTGCAGATTGTACTTGGAGATGACATCTGCGATTCCTTCGCGTTCTCGGCTGTTGCAGCTTGTAACCTCAGATACTGATATGAACGGCGTTAGAGGCGGATTCAGAACTGGAGGTGAATACTTCAACAAACAACATGAAGCCCGACTTGGGAGTCAGGGGCTCAGCGTACACAATCGGACAGTCGGCCCAGCAGCAGACACCCCGCCAAACTTCAAAGGCGCCACTGATCTCATCTGCTCCTCGGTTTCGGCCGGACCGTACCGCTCTAACCAGGCCAGGGACTGCCGAATGGTAGAGGGAAAAAATCGGAGACTTGGCATTAACGTGGCCTTGCAATAAAGACGCAATCGGCATGCACAGACATGCAATGCGGGTTGTCATGGATTCGTGCAGCGACAGGCCACCAACCTGCTTGATCCTGCTTGGTTTCGTGGCTCTGATCCTTCGAATCCCTCTGGTCTTAGCATCTCCGAACTGCTGACGCGATTGGCTATTCCTGGCTACAGTCGATCGAACCATGATTGTATGAAAACATGGGCTTTTTGCAAGCTGATGCCTCCCTCCTGCAGCCAGTGGGCATGTAAGCTCATCACCCCATGCTATGACTACAAGGACATACATAGGCCTTTGGAGGAATGGAAAGGTGTGTGCACTCCAAGTTTACCACATTCAAAGCATCGACGATCCCCTCTCTCGCTTTTGCTTCCGAGAAAGGCCCCGAGATAGTCATAACATGTCATGCTGCGCCCCCACAGCAAGGTAGTTGATCCGTAGGCGCAGCCCTACTTGGTGACAAGAATGGAGCGTCCGCACGATCCGCAGGATGACAGCAGTGCGGTCCTCCTGGTTGATACACCGCTAGGGGTGCGTCGATGACTTCTGAACGCTCATCAGAATCGCATCCCGATGGCGCTCTGGTTGAATAGAACACAGTTGCATTGGTGTCCGGCATGAGGTTCGGCAACGATGGTCAGTAGATCGCGTACAGGTGTAGTCGACTACAGCTTTGGCTTCATCCCGCCCTCCGCCATCGTATCGACACCCCTAAACTCAAAGTACCTGTTCCACTCGGGGTCGTTGAGGAGATCGGCCATCAACTCTTCCTCAAAGGTCACCTGCAACTCGATCCCCTCATCGTCTCCCGCCGGTCCGCGGTGTGCGGGATAGACAACACATTGACTCAGAGGGATAGTGCCAAACACATGCCGATACGCGGTCGGGCTGGCAAACCCAAAGTCAAAGTCGCAGAAGTTGGAGCTGCGCCAGTCTGTGATGTACAGGGCCATCAAGGGGAAGGCATCCGCGCTGATGGACAGGTTCTCCTTGCCGCGCTTGTGTGCTACCTTTTGCAGCTCGACCGCCAGCATCTTGGGCGTGACACTCTCCGTCATCTCGCGAATGTAGCTCGCGAGCTTGGACAAGGGCACATCGGAGATGATCTCGCCCAGCGTGAACTGCGGGAGGTGCGACGTAGTTGAGTTGATGTCGAACTGCATGTTGCCCTGCATACGCTCTGGCATGTTGGGGATTTTCTTGATGAGAGTGACACCCGTCCCAAAGATCGGTGTGTAGTCACGGCCGGGGTTGTAGAGCGGTTCGCGGATCCGGGAGAAGACCCGCCACATCATGGCGCAAATCGCATTGTAAGTTGTGATCCACGACCCGTCAGCTGGCGTGGCAAGTTTCTTGAGTTGAGCAGCCTTGCTCTTGGGCACATGAAACAGCAAGGAGTGAGATCGTCTGTGTCGAGGCGGGCTACTCACGGGCAGCGCTCGGCCAGGCGCAGGCGCCGAACCACTCGTCTCAGTGCTTGGTTCCTCAGAGGCCTCGGCTGTCTCGAAGCCCAGGTTGGTGAACAGGGTACGGTCGAGATTCCTCGGGTCAAAGAGGGGATGATCTGTTTTGTTGACGAGAGCATAGCACCAATCCGCTATCTGGTGAATAAAGGAGGTGAAGCCGACGAGACCATTGGCGTAGTGGTGTGTGGGAAGCATCAAAATCATGCCGCCGGGGATGTAGTTGAGCTTGAAAGCCATGACAGGAGGGCTGTTGTCGGGATCGGCTTCAGGTTTTGGCCCAAATGTCATAGGCGGGTGGCTTAATTTGTCGGCGTCCCCCAGAACATCCGAGGTGAAGTGTGCTTTCTCCATCTCAGCAAAAGACGGGTACGTGTCCTCGGGCCCGTCCAGATGCTGCACCACAAACTTGATGGTCGTGCCTCGCTTCCTGACAATCGAGTGCTGGCCATCTGCGTCCTTCTCAATGGTCCCGATCATGTGTCTGACCTGACTGAGGGTTCGTGCGATACTCTCCTTGAACAATTCCGTGACCATTCTTTGTGCCGCGGATTAGATGTGATGAACCGTAGACAGGATTTGGAGGGTAGCCACATACTCTTTCTGCGATGCTTCTATTTTGAATATCACCGCCACGGTGGTGAAGGTCTTTGTCGTGAGGTAGTCAAGCGTGGATAGCCTGAACCGCTCCTCCTCGGGGTCGGTCTCCCAACCCCAAGGATGGAGATCGATCTCCTCGATTCTAGGCATGGCGAGTCTTGGGAGCTGAGCGTTTCAGATTCCGTCGGTTGTTCTGGTTCATGGGCCACGCTGTAGACCAATTGTGAGCCTCAAGTCGTGACTATCGCCAAGGGCGTGCGAGGGAGGTGCACTGAATCCGAGAGTACAGAGGATCTACCCCTATATAGGCATATCATAGTCCTCCCCGCCGATTGCGATCCTACAAAGGCCTTCGCCCGTGCCTAAGAAGGATTCATTGGCGGGGTGATGCAAGTGGCCATGCCTGGGGTCCGTCCTGCATGCCTGGATAAGGCGGCGATGCACGCAATCGCGCATAAAGTGACAGGAGCGGGCTCCTGTTAGTTTCCAGCAGGGAAGCATGGCAGTTTTTGAATGTGTCTCCCACTCGATCCAGACAATCTCGAGCAGGTCATTGTAAAGTTGCGCTATATGTGAGGCGTGCAAAAGCAGAGGATGGATCTACCTTGGTAAGGTACGTAGCCGTAGCCTAGGTAGGCTTGGTGTGGTTCTGACTTACCCTAAAAGCACGCGTGCGCTGCTGAGTCATTATCCGCGCATCCGTAGTTTGAGAACGAACAACAGCAACACTCTCCTTACAACACTCGTCTGGCTACAATGCGCCAGCCATGGACCGCCCTGAGGCCCCCTTGATACCGGAAGATCAGCGCGACCACGAGCTCCAGTCCGACGGCGACGACGCGGAGACCGATGCGGGAAGCATAGCGAGCAAGGCCAACACGAACCCTGGCGTTTTCGTCCTGGTCTTGACATTCGCGGCCGGCATCAGCGGTCTCTTGTTCGGATGTATGTCCTATTCTTTCTTGAGCCGGGGTCTCTTTCTGACGGTAGTTGTGCAACAGATGACACAGGCGTGATCTCGTCCACGCTGGTTTCGATCGGCACGTCCCTGTCGAACCGAGAACTTACGTCCATGGACAAGTCCATCATCACATCCTCGACATCACTCTTTGCGCTTATCCTGTCTCCACTCTCGTCCGTACTCGCCGACAAATTCGGGCGCAAACGAGTCATCCTCTTCGCCGACGTGCTGTTCGTAGCCGGCGCCCTGGTGCAGGCCTACAGCGACACCGTGACGGGCATGGTCGCCGGACGATGCGTTGTGGGGGCAGCAGTCGGTGCCGCGAGCTTTGTTGTGCCGCTCTACATCGCTGAAGTGGCGCCCGCTTCCCATCGCGGAAGGCTCGTGACGATGAACGTTTTGTTCATCACCCTCGGACAGGCTGTCGCGTACATTGTCGGATGGATATTTTCGACGTTTGGGTCTCCAACATCGGGCTGGCGCTGGACGGTGGGCCTGGGAGCCTTGCCCGCCGTTTTTCAAGCTGGTTTAGTCTTCTTCATGCCGGAAACACCGAGATGGCTTGTCAAGGTCGGACGCTCTACGGCGGCCAAGTCGGTGATTCAAAGAGTCAATGGCGGCGCGGCTGCATCGACGCGCAACGCTGATGCGGTGATCCGGGAGATTGAAGTGGAAGCCCGGGAAGAGCAGGAGGCACGGAGGTTCCGCGAGCACGAGCGCGCCGGCCCGTGGCGGTGGCTTGGTGCCTGGCAAGAGCTGCTTAGCGAAGGGCAGAATCGCCGTGCTTTGGCCATTGCTTGTCTGTTGCAGGGTCTGCAGCAGCTCTGCGGATTTGTAAGTCGGAGGCCTCTTTACCCTTGCACGGCAAGGACGTTAACAACGGCAGAACTCACTCATGTACTTTTCGGCGACGATATTCACCCTCGTCGGTTTCAAAAACCCGACCTTGACCTCTCTCACGGTGGCCGTCACGAATTTTATCTTTACTATGGTTGCCTTGACGTTGATTGATCGCATTGGACGGCGCCGTATCCTACTATATTCGCTGCCATTCATGATCTTGGGTCTGCTCCTCTCTGCTCTGGGCTTCTCATTTATCTCACTGGGCGATACTGCGGAGGCTTCTGCTCAGGATGCAGATGGATCAGGGGCTGGGAGTGCTGCGACACTCATTCTCGTCAGCATCATGCTCTATGTGGCTTCCTTTGCCCTAGGACTGGGCAATGTTCCCTGGATGCAATCTGAGTTGTTCCCTCTGGCGGTCCGATCTTTGGGCAGCGGTGTGTCGACTGCCACCAACTGGGGCTGCAACTTTATCATAGGGCTCACGTTTCTGCCGCTCATGGACCTGCTCAGTCCGTCGTGGACATTTGTACTGTACGCTGCGATATGCGTTGTGGGATATATCTTGGTTTGGGGGATATACCCCGAGACGGCAGGGCTCAATCTCGAAGAGGCGACAGCCCTGCTGGAGCACGGCTGGGGCGTGTCCCTAGGTAGGGATAGACCTTGATGACACAGGTTTGCTACATAACATCGTTTGGCTAGTTAGTGCGATCGAGGTTGACAACATCAGCGTAGCCCTTTTATTGATCGGTGAAGATGGTCTTTTATTCGCCAGCCAGCCTGTCTACTGTCGTGAACAATCCATTTTCCCCGGCGATGCTGCATTGCTATGTATAGCAACCTACCCAGAAGCCACAACTGACAACTGCCATGTTGAAAGGGGCAAGTTCTCGGTGTTCTCTGCCCGACGTTGATTTTGTCTCCGGGTGTCCATCGCGGCAGTGCCTGGATGGGTCAGTGCAAATTTTGTTAACCCGGCTAAAGCCGCTCTAACAACGACATGGACTTTATCAAGCAACGCCGCGTGCCAGGCCTGCTCATAAGACCCCTGACTACGTGGTAAGGACTCATTATTAATTTGTTTCCAGACCCGACACATGTCGCCAGAATTAAAGAAAGATCCACCCACTGGCCTTCGAATGGCATCGCCTAACGCGGAGGCTTGTAGTAAGCAGTTTCGTTGCAGGAGTCATCGCTGGTAAGGATCTTCTGCAGTGCAGTGGAGGAACCCCCTACCCGGTACCGAAAGCCAAGCCAACAGACGGGGTTTGCGCCGCTAGAACCCGTTTGGAGACATGCCACCACCAATCAGCGCCAGCTGTCAGAGCGGAATTAGCGAACTGCAGCGCCGATACCAAGAGCCGGGCGCCGGGGCTTGCCGGGGTCATGGCGAAGTTTTTCTGGCCTGTCCGTAATCAATCGTAAATTAATTTTTAGTCGCATGCATGACGTCTTTTGAGTTCGCGCTGACTCGCGACGAGTGCTTATATACAGTCGATATGTCCTCAATGGGCGCTTCGCTTTGTATGATGACGCTCTCCCCGCATATGATTATTGCCTGCGCACGGCATCACTGTCTTGAATTGAAACTGAAAGCAAGCCATTGTCTCTCCTACAATTAGCCTCCGACTCTGTTGAAGAAGACGTCCCGCATCCGGCACGTCACATCCGTTATTTGGCAGACGACACTCCCGATACGACGCTTACACATTTGCCTACCTCGCGTACCGAGAGCACACCCGAGCACTGCGCTAGCGATTCGACTAATTGACGACATTACTCGGTCCCATTCTGCGGCGCTCCTCTCCTCTATTACCTTATCTGCGCCCTGAAAACCTGGCATCCCCTCCTCCCAATTGCATCACAGCGCACCCAGTCTCCTTCGCGCCAGGGACAACGAAACAACGACCGTAGCTGGCATCATGCCACCAGACAACGTCGACCTTAGCCTCATGGCAGCCGAGCGCGATGCCTCTCCTGAACGATTCCGCCGGCGTGCCTCGCACGAAATTGAGCGTGTGCTCTCCGCCTCTTCAGCGTCGTCCTCGTCGTCCACATCGACAGCCCCCGACCACCCCCAATTCACACGGAATATGAGCCGCATCTCCACACAAAACGACCTCGAGAGGCACCCCACCGAGCTCAGTCGCATCCACACCGCGAGGAGCCAGCACCAGAGCACCGTGGGCAGTGGCATCCGCAGCCGGACGAGCACGCGGGCAGAGAAGAAGCCCCTGCCGCCATTTGGCGCAGGCAAGCCGTACCCGCCACCATTGCCTGCGCAGGAGGAGTACGTCGTCGAGTTTGACGGGCCCCAAGATCCATTGCACGCGCAGAACTGGCCGTTGCGCAAAAAGGTCCTCACGGCGGCCATGCTGGGCTACACGACCATGACCTCGGCGTTCACATCCTCCGTCTTTAGCGCCGCGACGATGACGGTTTCGCAGATTTACGGCGTGGGGACAGAGGTCGGTCTTCTGGGGACGACATTCTATGTGCTCGGTTTCGCTTTTGGACCGACACTGTGGGCGCCGCTGTCCGAGCTGCGCGGTCGTCGGCTACCACTGGTCCTGTCCATGTTTGGTTTCACCGTCTTCTCCGCCGGCTGTGCTACCGGCAAGGACATCCAGACCATCCTCATCTGCCGCTTCTTCTCGGGTTTCTTTGGTGCCTGCCCGCTCGCCGTCGTCGCCGCCGTCTTCTCCGACATGTTCGACAACAAGACCCGTGGTATCGCCGTCACCCTCTTCAGCATGGCCGTCTTCACTGGTCCTCTCCTCGCTCCCTTTGTAGGAGGCTTCATCGTCGAGAGCTACCTGGGCTGGCGCTGGACGGAGTACCTGGCCACCATCATGGGTGGGACGGCCCTGATCCTCGACTTCATCTTCCTCGAGGAGACGTATCCTCCCGTCATCCTAATTCAAAAGGCCGCGGAACTCCGTCGTCGCACCAAGAACTGGGGCATCCACGCCAAGCAGGAGGAAATCGAGGTCGACTTCCGCGAACTCGTCACCAAGAACTTTTCGCGACCTCTGCGTCTGCTCTTCACCGAGCCCATCATCCTCTTCCTCTCTATCTACATGAGTTTCATCTACGGTATCCTTTACCTCTTCTTGACAGCCTACCCACTCGTGTTTGTCGGTGTCCACGGCTTCAGCTCCGGCCAGAGTGGTCTGACCTTCTTTGGCATGATTGCCGGTCAGGTCATTGCCGGCGCGGCGGTTCTGGCGCAGCAGCCGTGGTACATGCGCAAGCTGACAGCCAACAACGGCCTGCCTGTGCCCGAGTGGCGTCTCCCCAGCATCATGGCCGGCGGCATCGCCTTTGCTATCGGTATCTTTTGGTTTGGATGGTACGTTTAACATTGTCTCGCACCTTGTCGTGGATCGCCAGCACTAATCGGAGAAACAGGTCCGGATACAATCCCAACGTCCACTGGGCGGTCCCGGCTGCCTCGGGCGTCTTCACCGGCTTCGGCCTCATGTCCATCTTCCTCCAGGCCCTCAACTACCTCGTCGATGCCTATCTCATGTTTGCCGCCTCGGCCATCGCCGGAAACACCTTTATGCGTTCCCTCTGCGGTGCCGGTTTCCCTTTGTTTGCGCGCCAAATGTTTGAAGGGATGGGCATCCAGTGGGCCAGCACCCTCCTAGGCTGTGTTGCCGCCTGCCTGGCGCCGATCCCGTTTGTCCTGTACAAGTATGGTCACAAGATCCGCGCCAAGAGTGCCTACGCTCCGACGTTCAATGCCCCCGCTGAGGAGCCCGCCGAGGAGCACGAAGAGGTGTCCCATGGCGAAAAGGACGGTGAGGAGGCGGCGGCCCGGGCAAACGCCCCTCTGAGGGAAGGCGATGCCAATGACACAAAGGAGACTGTCTAGCTGGTGCGAATGCCGCGGTGGCTTGCTGCAGCTACTCGATATACTAATCACAGAAAAATAATTCAAGTAATCAGACAATATTACAAATTGAGCAGCAACTTTTCAAGACGTGGTATTGCGATGATGATCTCTGCAGGATCACCAACCTGGCCCAACCCTCCCGTTTGAGTCACTTGCATGGAGATAGGAGCAGCATTTATAAGCAAGATTCTGATGACTGGAAGGGAGGCAAGTATAAATAGCACCTGGCATTGGAATCATCTTCTGCTTGCAGTGTACTTGTTCTTCGTCTTCAGAAGCACAGTCATGACTGCGGAAGCTGGATCGTCCGCGACGTACAATGCTGGCTGCCACTGCGGCCACATCACGTTTTCTGTGACTCTATCGCCTCCACTGCCCGAGCAACAGGTGTTCAATTGCAACTGCTCCATCTGTCGCAGTGCTGGATACCTCATCGTGTGTGAGCACTGCTAATATCTCTGCGCAATTGGAAAGTGGCGACTGATCCAAGTTTGTAGATCTGGAGAAAGACGAGGTCGAGTGGCACAATGATTCTAGGCCAAAGTGCATGAACTACCAGGTGAGCGTATCCTTCACTTATTGCAGACTGGAATACTTAGGCCGCCTAGTTCAACACCAAGAAGAAGGACCAGATGTTTTGTCCGAAATGTGGCGTAAGCATTGGCATCGACTTTCGAAGACCCAAGACCGAAGATCCAAAGGGGAAGAAGGCATACGGAATCAGTGTAAGTGGAATCTGCTGTAGAAATGGCTTGTTTCCGGACAGGTTTTGGCTCTAAACATATCTTTTCAGGTCCGCACTTTCTACGGCATCGATTTGGACACCTTGAACTACCAAAAACTCGACGGACTCAATCAATGGTAGCAAGGACTCATAGAGCTGCACAGCTCGAGACAGATTCTTGCTCAGTGGAAGTGAAATACCTTATTTATGCAGAGCATATCTTCACTACTTATCTGAATCTTACGTAGATACTGGCCCCAGTTATGCAACTTTCGTCATCCCACATGGGCAAGATGTTGCGGCAACTTGCAGGGGAGGGGAGGTCTAGGCGGTGCAAGCCATCGACGCAACCAGACCGTCCAGACGGGCGATGCTGATCCCGCCGGGGCGATCTGCTGGGATGAGATCTCCATCGCTCCATCACCCATGTTCGGAGCCTGTGAATGGCAGTCTTGGCAGATTCCATTTTCACTTTCCACTGCCGGGTCACATGAGTGTAGGTATCTAACGGTCTCTTAATTGAGTTCGACTGGTAGCATACATGGCAATAGCCAGGTTTGGGAAAAGCTTGAAACAATTAGGAACCTTAGCTTGAACTCACAAAATGGCCCCCGCAATGTAGCGCCGATAGCAGCCTCGACTTTGTTAGCTTCAACAGCCCAGATCTTGACCTTGATCCTGATCGCGGCAGCCCCGCGGTCAGACACAACGACGTCATCGTCGACGGAGCTTGAACCAGCTCCACCATTGGCTGCCAGCAGCTAGACCATGACAGTCACGTCAAGCTGGTCCGACTTGAATTTTTCATTCTTCTCTTCGACTGCACATCTTCCACTCTTCTGCTTCACGTCTACTTGCCATTGCCTCGTGAACGAGGCCCGGGATGCGATAGCTTCCAAGTGCCACCCTCAAAGATCACTGAACCTACCAACCCACCATGGCTGATCAACCTGAGCAGACCACCAAGGTGCCTGGTGGTCACTACAGTGGTCGCCACAAGGTCCCCAACATCCAAGAGTTTATGGCACAGCTGGACACCGAGAAGAAGGAGCGCGACGCCGCCATTGACGAGCAACTCAAGGACAACAAGAAGGCGGGCGAAATCAAACCCCACGTTGCCGACAAGCCCCAGGAGAAGGACGTGCGGACGGTCAAGGACCCTGTCACTGGCCGGGATGTGGGGGTACGCGATGCCAAGGTCGATTTCGAGGAGGTTGTCGACAACCCCCAGGTACTTCCCTATGCGCAGGATGTCCCATCATCGAGATGCTAACACGGTCAGGTGTCTGTCCCTAACGCCAATGTCGGTAAGAACACGCCCCTAAAGGTCGAATCGACAATGTCTGGCGAGGAGTACCGCCATGCCCAAGACATCTCCGCGCCCCCAGAGGCGGACACCAACATTGCCAGTGACATGCCCATCCGCTCCGAGAAGACGTCTGTCCTCTTCTACAAGACCCCATCGCGCAGCTACGAGCCCATGTTCGAGCACCTGGAGCAGCGTGGCAACTTCCTCTGCGGAGGTATTTTCGTCGCCATAGTGTTCGTTGGAAAGTTCTTTGGCGGCCGTCTCCTGGGCTTGCTGCCCCTAGGGGCCTGCGTGGCGTCTGGCGTCTGGCTCTGGATCAGAGACCTCATTCGCCAGGGTCGCGATAACGAATGGGCCACCGAGCAGGACCGAGGTGAGGCCGCCACCGCGAACCTGATCCCCGAGTCAGTGGAATGGATGAACACCATGATCGGCATCGTCTGGGGGCTCATCAATCCCGAGATGTTCGCGGCTGTCGCGGATACACTGGAAGACGTCATGGCCGCCTCGGTGCCTGGCATCATTGAAAATGTTCGAGTGGCCGACATCTCGCAGGGCAACAACCCCATTCGCATTCTCAACATGCGCGCCCTGCCAGACTCCCATGTCCAGGACATCAAGGACGAGGCGTACAACAAGGCCAAGGATGAAACTGACCCGGAGGAGCTGGCTGCCAACGAGCAGGCTGGTGACTTTTACAATCTCGAGGTCTCTCTTGCGTACCATGCCAAGCCATCGGGCGCCGATGTAGCCTCCAAGGCCAAGAACATGGGCATGCAGCTCGTCTTCTATCTTGGTGTCAAGGGCCTTTTCGGCGTTCCCCTGCCCATCTGGGTAGAGCTTCTCGGTCTCGTGGCGACCGCACGCATCCGTCTGCAGATGGTGCCCGAACCGCCTTTCCTCAAGGTCCTGACCTTCACATTGATGGGCGTTCCCAAGGTGCAGGCTGGATGCACGCCCATGATCGAAAAGGGCGTCAACATCCTGAACTTGCCCCTCATCTCCAACTTTGTCAACTGGGCCATTGGCGCTGCGGCCTCCATGTACGTTGCGCCCAAGAGCTTGACCATGGACCTCAGCAAGATGCTGCAAGGAGACGATGTCAAGAAGGAGACGGAGGCGCTCGGTGTCATCTTCATCCGCATCCACAAGGCTGTCGGGCTCAGCAAGCAGGACCAGCGCGGTAGCCGTGGTGGCGGCTCGGACCCGTACATCACCATCAGCTGGAGCAAGTTTGGCAAGCCTCAGTTCTGCACCCGCGTGATCCAGGACAACCTGAACCCCGTCTTCGAGGAGAGTTGTGGCCTGCTGGTGACGAGCGACCTAATCAGGGCCGATGAGCAGCTCTCCATGGAGCTCTGGGACAGCGATCGCGGATCGGCTGACGACGTCGTCGGCAAGGTTGAGCTCAGCATCCAGAAGCTCATCCAGCACCCTGGCCAGATGTTTCCCCAGGTATCCCGCCTGCAGGGTGTCCAGGCCGAGAGCGAAATGCCCGGCGAGCTTCATTGGGAGGTTGGCTTCTTTGGAAAAACGCAGTTCCGCAAGGCTCTCCGCACAGATGGTACTGATCCTAACCTGCCCAAGGAACTGCAGGACAAGCCCGAGTTCCAAGAGGACAAGGGGGCCATCGAAACCAAGGAGGAGGACGACGTCATCCACACCCCCCCTGACCCACTGTGGCCATCCGGCATCCTGTCCGTCATCGTCCACCAAATCGTCGGTCTTGAGCTTTCCAATATCAAGGGGAGCGACGGCAAGCGCAAGGGCAAGGAGTACGAGCCGGCGCGTCCCGAGGCCGGCGAGGTTAAGGAGGAGACCGGCAAAAACCTCCCAAGCTCTTACTGCACCATCCTCCTGAACGATGATTTGATTTACAAGACGCGTACCAAGGTCGTCTCCTCGCAGCCAATCTTCAATGCCGGCACCGAGAAGTTCATCCGCGACTGGCGCTCCGCCATTGTCACCATTGGCGTCCGCGACTCGCGCAACAGACAGCACGATCCTCTCATCGGCGTCGTCCCCCTCAAGATCTCCGACATCCTTCAAACCGCCAGTCAATCGAGCCGCTGGTACCCACTCGATGGTGGCATTGGTTTTGGTCGCGTCCGCATCTCCCTTCTCTTCCGCTCCACGGAGCTCCGACTGCCTCCTCAGCAACTTGGCTGGGACATTGGCACCTTTGAGTTCTTGTCGAACGAGATCACCGTGACTGGGGGCTACTCACACAACGCCGCCAAGCTCAGGCTCAGGACAGGTGGCTCGTCGGCCATGGTCAAGAAGGCGCAAAGCAAGAAGACAGAGGACGGCATGTCATTCAACCTGCAGCGTTCCGACGACCAGAACGAAACGATTCGTCTCCCCGTCCGGCACCGCTACAGGTCGCCCATCTTCCTCGAGATCACCCCTGGCGGCAAGAGGCATGCGGATGCTTTCGCAGCCCTCTGGCTGCTCGAGCTCGTTGACGGCGAGGAGAAGGAGTTTGAGGTCCCGCTCTTCAGGGTCGACAACAGTGTTCGTCTATCGCAGAGCTACATCACCCAGGAGAATTACAAGAGCATTCCTGACATTGACATTGAGGAGATTGGACGCGTCCGCTTCAAGGGTCGCTTCTCCCCGGGAACGGATCGGGACCATATCCGTTTCGTCAGCGACAACGACTCGCGCGAGACGATTGAGACATGGGAGGCTTGCTACGCGGAGGGTGTCCGCGGGCAGGAGGTCGACACGAAGCTGCCGGAGCACATCCAGAAGCTGCACGATGAGTCTTTGACGCATGGTCGAGATGTCCTCGCCCAAGCTGATGAGAAGGACAAGCAAAAGTGGATGGCTAAGGACGGCACTGACTGGAGTGGTGCTTTTGGGAAAGATCCCACGGAGCTCATGAGCAGGCGCCAGCCAGATGCCAGCCAGACGAGTGACGAGAACGATCAGTACGAATATGACGATGACGACGATGATGATGGTGATGAAGATGGCGAGCCTGATCTGGGTGTCCAAGACGCCGACAAGCAAGAAGAACCGAGGGGCTCCGAAGGCTCGTCCGGGGCCGAACCCCGTCAATCCACAGCGACGGATCGGACGGACGCAACGACTTCGTCGCAGAAGTCAAACGGTCCCCTCAGCGCGTACAAGGACTACAAGAGCCGCAGTCGTGACCTGCACCGCAAGCAACGTGGGCTGATGCAGTGGCGACCAATGCGAAACGTGCAGTTCGCCAAGGACGAGGCCAAGTATGCGTTCCGCAAGGTGAGGACGATTGGATCGCTAGACGGTCGCAAACCCGATGTCGAGACAGAAGTGTGATTGATGGGGCGGTGAGTCGAAGAGGCGGATTCATATGTTTGACGTTTCGCACCTGACAGTAGGGCAAGTATAATCTGGAAAATGAGGCTGTCTTGTCTTTTTTTGGTGAACGGCCAACGTTTAAATGTTAGCATGGTTTATTTTATCATCATGGTGTCTTGAATTTTACTCACATCAATCGGAAGCACTGCAGCAATAGATTTACAAGAACACGTTCACTGCGCAGTAGTGTTTGCCCGTTGTATTTCGAATTCGAATCTTGGCAGAAAAGATTTGCAGTTACGCACTATTACATTAGCCTGCGCATCATTACTATCTTAGATAAAAGAGAATCGTGTTGTTGGACTAACTGCTGTTGCTGGCTGCGACCGGAGTTTGGTACGATAGTGCACGAACGGTTGCTTGTTGATGAATCTAGACTAGAAACATCCTGCATCCATCACCTCAACTGAACCCACCTCACATCATTTCACCTTGCCTGACAAACTCAGCCGCATGGCCTGTGCCATTTTGAGAGTCCAAAACTCGCAGCTATCCGTTCAGTCACGCCCTACGCCTGTACGCCTGCGCGTCGCGAAGCAATCAGCGCGATGAACCTTCACAACACGCTCCAACGACGACAATCGCATGAGGCCGCCGATCCCCTCTCCCTGCCACAGGCGCGTCAACAACGCCCTGGTCCCACGGTCGGGGGGTCACATACGTCCTCCGAATCGCGCATTTCCGTGGTCTTGCAGTCGCCGAGCCGACCGCAGGACTACCAGACCACAGCAATGCCAGGCGATGAGCGCATAGTGTCAGACCTCTCCAGGAAATTCAAACGAGAAGCGGCAGCAGCGTCCTCCCCCACGTCCTCCGTAAAGCAGACGCCTGTTCCCCTGCCGACCCGGCCAAGTAGTCAGCCCACGTCGAAGCGCAGCATAGGGTCACACACAAGCACGTCGCATCACCCCCCTGCACCCCGTACAGTCGTCAAGGAGACCCCTGTGCCGATACCACAAGTACCGACTGTCAACAGAGTTGGTCGGCCCAAAGGATGGAAACCCGGCATGTCGTACGCAGCCATGCGCGGCCATGCCGCCCCCTCGTCTGCACCCTCTTGCGCCTCTTCAGCACAGGGTAGCGGGAACGGCATCGTGAAGCGGAGGGGCCGACCGCCGAAGCAGGCCAGCCCGCCGCCACGGGTCTTGTATCTACGCCTCGCGCCGAAGTTCCTGGTGTTCGGGTGCGAGTGGGAGGGCTGCAAAGCTGAGCTACAGAATCTGGATACCCTACGACGACACGTGGACAAGGTGCATGTACAGCATGTGGACGATGGTCTCTGCCGATGGGGCAAGTGCAGCGGGATGGACCCACTGGTGAATCATGGTTCGAGACTGCCTGCCCATATGGAGGAGCGCCACTTGATACCCTTTGGCTGGCATGTGGGTGACGGACCGAAGAACACGTTACAAATGCCCAAGAGGAAGGGCAAGGCACGCGAGGACGGCGTGGAAGACCACCAGTCTGGTGACGGGGAGGAGGATGAGGAGGCAGATGAGGAAATACCGAGTTATCTGAAGGATCAGGACGGCTACCAGGTCACGCCGTCGATCAAAGACCAGAAGCTGGAAGATTACCTCACCGAGAAGGAGAACAGGAAGCGTCTCAGGAGGTTGCTTATGGAGAGGGAGAGAAACCTGCCTGACGAGGAGGATGATACGGGGACACAGTCGCAAGGGGCTGACGGGATGTAGATTAGGTCTGATAGACCCACTGCTGCCTGTTAAGACGTTGTATCGAGTAGCCAGCACTGTTTTCTCAATTGCAAATCGTAACGTGACTATTTTAGTTGCCTTGTCTGTCCCAAAAGGTTGCAACTTGCGCGCCTCTTACACGCGCCCGCCCTCGTGGCTGGGGTGTCTCGTTAGCTGCTGTTAGCGCGGCCCAGGTGGCTGCGCCCAGATGGTAACTGTGCTCTAGCATCATCGACGGACATCGGGGATGCACCAATCATCGTCCTGCCTCAGGCATTTCGGGTTCAAGGTCCAAGCCTGGGCCCCGGCCCGCCGAATGGATGCTGAGCAATCCACCACCACCACCTGCTGCCATCGTCACCTCTACCACCACGGCCTCCGGTCTCAGTGGCATTACCCCCGATCCATCTCCTCGTCCTCAGCCTGCCGCTTCGCCAACATCATCTCCATCCTCAAGTTCACATCACGCCATTGACTTCGCCCACCGATCCCGTACCCCTCGCCGGCTATCACATTTGCCCCAGAGTCGCCTCACGCCAACATCGGCACTTCCAGGAGCCCCCAGCTTTGCCAGCACCATTTCGAAAAGCCAGCGTCGACTTTTGCGCCGAACATGGCACCGGCTTGTTGATCAAGCCCACACTGATACAAGCTCCCGCCAGACATCACGTCCAGGCGGCAATTCGCGACCGTCGCTCAACCTCCTCTCCAGAATTACCGGTACCGGAACTAGAACCCTCGATTCCGTCACCGACCTTACACCCGACATGCCTTCCAAGAACAGCAACAACGCCTCGGGGCACGGCGGCAGCAATCAGGTCAGCCATCGTCTACGCAACTTTTTCCGCATTAATAATACCACCAACGGAAGCAGCCTGGGTGACGAGAAGCAGAAAGACAAGGAGGCCCCGATCAAGGCACCGTCAAACGACGAAGGTCAGGGGTCTGCGTCTGGGCCCACGAGGCCGTTCCGCGGCCGGTTGTTCAGTAGCACCGTCGGTCGTTTCAGGTCCCAGACCGTCGCGAGCGAAGGCAACCAGCTAGAAGAGGCCCTCAGCCCAACGGCCAATGCCAACCCCTACTTCGCCCACCAAGGCCACCCCGGCCTTCGTCACCACAACGAGGGCTCCGTGCCGCCCAGTCCGCCGGACACGCCGATATTCAAAATCAGCAGCCCCGAGGACGGCAAGAACGGCCAAAAGGCTACAGCCGAGACCAAGGAAGAGCTAGCTAGGCGGTTGAGGCGTGTGGCTAGTGCCCCCAATACGCAGCTCCTCTTCAAGAAGGACGGCAGCAAGGGAGGTGCGGATGGCGAGCGTCCGGCGACGGCGAACCTTGGCAAAGATCCTCTCATCGAGGACCCCGGCAAGCCAGGCTCTCTTTCACTGCTCGAGGCACAATCAGAGGCAGCCAAGCATCTGTCGCTCAGCCCTCCCGTGGAGGAAGACTCCCTGGCTGCGTTGCCGGCGCCCAATGCCAACTTGGCCTTTCGCCGAACGTACAGCTCCAACTCGATCAAGGTCCGCTCTGTCGAGGTCAGCCCCTCGAGTTTCGACAAGATCAAGCTCATTGGCAAGGGTGATGTTGGCAAGGTGTATTTGGTGCGCGAAAAGAAGAGCAACCGTCTCTATGCGATGAAGGGTAGGCATCTCAAACAAGATCTGGCAGGAATCGAGGCTAACTATTCCCAGTGCTGAGCAAGAAAGAGATGATCAAACGGAACAAGATCAAACGAGCGCTCGCTGAGCAGGAAATCCTCGCTACCAGCAACCATCCATTCATCGTTACCCTGTATCATTCGTTCCAATCAGAAGACTATCTATACCTCTGCATGGAATACTGCAGTGGTGGCGAATTCTTCCGCGCGCTGCAAAGCAGGCCGGGCAAGTGCCTTGCCGAGGAGGACGCCAAGTTCTATGCCGCAGAGGTGACGGCGGCCCTGGAGTATCTCCATCTCATGGGCTTCATCTACCGTGACTTAAAACCCGAAAGTACGCTCCGCGCCTTTCCTCCCCGAGTTTTCTTCTACTGACAGCCTCGACAGACATCCTGCTTCACCAATCCGGTCACATTATGCTTTCGGACTTTGACCTGTCCAAGCAGTCCGACCCTGGAGGCAAGCCGCTCATGATCGTTGGGAAGAATGGCGCCAGAACCGACGCGTTGCCCACCATCGACACGCGCGCGTGTATTGCCAACTTTAGAACCAACTCCTTTGTGGGCACAGAAGAGTACATTGCGCCCGAGGTCATCAAGGGGAGCGGCCACACCAGCGCCGTGGACTGGTGGACGCTGGGTATCCTGATCTACGAGATGCTCTACAGCACAACACCCTTCAAGGGGAAGAACCGCAATGCGACGTTTGCGAACATTCTGCGGGAGGATATCCCCTTTCCCGAGCACAATGGCTCGCCCCCAGTGACAAAGTACGTCTTGCAGCCCCCTCGTTCCAGCTTCCCGTATGCTCACCTTTGGCAGCCTGTGCAAGTCCCTCATCAGGAAACTCCTCATCAAGGATGAGAACAGACGCCTAGGCGCGCGTGCCGGCGCGTCCGATATCAAATCCCATCCCTTCTTCCGCACAACGCAGTGGGCGCTCATTCGCCACGGCAAACCGCCCATTGTACCTGCCAACAGTCTCACAAAGGGCGGCAGCGACACACCCAACTTCCGCAATGTCAGGGAGAGCGAGAGTGTGGACATTTCGGGATCAAGACAGATGAAGGGCGTGCCCCTGGACAGCGGCTTGGCGACCCCCGGCAACGAGATAGCCGACCCCTTCCTCGAATTCAATAGCGTGACGTTGCACCACGAGGGTGACGAGCATCAATACCACAATGGGCATAACGGTGCCAACCGGTAGTGGGATGGCAAATAAGAGAAGGAAAAAACATGGCAGGCGCCCGTCACTCTACTTTTGGAGACGAATGAACAGCATAGAGGTCGCCGAAGCGGTGTATGATTTTTCTTTCTTAACTTTCATTTCTGGCCCTCTTGTCATGGGCGTAGCACACGGTATCTTGGCGTTTTGCGGGCAAAGCGAACCCGGGGATGAAAGCAAATGTCTTTCTTACTAGTCGCTGCAGCTCCATTGTGGTGACGATCCAGCGTGATCACATTAGACTCACGAGAATCAATGTTTTCATCAATGTGTCTTATTTAAAAGTGCTGCTCAATAGAGTCCAGTGCTGTCCTTATGTGGTGATCTCCTGGCCGATCAAATTAATCTAGGTAGCCTCTCAACGCGCTGTTATGAGTACAAATCTGTCCAAGCATTTATACAGTACGCTACACACCATCCACGTCCATCTGCCGGCGCCTCGTCGCCCCGTCTCCAATAATCTTTGCCTTGCCGTCCATCCAGGGCCTCAAACATTCCGGAATCGTGACAGTTCTCGTCTCCTCGTCCCAGCCATTCTCAAGCAGCGCGGCCAGGATACGCGGCACCGCCAGCGCTGTTCCATTCGCCGTCCAGGGGAACCCCATTTTGCCGCCTTCGACCCTCATCCGCGTCCCTAGGCGACGCGTCTGGTAGTCGGTGCAGAGGCTGGCGCTGGTCACCTCGCCCCAGCCGCCCAGTTTGCCTGCACGGGACGGGAACCAGGCCTCCATGTCGATCTTGCGCGTGGCAGACGCACCCAGGTCCTGCGCGGGCATGGCGAGCACGCGCGACGGGAGACCGAGGGAGGACAGCATCTCTGTCTGCATGTCGAGCATCTCGTCGTACACGTCAGACGCAGAGTCCTCGTCTGGCGCCGTCCACGCGAACATTTCCACCTTGGTAAACTCGTGTACGCGGTAGAGACCCTTGGTGTCGGCGCCGCGAGCGCCTGCCTCGGCGCGATAGCAGCGCGAGACGGCGACGCGCTTGAGAGGGAGGTCGTCCGTGTGCACGGTCGACGCGGCCTTCATGCCGGCCAGGGAGATCTCCGAGGTGCCCGTCAGGCAGAGCTCGGGGACCTGGCGGTCCTTGTCGCTCTGCGACTGCGCAATGGTGTACACCTGCTGCTCGTCGTTTTGATCCCGGGGTTGGAAACCACACGCGGCGCCAATGTGGCTGTACACCAGCGTAGGCGGCGATACCTGCGTCCAACCGTGGCGCGTGACCACCGCGAGCGCGTACTGGATCAGTGCTTGCTCCAACTGCGCCGCCTCGCCGATCAAGTAGTACCAGCCCCATCCGGAGGAATTGGCGGCCGCGGCAAAGTCCAGAATCCCTAGGTCCGTGCCGATCTGCACATGCGATGGTCCTTCTTTGAGCTGCTGCTCTTCCGGCGGCGGGTCATTGATGTACGACAGCAGGACGGGCTCGTCACCCTCTGGCGTCTCCGCATCAGTCAGGTTGGGGATCTCGAGCGCGAGGTGCTCCATGGTGGCCTGCATCTTCGCCTCCTCGTCCATGATGCTGGCCAATTCCGTCTTTAGCTTGCGCGCCTCCTCCTGGATCTCCTCGCGCGTCAGCTGCCGAACGCTCTCCATGTCACCGTCGTCGGCGCTGGTCGCGGGGTTTGCGAGCTGCCTGCGCAGCAAATTGGACCGCTCGCGGTTCGCGCGACTGCCGCGTGTGAGATCCTGCCATTGCGCGTGGAGCTCGACGATCCGGGCTGGATGGTGGGACTGGCGGGTGTAGTTCCTGGTCATGCAGTTCTGCGCGTAGAGCTCTGGGTTTTGACGAATGTCTTTGATGTCAATGATGGGCTTGGGCGCTTGGTTGGGCCGTTTGGGTATCGGGGGATCAGCTGAGGTCTGTGATGAGAACGCTCTCGAGAGAATGTGTGTCCTGAGACGGGCGCTGCGGCAGCGCATGCAGGGAAACGCTCGCTTCATTTTGGGGTGTATATTAACACACAGAGTGCATTATGTTTGCTCTGCTATTTCGTGGTTTTCCAGGAATTAATTAGCTGAGAGGATGTTTGATGGGAAAGAAAGCTGCAAGGTTGAGGTGGGTCGTCGATTGACAAGGGCCCGGTAACTTCATATCATCCGGTTCCTACTAGTTATAGGGTAGCCGATTACTATACACCGGCATGAAGACTAGACAGACAACTGCATTTATACTCTATTGTGTTGAAGCTAGGCCTGGGGAAATGCTACATTGAATATATTTTTGGCTTAGCTGCCATGTATGGGGTGTAGTGGACCCAATTTCAAAGTTTGAGAATATGCAGTTTGAGATTATAACGCAATGGTATTTACAACGTTCCTCGAGTACTCATGCGGACCAGTCATGACCAGCCAGTGTATGTCCAACAGCCATGGTAAAATGCTCCAGGTTAGTTACTTTCTTGGGTATCTTTAAGTACTTTCACACTCAAATAGCACCCCACTTCCCCAGTGTCCAATTGGTATGCTGCCCACCGCTACCTCGGATCAAACCGCCTGCGCCCATACTCTGCCTTTGTTGCGCCTTGACATCGACGTCGTTAGGTCTCGACGCACCGTTGACGCCCTGCTGCAGCCATAATTCGCGGTCGATCGTTGCCATGGCCGGTATCTTCAGTTGAGACGCCAGACTTGCACCAGTCCAAGGCCCAAGGGAATGCAGCGCCCTTATATGTCCCTGCACGGGCGGTTCCTTTTTTCGGGGCCGCATGAAGCCCCTCTCGAATTGATCAAAGTCGTTCGCCTGCTCTGACGATGGGCCCTCATCCTGCTCGCGGTCTTGTTCCAAATGCGGTGTCTTCGTTGGCTTCCATTGTAGCTTCGAGTTGTTGCTCAACTGGTCCACTGCTTTGCCAGAGGCCGTCTCCCAGCCTTTTGTCTCGATGAGCAATGTCGTCTCGTCGATCACTCTTTGTTTGAGGCCCAGGGTGTTGGAGCAGCCTCCGATAAAGATGACGCGGGACATGCAAATAGCGCGGACATCAACCGGCAAATCGGCGAGATGCCTGTATGCGAGGAGGTGTACCGGAAGCTCGTGGTCATCAAAATGCGCAAGATTCATCGAGGGCTCAAAAAAGACATCGCCACAGACGTCTGCGATCCTCTCGAACGGTACCTCGATCGTCTTGGTGGGAATCGAAGACTGCAACGGTACGTTTGCCGTCCTGTTTGCCCCAGGCGTAGTGGTGCTGCCCGCTTCAGCTTCATTCTCGTCCTGCTCTTCGACCGTTTCAAGCTGAGCTGACGTTCTCTGGGGTGTTCTGTTGGTAGGTCTGCACCAGGCGAGACGACGCATGATGTCTTCGGACTCATCGAAACTGATATGATGGTCCTGTTCATTTTCAACATCGACTGACCTGTCACGGTCCGTCTTCTCCTCTGTCGGGTTCTCTTGGCCATCAGGATTTTTGAACGCTGTATTGGCGTCTTTTCCTTGATCCCCGGTGATGAGAGAATGTAGCACCTTTCGGTAGAGCTCGTTATTGAAATATTTGCCAGCCCTGACGGATCTGGTAGTCCTGACTTCCCGGTATTCGTAAACACTTGTGACGACCGTCTCCGCCCATCCAATATCGATAACGAGAGCTGAACGGACACCAGCCGCCACAGCAGACATTGTCGCTGGCGAGAGCAGAGACACCATTGGAGCCTGGAAGCGGCGGAATGCTGTGTCAAGGACAGTAGATAGTAGTGGTAGCGGCAGAGATGGATCAGCTACCAATGCCATTCTTCGCGGCTTGGAGTCTATGAGGAGATACCTCAGAGGCCTATCAGCATCATATCCAGACTCGGGGGTAATTCAACTCACTTTGAGAAAGCCTCTCTCATAAGACGATCCAGTTTGTCACGAACCAAGCCCAGATCTACGTTACCGAGGTCATACCTCCACAGCTCATAGTCTGACGACCAAGCCTGCCCTGGTGTCTTTGTCGGATCCAGCCAGGCCCTGAAGTCCCCCACCCTCCTCTGCTCATCTGGTCCGCATTGCAAAGTCACTTTTGGAACTGGGTCACCCGCGAAACCCACGCGCAAAAGTCTTGAGCCCAGCTCAATCACAATAATGTCATCATCGGCACGTATGGTGGACGGTGAGCCGAACGTTGAACTTATACTTCGTGACGGCGTCGAAGGCCCCTGGGATGGTCCTGAGCGAATGCTCGCCACGCTCCTATGGGCCGGTGCGAAGCCCGCTGAGGAAGACATCAGGACCGTAACTCAATTGCCAATGGTAAATCAAGGAGGCATGTTTTGGGAGAAATCTGGCGCCCCTTTCGGGGTTTAATATGAGGTAAGGGATGAACGTCAAGGACAAAGAACAATGGCCCGCGAGTTGCTTCTGTGAACAGTGGCTTAGCTTTTCTGTGGCTGACGAATCGTGGCGCTTGCTGCCGTAGCCGTAGCGCGACCCAAATTCAAAGTCAACAAATCCGGCCGTCACCCCAGTGATCGTCCGATTCACGGTCCTTCAACGCTTGCGGTATCGACCAATGCACAGGCGCAGGCGTCCATGACACAGAGCGGGATGGTGCGCTTCATGAGAACATGGGCATCAAGGGGTAAGAGATTCAGCGTAGGCTGTTTGTTATTATCTCTGACACACGCACAGGCTTTATGACCAGCTTGGTCCCGGCGAACGAGTTGCCTTATCCAAATTAGCGGCCGATTCCTTTCGACTTCATGGGCGACCACTTCGCATAGCCGTCGATTTCGCGATATGGCAGTTTCAGTCCCAAGCCGCCCGAGGTGGCACCAACCCAGCGCTTCGGACCTTGTTCTATCGACTCGTCCGGCTCATGTCTACACCCGTCGACCCAGTCTTCGTCTTCGATGGCCCTGACAAACCGACTTTCAAACGGAACAAGCGTGCAGGGAGAGGTGATACGGCCACTATAAGCCAAGCCAAGCAACTCATACGGTTGCTTGGTTTTCCGATACACGATGCTCCTGGCGAAGCGGAGGCAGACTGCGCGCTGCTACAACAGCGTGGGGTTGTCGACGCGGTGTTGAGCGAGGACGTTGACACCATCATGTTCGGTTGCACCCGGTCTTTAAGGAATTGGACCGCTGAAAGCAGAACGGCGAAGACGCCGACGCACGTCACACAGTACGACATAGATAACATGGATATTGCAGGAAAGGGGCTCGACCGCGAGGGCATGGTGCTGGTAGCCTTGATGAGCGGTGGCGATTACTTGCCAGATGGAATACTAGGATGCGGTGTCAAGGTGGCCTGTGAAGCTGCTAAGGCCGGCTATGGCAGGTCACTCTGCAAAATCAAAGCATCGGACAAACAAGCCCTGGCGGATTGGAGAAATTCCTTGATTCATGAACTCAAGACAAACGAGAGCAAGTTCTTCCGCATCAAGCACAGTGTCCTCGCGCAAAAGGTTCCGGAAGACTTCCCAAACATCGAAGTCCTACGTTATTATACGCATCCGGTCGTTTCACCTTTATCGACCGTGCAGGCATTGAAGGATAGCATGGCACACCACGAGCAGCGGCCGCTCCACCTGTACGATCTCAGAGAGTTCGCTCGAACTGCATTTGGTTGGGATTACAGGGTTGGCGGCGTGAAGTTCATACGAGTATTGGGAGCGGCACTGTTGACCCGCCAGCTTCTGCGTGGAAACGAGGAACATATCGAGAGAATCGCGGGAAGCCGAGCACACTTCACTACCGATGGTCGGACAGAGCTTCGGCTCAGGTTTATCCCAGAGAATGTCGTGCCTGTGGACCTGTCCGAGGAGGTCGACGAGGACATTCCCCAGTCGCGGGGCAGTTTGTCACTTAACAGTGATGACGAGCTCGGCGCACCGGACGAGGAGATGAGTTCTTCACAGCCAGCTGCCAAAATATTCGACGTGAGCAAACCAGACCTCGCCTGGGTTCTCGAAGACGTCGTCAAGAAAACGGCGCCAGTTGCGTACCACGACTGGCAAGATGCCGAGCGTGTCAAAGCGCTTCGCAAGTCTCCGAAGAAGAAGGCCACAGCAAAAGGCGCAGCGAAGCCTTCAGTCACCTCGGGAGCCATGGACAAATTTGTGCGGGTCACAAAACACGTCAATCCGCCCGTGACCGCGCCTGTCAAGAAAAAGGCCAAGGACCGGAGCCGGAGCGACATTGAACTCCCCTCGTCAGGCCCTCCGCCACGACCATCAAGTAAGCAGCTCCCGCCAAGTCTCAGTGGTATGGCCAAGACAACAGACGAGGCGGACATGCGCTTACCTAGTACGCCCTCTAGGAATAGGAACGGGGGAAGGTCAATTATCGAAGCCATACTTCTCTCGTCGAGCCCCTGTGGGCCCAAGAGCCCAGCTGGTGCCATTGCGTCGTCAGAGATCTCAAGTACTCCATCTCACACGCTTGCCTCTTGCTCTCAGGTCAGCACTGGCACCGTACCTTCGCAGCGTCATTCGAGCCAGATTTCGAAAGGGTTAAAGCCCCAGAAAGCAACGAAATCAAGCAAGATCGCAGTAAAAAAGACAGCTACATCCTCGGCTGGTCGTCCGCAGAACAGTCAAAGCTCGACCGTCTCAACGTCGACCGCGGTCTTCAAACAGACAACTCTAGAATTGTTTGCGAAGCGGGCTCATACCCCACCACCCTCCCAAGCAGTAACGTCAAGATCATGCGCCGCCAACAAGGCAGAGTCGATCCCGAGGAGTACTAGGCCTACACAACGAGCGGAGTGCGTGGTCCCACAGGCGCCCGAGCGAAACACATCTCCCCTGTTCACTGAAAGTGAAGACGATGATCTACCCCCTATCTCGTCTTTTATCTCTCGAAAACCAACACATTCTTCGCCTCTTGGAAACATTGTACCCACGGCTAAACCTCTGTCGCCTAGTAAGCGGTGCAGCGTTAGTCTCCCACCTGAACATAGGGATGACAGCCCCAGCCCTCAGGTACGCAGGAAACGTCTGCTTGTGCCGAGAACCAGCAATGCAGGGTTCTTCGAGGAGGTCGAGGTTGATGAAGAGGAACGCGATGCGATCGTCGCTACTGAGGAAGCGAAGCTCAGGAGTCGAGGACTTTCCAGTCAAAAAGTACTTAGACAGAGTGATGTGTCGTTCATTGACCTCACACAAGACTATTGATCAATCTGTACAATAAGCGCATAGTTTTTAATTCCCGACATTCGAAGGTTGGCAAAGGGTACAGGGTTGTTTGCATTGCATCGGCGTTAAGGTTGGGCTACAATGAAGCATGATATGATAGCATGTCAGTGGAAACTGGTCATGGCTAGAAAGGGGTCGCCCCCCACCCGGAGGTGGTATCACTGTCCACATGCGCCTTGACTATACAATAACAATGGACAACGCTCTCTGGGCGGTCTGCTGTTTTCCAATACACTTCGACATCTTCTGTCCCCTGTCCCGGATGCCATGTTAGACATCCATCATCTCCCAGTCAGGGTCCACTTCTGTCCCCAGATCCCTTTCCTCAAGGAACCGCCGCCCTAACAGATCCTCAGGCAGATAGGTCTGTTTCACCCGCCCGTCTCTGTAGTTGGGCGGATACTTGTACTCTGCACCATGCCCCATTTCCCGCATCAGCCTGGTCGGTGCATTTCTCAGATGCAGCGGCACCGGGAGGCTCGCCACACCTGGCTCTCTGAGCGCAGAGTATGCGTTGTTCAAGCCGCGATATGCTCTCGTACTTTTCTTGGCGGCGCATAGTGCTACCGCGCAGTGTGCAAGCGGGATGCGAGCCTCGGGCATGCCGATTTGTTGAGTCGCGGTATACGCCGCCGTTGCGAGTGGCAGCAGTGTATTATCTGCAAGACCGACGTCTTCTGACGCGATGACGACCATCCTCCTGGCGACGAAGAGGGGATCTTCGCCGGATTGGAGCATGCGTGCCAGATAATACAATGCAGCGTCCGCGTCAGAACCTCGGACAGATTTGTGGAACGCAGAGATGTTGTCATAATGTTGGTCGCCGGCGCGGTCATAGACCAATGTCTTTGTGAGTGATGTCTTGATGTCCTCCTTCGTAATGCCCTCCCGTGAAGTTGTCAGTGATAGCGCTAGCTCGAGAAGATTTAGAGCTGTCCGCGCGTCGCCATCAGAAAATCGTGCCAAGTAGGTAATCATCTCCTCGTCCACGAGGTCCGTTGGGGGATATGTCTCCTCTTCCTCTTTCAGCGCGCGGCGCAGTATGCCGACGATATCCTCCGTTTCTAGGGATTTCAACGTGAATGTTCGACATCGCGATAGTAGTGCGTTGGCAACTTTGAACGACGGGTTTTCTGTCGTTGCGCCGATCAGGGTGACGGTTCCTGCCTCAACGGGTTTGAGAAAGACGTCCTGCTGTGCCTTGTTGAACCTGTGTATTTCGTCGCAAAAGATGATCGTCTTCCTTCCCGTCATGAGGAGATCGTTTCCAGCCTCGCTGAAGATCTTTTTGCACTCAGCTACACCAGTGCTTGTCGCGTTCATCTCGATGAAACGGCTGCCGGCAACCTTGGCAATACATCGCGCAATCGTTGTCTTGCCCGTGCCTGATGCGCCCCAGAGGATCATGGAGGGAACATTATTCGATTCGATTAATGAGCGCAGCACGCCGTTCGGACCGACAAGCTCTTGACCGCAGACTTGATCGAGGTTCTTGGGACGCATTCGTTCTGCCAGTGGAGCGGCCTTTCGAGTCTTGGTGCGCTTGCCGCTTCGTTCGTCGCTGTCCTGTATTGAAGGAGCCTCTGGCTGGGCCGTTTCTGCCGGATTGGTTGTGTTTGCGACTGCCCCTTCTCCAGGCCCTTCCTCATACGAACGTTTCTTCCCACCATTCACCACCAGAGGTGTCATGGCCCTCCCTTCCACGCCATTCTGCCGTTTTGTAGCCGGCGTGCTGAAGAAATCAGCAGCCTTCCTCTTCTGCGCGGAGCTGGCTGGTGCGGTTGCGCTGGGTGTCTGTGTCTGGGGAGGCGGTGGTGGTGGAGGCGAAGGATCGCCGGCGAGGTACGACTGGCAGTTGGAGTCGATGTGCGGGTTGATCTGGTGCGGTTTGACCGCTTTCGAGCAGATGGGACATTCAACCGGCATGACTGGCGGGCATATTCGTCGTGAGCCTAGGCAGCTGTTTGTTAGAGGCAGATGATGTAGTAGGTCTCGGCGGGAGACGCGTTGCCGAACATTTTAAAGTGGTTGTGACGCGACGGGCCGGCAAGTGGGACCATCAGCGTCAAGGCCCGGGCCGGCTAACAACATTACAAGAATTGGACTACCTTTGCCCGGTGACCTTGCTACTGGAACATAGTAGGCAAATACTTGCACACAGAAGATAAGCCGAATGTGCCAAAGCACACCTTGCTTGGATTCTTTCGGTACTGCAGCGAAAGATCACCAGTCTAAGTTGGAGGCCTGGAAAGCTTTACGTCACCACTGGTTGCTTCAACCCAGCAAACACAGTTAGAAATTGGGACAAAACGAAAGGATCATTTTGATATTGCGTAGCGAGCAGTTGCCTCGAATACTCCCAAGATCCCAAACACTGCATCCCCAATCAATGCACCCAGACTCCATGAATGTATGTTTCTCTCTTCCTTCGTCTGCGATTCCCAACCAGACATTGCGCCAAAGACATTGCTTCAGCCAAAGGTCTTCAACGATCTAACTTTCGGGGACGCCAGTCCTGTCTCAGCCTTCCTCTTCCCCAACACACCTGCCGAGCCTGTCGCCGGCGGTGGCGCACTCCCTTCTCTGTCCCTCGTTGCTTCAGCATGGCAGGACGCATGGTACGCCCGTCCACCCACGAGCACGGCATCGAGCCATACCCAATCCTGCGCCTGGTCGAACCACTTGTTCTCAAACCGGTCTTGACAGATGGGGCAAACACTGTTGATGCCGCTGTTCGCGTCCGGCGCCTTGATATACTTGGGCTTGGCGGCTTCGGCGGCAGCAGCGGTCGCCTGGGCGTCGGCAGAGGGTGAGGTGGCGTGGTTGTCCGTGTCAATCTCCTCGCGATTCTTGAGCCAATCCTGCAATCATGTCAGATGCCTACATCCACATGTACAAACCCAGAGGACTCACCTGAGCATCCAGATACCAACTGCGGTGCGTCCCGCGCTTCTCAGCCTCGTTGGCGCGTTGATGTACACGGAAGTGCCAGTCCATGTGTGCTGTCTTCTTCTTTCTGCCTTCAGCATCTGCTTGAAACCGACGTCCACATTGCGTGCAGGGCGCTCCTTGCCTCTCGAAGAGCATTGAAATGGTATCAGGCCGGGCGCTGCCTGTGTCAGTGCTCAACAGCTAAGGTTTAGGTTTTCGTCCGTCCAACTTACGGTTGCTTCAACGACGCAGTATCTAAGCCACGGTGAGACCCGGGCTGGGGCGCTGACAAGCCACCAGCCTTCTGTGCCGCTAGTATGCTCGCAAGACTGGCCGAGATCGATGGCATCTGCGTAGGAGTCGCAGGGGACGGCCCCGGGGCGCTACTTGGGTTGGCTTGGGGAGTTGAGGAGAGTATGCCGGCTTGTCGGAGCTGGTCGAGCAAGGATAGCCCCGGTTTCTGTTCCGGCACTGCTGGCTGCGGCGCTGCATGAGGCGTAACAATAGGTGGCTGCGGCGACTTGATCGCAGGATTAGGTGTTGGGTTTGGAGTAGAGCTCTGTGAGGACTGTCGTGCCATGAGTGTGGCCAGTGCTCCAGGTCCCAACAGAGTGTCCAGACTTAATGTCCCTTGGGCAGCCTGAGGAGGAGCTACAGAACTCGAGGGGACAGGTGGCGCGGGCTGGTGAACCTGGGCTGGAGGAGCATAGGCGGGTGCATGGTTTTGAGCTGATGCTGGTCTCAAAGTCACGGCAGCAAGGTCTGTTACTTGGGTCTTAATGGCTGCCAGCTGGTCCTGCGGTAACGCAGTGCTCTGGATTATTCGTTGTAGATCCAGCAGGGCATTCAGCCTCGCCGTCACACCACCATCATATGGTTTCTGCGCGGCTTCCAATCTCGTCGCAGCGATTAGATCTGCAATATTTTTGCTCAAGGCTTCTACGTCCACACCACCCGGTGTTGGCGGCATGTGCGTCCCATTCTGCCCATAAGGCATGCCTTGTTGATAGGGGTAGGCTTGGGCGTTTTGCTGAGGGTATGCCTATACAGGTCAGTGACTGCATTCTAGTCATGAATAATGGGGGCACTTACATTCGGCTGGCCGTAATGGTGTGCTTGGCCGTTTGGCGGCAACCCGTGAGGGAACTGCTGTGGCGCTTGGTTGTGTTGAGTAGGCGCTCCACCGTTTCGTGCTCCTGGTGGTGTAGGTGTGTTTCGAAAGGGCGGCATGGCAGATCTTGGTCGACCTGGCAACTGCGTCTGGGGCATCATTGCAGCTTTCGCCTTCATGAGAGCGTTCTCTATCGGTCGGACAAGGTCAGGCGAGAAGACTGGGCGCGTGTCCAACGAGCCGGCAACAGGCTGAGTCCATGTCTTGAGCATCTCCTCCAGCCGCCTTCGTGTCGGATTATCGACAACAGTGTATGATTCCATAAAGGTCTTGAACAGATTGCGACCCAGATACAGCGTGTATGGGGTGCCAACATTTTTGACGATGGAGTCTAGCACGTATAATGCTGGCAGCTTCTTGTTGGGGGCAGTCTGCAAGATTAGCTTAGTTCGAAGGTCTTACGTTGCCCAAGGGGCATGAACCTACCTTCAAGATATGCTGCTCCAGTGTTTGAGCAATGGCTAGAGCATGCTCGGTATTCTCTCGGGCAATCACGGTCAAGTTGCTAATTTCAAAGCGAGCATTGGTGCTCAAATCCTCCAAGGCTAGACGATAGTCTTCCGCCACTTCCTCTGCTTCTGTGGGCATTTTGCTTGTAGCGAGCGCAATATCAAATGTGCGGCGTTGCTTGATTATCTTGCAGCTGAACCAAAGCAACGATTGAACTAAATCCTGTCCCAGTGAATGCGACCGAACAGCAACGTTGAGAACAAAACAAGGCTATGAGAACGTGGTTCGTTCTGGTTTCCGTGGGAAAGAAATAACCGATGCACGCTGGTATGCGAGGCGCAGACAAAGGAGAAAGCGACAGGCAGTGTCAAGAGCACAGTACAAAGCGAGCGCAATCTATTCCAGCGAAAGGTCTTTGTTCTCTGGCCACTAACACCTGAATCCGAGTCGCAACAAGCCGAGAAACAGGCCCGTCACTGCCAAAAGAACACAGCAGGTAGAATGAACGGGTGTCAAGCACTACAGATCGTATAGTACGCGTCAGAGCGCCCGGTCGCGAACGATATGCTGGAATGGGGAATCGTGACAAAGCACTCGACTAGGCCACGAGTCGTGCACAACGGTGATTTCTGGGAGGGAAACGGTTCAAAAGCGAGAATGTTGATGTTGAGGCGAGATCGGGTGTCGATTGGAGATGATGAGGTGGTCAATCTTGGAAGGACTCGAGCGCATCCATTCGGGGCGTTGGGTCGGTTCAACTGTATGACTAAGGCAAGCAAACGTCACGTGCATCCTCAATCTTCTTTTCAAGTCGTCACCTTGTCCTTGTCAAATTACATGCAGTCATTTGGAGCGATCCAGAGGCATATGAAAACGACAATCATGGTATTCGCAATGTACTTAATCAATTAGACTCCATATACCAGTAGCAGCCTGCCTACTACCCAACGCCATTTGAATGCAAGAATGTCTATTTCCTGGTCTGCCGACTCCACCGGTTCAATGAAGAGAGGGAATACCGGTTGTGCTTGACGCCCGGGGGCGCGAGCGATGCAGCATCATCCACCACTGCAGGGTGAGGCATCGGCGGCACCTCCAGCTTGTTGGACTTGGACCAAGACGGCTCTTCATCCGGATACACGCTCTCAGCATAACTGGTAGCGAATGCAGGGTGCTGCGACATGGGCGGCGGAGGTCCCGTCGGAGAGACCGGGTTGAACTCGAGGTCATCGCTTGACCGTCGACCGGAGTGATGACGCGCGGGGTTGCCGCCACGCGACGCTGCGTTAGACTCGGGGTAACGGTAAGCTGAAGTTGGCTCAGGGCCTGGGATATCAAAGGAATTCTTACTGCGGCCTCGGAATAGGTCGAAGATCTTGAGAGGCTTGGCGATTGGAGACTTTTCTGAATCGATGGGCTTGTGGTAAGGGAGCTCATCCGGAATAGGCTCCTGGTTGCCCCATGAGCGAACCTGGCGAGCACCACCCTTAGGGATACTAGCAAGGGTGCCAATGAGGTTGAGCACGCCCATGATGAGACTGAGGATTCCAGATGCCAGCACCAGCGAGTACCATGGTCCTCCAATGTCCCTTCGCTCAACGTTGGGATTGTTGAGCTTGCCCAGGACGTTGCAGCCAATAACGACAAGTGCAAGGCCGAGCCAACCCAAACTAGATCTAGTGGAGAAGGCCGGCCAGTGGTTCATGAAGAAGACTTTGCCAAACGGCAGCTCGGACAGTACCAGAAATAGGCAGATGCCGCTCATGAAAACAAGCGAGGCGGCATCAAAGAAGAACCAAGGCTTGCCCATGTCGATCTTGATGGCAAGGACCCAGCAAGATGTCATGACCGAGACGAGTGTGATGATTGTGCAAACTCGGACGATAGTGAGCATGATCATGAGGATGCCAGAGGCGGCAAAGCCACTGAAAATATTCATGACCATGGTGAGGTTATTTCGGGGATGATTTTGACGCTGTAGTGTGTGGTATTTCTAGTGCAAAGTCAGCCAATGCTCTCAAGGGAAAGGACCTTCAGTTGATGTGATAGAACATACAATGTGACTTTCCAGGTGTCAATATGGTTGTAAATTGGGTATTGCAGTGGCATCAAGCGTGAGCGATAGACGTGTATATGTGCATAGGAGTAGCGAAATGTCACAGACAGCAATAAGGCGACCAGGCCGGCTGGGTCTTTCGAGGAGGCAAGACCGATATGATGATGACAAGAAGGGAATAACAAAGGAAAAAATAGGAAGGAAATGTCGAGCAACTGGAGATGTTAGTGGGCACCAAGAATGTAATGTATTCATGCAGAAGGTGAATGGGATGCATGATGAGGGGGCGCCATTGTCTTTAGTACGCGAAGTTCCTATTGTCAGCCGTTCAATACCATCTCAACAAGCTTGTATCACTGCAGAAATAGGAGCCGGTCTCATGTCGTCTGTTCTTGCGAACAGGAACAGGAGCGAGCATGAGACCAAGTTCACGCGCGCGTAGCAAGACAAGGCCAGCGGCAGCTCGACGATTCGACGGTACAGGCAGTCCTCTGGATGAGTCAACCATGTCAAACCAAACCATTACAAGCCTCGTCGGGTAGCACTATCGCGCCAGGTCATGTTTCAAGGTCGCGTCTTCATGGCCTTGTTGCACGACGACGCAGAGCCAGTCGACGAAGACCGCAGCATCAGTTTTGATGTAGGTTGGCGGTAAGGAGCTGTCGCTGCTACTTGGCATTTTGCTCACCACCTGGAGCATGGGCAAATGTCGGAAGGACGCTGTCATGTCGTATCCATTGGTCGTCGATGATCAACCGATGTTTCAAGCCAGTCAAGCGCCGTCGACGAACTGCGCACGCATCGAATAATTAGCGAGGCATCTGCACGGCTGTTCCATCAAGCGCTTTCAGCAGACGAGTGTTTCAGACGAGTGTTTATTATTAGTATTAATCCGCGAAGGCCATAAATGCCGGTCAATGCTGCGCGGCTAAGAGTGCGAACCAGCAGGTCGCTGTTAAGTTAACAGGCGCTTAGTTGTACAGCGCTGGCGGCGGCTGGTGCGGGCGCCTAGTTGAGGTCACGTGGTCAGTGGAAATCGGCTTGCCCACCATGGTGCTGATTGCCGCCCATCGACTGAGATATCCAAGATTTTAACAACATACGAACACGCATCCAGGAGAAGAAGTTCCAGCTTCTGAAGTACCGATCTCTTGAATTCCCATTTGCTTTTGCTATCAATTGTCCCACAGACACACTTACTACGAACTCACCAGCTGCTCTATCCTCCGCAACGTGCCATCTACGATACCCTCAATCTTCTCGCGCCGCATGCCTCCATCTTGCCAGTTTGTCGCTATGTGCGTGTTACCACCCTTAACACCACCGACCTGGAACAGAGGGGGGCGGGGCCCTCCAATCCCCCCTTGAGGAGGACCAGAGAATGCAACATCTTCCACAGTCCAACCATCCTGACTCTTCTCGGAAACATATGGACCGAGGTTTCCTAGATTGTAGGCTGGCTTCATCGCCTCTCCAGCTGTCAATGTCTTTGCGACCGCGTCCAGATTGTTGGGTTGCTCCGCTGAGGCACGGATGGTACGGGCAGCAGGGTCCAGCCCTGCATGCATCCATCGTTTCGCGTCCCTCGCTCGTGCCCAGATCTCATTCGTCTTCAGCGTCGAGGACTGATCGCCGAGCTTGTCTTGACCAGATTGGAAAAGATCCTTGTACTTACCCGTCGTCTGGAAGCTGTAAACCCCACCAGCGCGGTTGCCCATGGTTTTGTTCTCCAGGGCGATCATGTCGTTGGGGAGGCGATTGCGAATGTCAACCGAAATGACACTGAGCAAGAATGTCTTGTCGCGATAGTAGTCATTGATAATGCTGGCTGTCAGCATGGTCATGAGCAGTGCCGTTACGCTGGTTTCATTTTCGCGACACTTGGCCACCAGCTTGTCCATGGTTTCTGTGGGAATCTTCCGGAGGACTGTCCTCGTCACGCCACGTTCGGACGCCTCAATCACAGTAGGTGCAGTGTGTGGCTTTGGCTTCGCACTCGGAAGATCCGAGAACACGAGCCAGCTGGGCACAAACATGGACAAAAGCCAAGCTGTCAGAACGGGCTTGATGACTTCCCAGACATTGACCTGCCATGGCTTCCCCTTGGCTTCACCTTCCTGGACAACACTGTGCAGGCTGGGTGTGATTGTCATAGTCGAAGGGTCATACGTACTGCTCCAGGTGGTGACTCCGTCAGTTGAGGAGTTGGCGCCGGCCGCCGCATTGAGCGCCGCTGTGAAGGATCGATGGAATATGTACCCAGACATACCATCGTTTATGGCGTGATGGTTGACGTAGTACACAGTCGAGCCCGAAACAACGAGCTTGAACCATGGCTTAACAGGCTCACCAAAGTCCCATTGGTTGTGGAGCTTCTCAATCATCTCTTCTGTGATGCCCTGGCCGTCCTCGAATTGCACGCTCTCTTCCACGTTGATCTCGTTCAAGGCGGCCATCATCAGCCCTGTCGTCTCTCTCCCTTGCTTGTCTTGCTTTGGGACAGGGACGCCAACAAGACGCATCGAAGGCTGTTGTTCAATGACGGTCTTGAGTGCTCTGACGACCATTGGCTTCGTGAGTGCCTGGCCAGAAGGGTGTTTGTAAGTCGCAGCAACGACAACATTGGACCGGATGCCCAGGCGGTATTCCAGATACCAAATTCGCTCGTAGATGACTATGCGGTTAGAATAATTCGCATTGAGTGCCGGAAAGATGGTGGCTTACTGGAATCCCTAATGATAGTGTATTTTGGCGCCTCGGGCGCGCTCTGTTTCAAGTCGGACATGGCGTGTAATGCGCTCACTTTCGGTATAATGGATTTACTCTTCGCTGTTTTCGAAGATCTGACTGCAAGAACAGCCCGTGCTTTAAGAAGGACCCTGAGCTTCCTATATGGTTGTCCAACTCCAAGCGTTCACGCACGGAGATGCACTTCGCCACCCTCCACTAGCTCACTCCTCGATAATCCTTCCGGAGCTCGAGACGGTCGCATAAGCCTGTAAGACCATTTGCAGGCTGAGCGATAGCAACTACAGAATCAACCCTTTAAATGTGGTTGAATGTTTCACCATGCTGTCCCCAGCTGTGACACAGGCAACCTGCTTAATCAGAAGTTCACCAAGCTAGAATGACATGCGTACTACATGTAGTAACTCGTACGTTGAACTAGCACCCATTCAACTAGGTACATTTTAGCGTTATGATAAGATATAATATCCTGAAATCATGGTATTGATCAGAGGACCGTTGATAAACCTAAAAGGCCTCGGCGACTGCGATCAATGTAGGTATAGTACTTAAGTCAAGGGTAGCCATATCCAGGCTGTTTTCAGCCACTGGACAGATTGGAGTGTGCTCGAATTCGGATCTGGTCCTGTACTCAATAAAATGTGAACCTGCACCGGATCTTGCTCGAGAGCCATTGTTCTGAATTGAACCTCGGTTTGCTTTTCATGTTTTGATAGCTGATGTGACTTTATTGGTCGATGGCGGCTGGCCGCCGACTGGACCCAACAGAGTCCAGACTTCATGAAGCATCAGCAATGGTGGCCTCTGATAGGCTAGCGAGCATCGCGGTCTCGAAGCGATGCGCAAATGTCCATCGTCAGACGCTCCTTGTGCGCACCCTACCCTGACTTGCAACTGTCACAGCGTAGTCATCCTCCATCATCATCACGCAAAGCTTGAACTTTTGAGATACCCGCGCTTCTCTCGATCTCTCCACAGCTCCAACCGCAACGATGGCTCGTGGCAACCAACGCGAAAAGTCCCGCGAGGCGAACCTCAAGAAACAAGCCGCGCAGGTAAATATCGCCCCGGGCGGTTTGTGGTGGCAGCACTAAACTCCGGTGCAGAAGAAGGGAAATAATTTGAGCGGTACGGAAATGCAGCGTAGCAAGGAGGCTGCCGCGGAGATCATGAGGCAAAAGCAAGCTGCGGGTATGTCACATCTCTGCTCCAAGAGGTTCCTTCTGATCAAGCTTGCAGCCGAGGCCAAAAAGGCTGCCGCCGACAAGAAATGAGACGCCCCGTGTATGCAAGATTTGTATAGGGGCCTGCGACCGACCAACATAGCACAAGCGAACGAGGATACAACATAGCACAGGCGCACTCATTACGGGGGGCACGTTATCGTTTTTAGGATAGGATCAGCATGAGCGAATAGAGAACAATGGACGATGTAATTTGGTTTTCAAGAAGCTTCGTCTCTAATTTCCGAGCGCTTCTCATGCTCCAGTAGTGATTGCATCGACCAGAGAACATGATATCATGTTTGGTGCATTAAATCATATTGACTCAGAGTATGACCCAGTCATACAAAAGAAACCATTCGTTCGAGTCTACAAAACAAAACTCTAATCGACGCAATAATAGTCGACGCCCATCCTGAATCTATGAACCGGGGATTTCAATGAGACCACCCCCAAACCATCAAACCAAACCAACAAGCTGCCATGCCTTGTCTAGCGCAGACCAGCCATCTTGACGGGCATTGAACCAGCCATGCCACCTGTTGCGCCAACGCCCTGGGCCTTGCTGTCTGGGAAGCCCCAAGCAGAGCAGGTGACCATGCAGACGCAGCTTCCATCTTCTCCAACGTAACCCTTTCCAGGCGTGAGGTTTGCGTCGCCCTCAGCGGGAGCTTCTTCAGCGGGAGCTTCTTCAGCGGGAGCTTCTTCAGCGGGAGGCTCGGCCGGCGTCCCGCTCTCGGCAGGGGGGGGAGTAGCAGGAGGTGCTGCGCCCTCGCCTTGGTCTGTGTTCATGGCCTTCTCCTTGAAAATGGCCTGGGACTTCTCCTCGGTGGGGTTGATAGAGAAAACCATGCCGGCACTGCAGTGTGTGCCTGTCTTGCAGTAGAACCCTGTCCAAGTCAGCCGTTGCTCACATGTCAGGAAAATAGAGACTTACACAAAGGGTCGCCCGTGGTAACCTGCATGGCTACTTGAGGAGGAGGCACGATGGAGTTGTCGGGGTTGGGCTGGTGGCCCGTGTCCATGCCACCTGCAAGAGGGTCGCATGGCAGATCAAAGGTAGATTGAGTGACGGTGTGGTTCTGAGCAAGATACTCAAAGATGACCATGTCTCCGACGGGCACATTGTGCAGCGACTCTGGTTCGTAGACAAGGCCGTTGGGTCCGCCGACAGTAACGGTGTGAGTGGCGGCGGCCTCCGGGGGGTGAGCGACGGGCATCTCAGTAGGAGCCGCTCCAGGATGAGCCGTAGCAGTAACAGTCTCGGTGACTGTGACCTTGTCGTGGTACTTGACGGTCTCGTGGCCCTCGCCGCCCGGGTGCTGCCAAATGATGATGACTTCGGTTTGCTTGCCGACAGCCACCTCCTCAGGCCAGTGCCACTGATCCTCGTTCGAGACATGCTCGCCGACCGCGGGCTCGTGGGCGGGTTCATGGCCTGCCTCTGCGGGCAAGTGACCATCCCGAGCATTCAGTCCATAATCCCAAGCCCGGCGCGCGGGTGGGTAGGTGTTGCGGACCTTGGCTGCCATAGCAGCCGGGGCGATACCCAAAGCAAGTGCTGTGCCGAACTTCATGATGGCGTGAATAGATGGAAGATTGCGAGTTGATTTGGAAGCGACAGGAATGGGGTATCAGGAAATATCGACCCAGCGATGATTATGTGTAATGCGATTGAAGCGAGTGCCTGCTCGTACAAGTAGTTCGAAAGAAAGACGCGAGGTGAAAGAAGGCGCACAGGATTGAATACCGAGTGATGAAGAGCTGGTACAACAACCCAATTGACGACGGCACGCAGAATGCTTATAATACCGTTCTGGACATGGCTGGTCAGGGTTGGAGTGTCGCTCGTCCCCAACTTGGCGAAGGCTGAGTAGCTCTCCCTTGAAACCGGGCCGCGACCATACCTTCTGGGCGCTCGTGCAATAATACACGGTTCGACTGTCATCCGATGAGGTCGGCAAGTTTTCAGTGGCCGTGTGTTTTCAGAAATGTCGTGGTGTTTCTATTTGCGAGGGGTTCGTTGTGACAGATGCGTCTCGGGCGCATGTCTCATGTTGTCGCTGGCGCCACCAGCCGAACGTGCGAGACCGCCACTGATATAACCCAACTATACCGTGTGTGGCGCCGCAAGGCTTTGTCGGGGCCAACAGCAGCTCTTGATGCCGTCTCCTGGGGTTTGAGTGTTTTCTTGGCTTTTCGGTATCCGTAGAACCGTACACGTATTGCTACGTCTAATACCGATCCGAGATTGGTGGTCAATCCTCGCCAGGCTCGCCTTCAGGTGAAACCCACCTGCGACAAGGCTAGCCTAGATCCGTGCATATGGACCTGTGCTATCACTGCGGGGGCTGGTTTGGCAATTTTCCTAGTACGTAGTAGCTGAATGACAGTTATCAGTGGCATTTTCATGATCGTGGAAGCGGTTTGTCATACCTACACTGCCAGGAGCATGCTACGGTCGATGTCGGGTCCTCATCTTCCAGCCTTTTTTGTACGTAGCTGATCCATGTCGGGCCTCGGCCCTTGATAGACTTGCCAAATCCAGCGAATATCCGCAATCTTATTATTGCATGCGCTGGCTGCTTAAGGCTTTTTCTGTGCTTGCTGCTGGCCTTCAAACAGGCCAGTGTAGTACCCAGCGTAATACCAAGCCATCATCAGCTTCTTGAGACTCTCGTCTTGGACTACGAGTTGATCTTTACGTTAGCGGATCTATCCAAACAATCCAAAAATGGACCAAGATTGCCCACCTGAGCCTAGGAGTACCTCGGGCGGAGAGGGTCCTGGAGATGTTTGCTGCTGCCCAATTGCATTCTGCGGACGTGGTTCGTCGATAACACCGGTCTCTGATAATTGATCAGAGGACTTGTTGGGATCCTCAAATTGACCTTCGGACACATTTTCTCTTCTGGCAGCACTTCGAGTGGTTGTCAGCGCCAGTGTCTTCACACTGAATGACCACAAAAACGTACCTCTCCTCAACCACTTTCTCAAGGTCCTGGAGGCTGCCGCCCTTGGCGTGAATGCTGTGATATCTCTGGAAAAAATATCAGATCGTTCCAAAAATTGGAAAGACACGCATTGTACCTTGTACTCATCAAGAGCTGAATTCCAAGAGTCAATCAGTGCCGAATCATCCCAGACCTCTTCATGAGAAAGGTCCGTCTCGCCCTTGACCATTCTGTATGATTGGCGCACTGCGATACTTGGCTCTTTTCCCAAATTCGAGAAATCTCCAGGTCAAATGAGTGTAAGTTAGATGTGTTCGTGGAACGATTCAAAGTATCAGCGTAATATTAGAGCCATCTTCTTCAAAGACTTGGTCCTCGCCTGGTGCTGCCAGCTGGGGAGCTACTGGGCTAGCTTGCGAGATGCCAGCCCCACTTCCTGATACCGATAAGCCCGATATGGATCACCGCTTGGCAGAATTATTTTTTGGAACCTCAGCCTTCATGATTGAGTTTGCGAACATCGTCTCTCTCTTTGATCAGTTACACAATCTTTCACGATGGCCCGCGAATTAAGATCCAGAAAAGGCAAGCCTGTCACAATTGCTAGTCTAGCTCGTACTAATGTTTTGACAGCCGTCTCCGAGACCAAGAATGGGGACGCAAAGACAACGGTGGTCGAGAAGCAGGCTGTGAAGGGTAAACGCAAGGGTAAGCCACCAACCCAGCCATGCAGCTGTGATGAATATTGACATGTGGCAGCGCCAGCTGCTGATGCCGAGTCTCCTGTCCCCAAGAAAATTCAAAAGTCGACAAAGAAAACAGCCGGAAAGGTCAACGCGACAGAAGCTGAAGTTGAAGTCGAAAAGACCACGAAAAAGTCGAAACCCGCCGCAGATGATGAGATCGATGTGCCATCCGACTCCGATTCAGACGGAGAGGTCGAGGTCGAGACACAGGCCCTCGTCAAGCAGGTTGACCCTGAAGAGGAGGAAGAAACACCCGAGGGCGACGTCGTGTACAAGACTGGCCAGCCGGTAGGCGTAATCCCCGATGTCGCTCAAGCTGTCGAGAAGGCTGCCAAGGCCACTTCGAGCGGCGATGCCGGTGTTATCTACATCGGCCGCATTCCTCATGGTTTCTACGAACATGAAATGAAGCAGTACTTCTCACAATTTGGCGCCATCAACAAACTCCGCTTGTCGCGCAACAAGAAGACCGGCGCCAGCAAACACTTTGCCTTCATTGAGTTTGCTGAGTCCAGCACGGCAGACATTGTTGCCAAGACGATGAACAACTACCTCCTGTTTGGCCACATTCTGAAGTGCCATGTGATCCCCAAGGAGAAGGTTCATGCTCAACTGTTCAAGGACGCCAACAGGAGATTCAAGAAAGTGCCGTGGAACAAGATGGAGGGAAAGAAGCTCGAGAAGCCCCTGGCCGAGGCTACATGGGAAAAGCGCGTTTCCAAAGAACAGAAGAAGCGGGCCAAGCAGTCTGCGAAGCTCCAGGAGCTGGGATATGGTTTCGAGGCACCAGAAATCAAGGCCATTCCTGCACCAGCAGAGCCGGTCGAAGAAGTGGCCAAGATCCAGGCACCGGAAGGAGAGACCGCAGTTGTGACGGAGGTAATCACGGAGACTCCGACTGAGACAACGGTTGAGACCAAGTCTATATCTGCACCCAAGGCCAAGGGCAAGAAAACAAGGAAAGCGAAGGCTTGAAATAGGTCTATATAGTCGGCGTAATGAGTTCAGTATTTACGTATTGATGTCAAAAGCTTCAATTCCCTCGCGAACAGCAGGTTTCTAAAATAAAATGTGTACGCTCATAAGCGAACCCGCGACATCCATAACATGTGAACGTGCGGGATTATGAAAGGCGCTTGAAATTCTCTACTTCGCGACAGATCGTGAATAAGTCATGGGTAAAGCGATCTTGTTCAATAACGTGACGGCGAAGATGATTGTAAGATGAAGAACCAAAATCCAGAAAGGCAGAAAAGCGCAAGTTTTAGTCGTGCGCTGGTAGCGTGGCGTCGAACTCCACTATACCATTGTCACGGTGTGGCTGGAGCGTCGCGTGGCTTCCGCTTGCATCACCAATTGTTGCCCTCCTGCGCGACGCAGTGGACAGTTTGATTTTAACGACGAACAACTCGCGGACACCATTGAGTTTGTTACGCTTCAGCAGGCCCAATGTAGCTCTTTATATCTCTTGGTCAAACGTCGACATGTCATCAAATACAGCCAATACGGACCCGATGCAGGGTGCTAATTCAAGTAAGCAGTGCCTGTTCCAGACATCTTTGTCAAGCATTAACTAATATCGGTGGATACTCAGCGCAAAAGAAGAAGAGCAACAAGAAGAAGAAAAATGCGAGCAAGAAACAGGACACGGAACAGCCACTGAATGACGATTCGAAAAGAGAAGACGAAGATGAAGAACTCGCGACTCCTTCACAGCTTGTAGGTAGCGGGCACCTTAGTCACAGACACGACATTAATGCCAGTCACCAGGGCAACACTTCAAACAACGACACCGAACAGATTCCCCAGGAAAATGATCCTGAAGAACCAGCTTCGACAAATGGATTGGCGGCGGGGCCAGCGGAGAATGACACCAACACTGCTGCGAAAGTCGAAGCGATGAGCCACGAGCGAGAGACACTACGGCAGGAAGTAGAACAAATGCGCAAACAACTCGAGAGCATGCAAGAGAGCCACGCATCCGAAGTCACCCGCCTCCAATCAGAGCTTGAAGAAAGCAACGCGGCGAAAGAGTCAGCTGAGGAGGAGTACCAAAATCTATTGGGGAGAGTGAATCAAATCAAGCAGACTTTGAGCGACAGGTTAAAACGAGACAAGGCTGAGCTCGAGGAAGCGAAGGAACGCGTTGAGGAGCTGGAGGCGCAGAACGAAGAACTGAGAGGCTCGGCAGAATCTTCAAGTGAAGATGTGACCAAGCTCAAGGAGGAGCTGCACGATGCGCAACGAGAACTGTCGACGTTGAGAAGCCGCAACAACCTTTCAGCGACCAACTGGCAGAAGGAGCGGGACGACATGCAAAGGGCGGTGCAGAATCTCAAGGAAGAGCTGGAGACAACATCGAACGCCATGGGCGAGTGGGAAGTCATTGCGATGGAGGAACGATCCTTGAAAGAGAGTCTCGAGGATAAGGTCTCCGACTTGGAGGAGCAAATGGCTGCGCTGCGGGAAGGCTACGAGGCAGCAGCGCAAGAGCGGGACAGCAACACGACTTTGGTCGATAATCTCCAAGACGCCCTCCGCGAGATACAAGAAGCCAGGAAAAAAGAACTTCGCGAAATGGTGGAGTCAACAGATCAGCAGGTGGAGACCCACAAGAAGCGTGCGCAGGAAGCTGAAGCCCGTGCCAGCGAAGCTGAGAAGGACAAGGCCAGCTTGACGGCCGAACTCGAGCGGACTGCGCCGTTCGAGAAGGAGGTTAAGGAGAAGAACCTCCTCATCGGCAAGCTCAGGCATGAAGCTATCGTTTTGAACGATCACCTGACCAAAGCGCTACGATACCTCAAGAAGACGAAACCGGAAGACAATGTTGACCGGTTAGTGTAATGACATCCACCTAACCGTCCATCAAACTTACTCATATTCTAGGCAAATCATCACCAACCACCTTCTTCAGTTCTTGACTCTGGATCGTGGAGACGTGAAACGCTTTCAGGTCCTTCAGGTCATGGCTGGTTATCTAAACTGGACCGACGAACAACGCGAGCAAGCTGGCCTTGCGCGACCAGGCACATCAAGCAATAGTCTACGCCTTCCGGTATCTCCATTTCATCGCACACCAAGTTCTCCGTCACTCAACGCAGACGTGTTCTCTGAACCCTCTCCTTCTGGCGGCAAGGACAAGGAATCCTTGGCTGAGTTATGGGCTGGCTTCCTCGAGCGCAGTGCGCAGGAAGGCACTGGAGAGGACCCCAAGGCTCGGAAAGACAGCACGAGCAGCAGTGTAGCCACAGGCTTGACAGCGGAAAAGGAGCAGTCGAAGCCTTAGTGGAGGCCAACCACTCGCCCATTGAAACGGAGCTCGCTGCTCGACTTGCGATACTTTGCATCATAGAGAGGCATTATTGGTTTTCTTTACATAGCATTAAGCAGAATCAATTTCCGGGCACGTGTAGCTTGGTCTGGTTATAATATCAGGCCTAATTGGCTAGCTCTGTTGCATTAAACCCTGAAAGGACACGGGCTCTACTCTTCCTTCTTGGTCTCAAGAGGCTGCAGCACGCTCTGTGCGTACGTCTCGGCGTCTCGGCTGATGTCCTCGATCTTGATGCGGTTACTCAGTGCGTCGTTAACACCCTCGACGACTTCCCTCTCCTCCATGACCTCTCCCATCAAGCGCACTTCATGAGCCCAGTAGTGCTGCACCCGGGTACGCAGTTCATCATCCCGTACCGTGGTGTTTCTGATGATTCCCAAGGCGTTCAGTTTGCCTCTAGCGGCACCGAGTGCCCGGTTTGCCGTTTCCACGCGCTCAGCTGGGCTTGGGGGCGTGCCGAATGCGCGGTTGGTGGACGACAGGAATAGAACGTAAGCGAGACCGGCATTTAGCACGGCCAGTGCAGCGTAGCGGTAGGTACGCATGTCCCAGAAGAACATGTCGAGCTGGTGCAACCTGAGGGCGCGCGAGTTGACCTGATAGTTGTACGAGCTGACGAGGTACACCTCGACAGCACCCAGGATGCCTGACGCAATCGTCGCATAGGTTCGCCACTGGGCGCCATGCCGGCCTGTCAGAGTCGGGCTCGTGACCGCCGCGATGGCCACCGTATTCACAATGTGTGGCCAGATTATCGCGGGGATGGCATAGTAGAAGTAGCTCCGGGGCTCATCAGAGTTGCAAAAGGGGCATTCAGAAAGAACGTCGGGCCCAAACTGCAGGTATAGGAGTCGAGACTCCAGGTTGATAAACTTGGACCTGAGCACATGATCGGCTGCTGTCAGCGTCTCATTTGGTCGGCTCGACGCGATACGTGTGAACAGGACGTCGACCGGTATCTGGAGTCTCGATTCGGTCTTGGAGAATACATTTTCGGGGGCGAAATAAGGGATAGTCTTGGCAAGATAGAGAATCGTTAAAGAGGCGAGAAGCGTTAAGGCGACGGAGACGTTGACGGGAATAGACTGTATGGGTAGGGCGCGGTTCCTCGAGTTCTTGGAGGCGCGGTAGAATGCAAGCAGCTTGGGTACAAGTATAGGCCCGACAAGGAGAAGAAGCGATCGTATGCTATGGGAAGAAATTAGTTTGCTGCTGTAACATTCTGCGCTCTGTTCAACTCACGAATCCCATGGGATAGCCATCTTGACTGTTGATGTGTATCAGCAAGAAATCACCGGTATGTCAAGGGTGACATGGCATCAGGTTCACAGAATGACATGTGGCGCCAAGGCGTCTATTGTCGCGGTGATAATTGATGTGGGCCAGTCCTGCCAGTTTTGGTCGTGGGGTCACCTCAGCCATCAAAACCGTAGGAGGTCTCGAAATTTCTTTTCTCTTTCCTTTTCCTCATCACAACGCCCTCCATCGCGCACCTTGTTCGCACATGACACCGACTTCTTCTTTTCTATTGCAACCTTAGACAGCAGCATCTATACACACTCACGTTGTACAGTATCCGTCTACTTCGCCGTGATCGAACTGGCGCTTTCGAAGCTTTGGTGATCTTCATTCCGTGGTCACCAGAGTCAAAAAGCCTGCCTAGAGCAATCCCCAAATACCCTGCCAAGGGTTATTCTCCGTCGTGTTACAAAGTCCCAGCTTCGGCAATGAGGAACTTTGCGTCAATTTTTTCTAAGAGATACATTTTCACACGCCAATGACACTTATGATATAATAGTTGATCGTGTTTCGGGCTACCGGGCCTTTTTACAGCTCCTTCTTCTCGTTCGCTTCCACCTTGGACTTCAAAGGTTCCTCCTTGCGCTTGGAGCCGGCAAACAACAGTCCATATATCCCCGTGATCAGATCGCTTAGGAGGGCAATCATGCCCGCACAAGCGAGTTGCCACGATGCGACACTGACGCTTCCCAATGGTGCCCGAGGGAAGGAAATGATCCATTCCGCGTAGTAAGGAAACCAACCGTGCGGCACCCAGAACATGGGCTCTTTGGCGTACCAGAAGGGCACAATGTATTGGGGTGCCTTCGTGAGCAGCATGCGGACGCCGGTAAGGTATCGGTCGAAGCTCGAGCGTGATGCTTCCATAGACTTTTCTGCACAAAATGTTAGCATCCGATCTCCCCGTGAAAGTGAGAGCTGCTGCGCACTGGTAGCTTCGAGCTGCTCAAGGAGCTTGTCGTGTTGTCGACGCAGTTTGGCCCATTTCGCGAACTGGTCCTGGCTACTGGTCGCGTTGAGCTCCGATCGCACTTTGAGGTATTCGGCCTGTAGCTGTCGCTGCTTCGCCGCGGCTTGTGACGTCGAGATGGGGAGTTGGTTGACCGCAGTCCAAAGCTGTGGCCTGTCAGCGGGTTTCTACAAAGGCACAGCATGGTACGTACGAAGTCGTTGATGGCTGCAGCGCCGAGAGCATTGACTAGACGCGCAGTGACCTCGACGAGGAATACAATGACCAGAACCGACGGCATCGTGGTACGCCGCAAGTTTTTGACGATAGTTGTGATTGAGAAGCAAGACCACGCGTGCTTTGCGGTAGACAGATTTGTGGGCGATGTCATCACCCCTCCAAATCCACTTCTCTGGTAAATTTCCACCGCGTTCTGGTACATATGCCTTACCCTGAACGTCACATCAGCTCGCCATGCACAACACACAATGTCCAGAGCGCTTGACCAAGGCATCAAGGAGGCCTTGAAAAATAGCGATCATAAGGCAGTTTATGCCTCTATTTCAGGCTTGCTCCAGCAAACCCACACAACCCTTTTGGAAATAGAATTGCTCGGGCAGTCCTACCCGCTCGACACTGTGTCAAACTTCATCCAGGAACAAAATGCAGTTGCTGTACCAAAACTACGACTGGTGCAAGCTTTCATTGTTGCTCGTCAGATCCTACAAAGGCTTCAAGACGATGCATACCGAGTGCCGCAGGAAATCCTGCCAGCCACGGCCGTGCTGATGCTCATGGATCCAGAGCACCTCACAGCAGCCAATGTACGCAAGCGCACTCTGCTCAGCGCAGACGCCGTGGGTACCGAAGTCATACGGCGCTTGAGCCAGGAGAAGTACTTCATTGACAGTCTGCTTACGAGTCGGTTGCATCGCCACACGAAGTCGCCAACGTTATGGAGCCACCGCCGCTGGTTGATGGGGCAGTTTGCGCAGCATGGGCAGCCCGTCGACGCGGTGCAGGACATTACAAACGTCGTGTACGTGTCAGCAGAGAGGCACCCTCGGAACTACTACGCGTGGTGCCACGCTCGCCAACTAATCGACGCGAGTCCGATGCCACTGCGGATTTGCTCAGGGCTCGTTGATCCTACCATGAAGTGGTGTTTCCGTCACCACGACGACGTCTCAGGGTGGATGTTTCTCCTTTGGCTGCTGGAGAAAGACAGCGAACATTGTACAGATGTCTTTGATGAGACTGTGAAGCTGGCACGCTCATTTCATTGGCGGAATGAGTCAATCTTGTACTTTCTCCGCAACCTGGTGTTGTCTCGGGCATCGAAGGGTCGTTTGACCGGGCAATTTCATGAAGCCTTGGTCGGACTACAAGACGGAGCGACTGCAAATGACAGCTGCTTGCTGAAAATAACATCACAGTGGGTCGATCAATGGTCTCAATGAGGCTCGGACGACTCATCGGCCAACAGTGAGCATGGAACTACGTACCTTCTCTCGCCCTTCGTATCTTCAGCAACACATTCCATACGCAATTGCTGACATCCCTCCATTCGAGCCAAGAGATTGCTTTGAGACATTTCGGAGTCTTTCGCGTGGCCATGCGGTGTCTTGTCACTAGTGACTACGGACTTGGACGTTGATGCTGGTCCTAGAACCTGGCTTTCATCCTTTAGGAAAGCCATGCCAAAACACAGGAATTGAAACATGATAACTATGATCATCGATGTGGAGAGATGGCGTGTCACCTGACTCCCTGAGCACGACAAAATAGGACTTTTGTTAGTGAAGCGATCTATGTTGGGCCCTTCGTCCGCCTTTTGATTGTGTTCGTAAATAAAAAACTGAAACCCGCCATCGTCAACAGATATGTAAGATTCAACATTAAAAATTCAAGGTAAAGTTCAAAAGCTAGTCAGCGAGAGTATGAAAGTCTCGCATTGCCTTTTCCATGCTTGCATTGCGGCAGTCTCCAAGGTATCTACCTTATCTTTCCACTGCCAGTACAGTACAGCAACTCCTGCCGATCACAATTGTCGTACAAGCGCCAAGTAGCTCGCACTTGGCACACCATTAAATACAGTACGTAGTACTTGGCCGGCCTGCAGAACGACGTAAGATGCTATCAAACTACAGTACATATAGATCTGTTTGAAATAGAGGATCTGCTACCATATTGCCATGCAATTCCGCGCCCCTGTTATTAGCCGGAAAGGCACACTATTGAAATTATCGTACGTATACTTACATTGATGGTTGTCTTTCGGATCCTCGCAGTTGAAACTTCGATCGGTAGCCTGCACGAGAACCCTGTATCAGGACATGGAGTAGGTGGAGTCACGAGATCGGACCCCTGTTCCTGTCTTGACTCTCAACTCTTGACTCTCACTCAAGACGACGAGGATAGCAGTCACACCAAAGAATGGACCTCTTTTGCGCCCTTGATCGCTGTATGAATACTGATTCTTTGTCACGACTCACCATGGAGACCTCCTCTGCCGGATCTGTGTACTTTGCGAGACCGCATGCACAACCCGACGTCTTAAATCGGAATATGCTGTTCCACCTGCGGCCTGTCAGTGACCAGTGACCAAGCCAAGGCCGACGACAAAGTGGTAGGCTCGTGCGCAGATGATGGACCAATGACCGTTGTTTGCCCAGACGAAAACTGGAGCCTTGCAGCGACATGACTTACTGTAAACGCCGCCAGGCGACATCGGGAAACGGCCACAACCTCCAATACTTGTCGTTAATGTCCCCGGTGAAAGTATCTAATTGGACGATCTCATTTGTCTGATTCCAACACAGAGATGCGGGCCGGGGCTAATAATTTAGTGGATAGGGGTACGGAGTGAACATTCCAGGACAATAGCTCTGTCTAACTACGGGCCTCGAGGTCGTGACGGGCACGCACGCTTGAGTACAAGCCCCATTTTTCAATGTGTACTTAGTTCGGTGTAATTACGTAGTAGTACTCAGGAACAATGAAGCGAACAAAATGTGGTAGTTGGTCTTCACAAGGTTTCATCAGGGACGTCTAACGTGCCATTGCAGCACCGCGTGTTGTCGAGACGTCGGTGGACATGATGGCCCTAGCGTTCTCTGTTGTTGCATCCAGTCACTTGAACTTCCAAAACTTGCCCAGCACGCCACAGAGACGTTGCGGAGAGGACCCAGCGGCTTTGCGAGCAGTTTGAGAGCAGCCAAAGGCGCAAAACTGCTGGGTGGTAATGATATTGGCAATTCGCTGATGATGATCCCCGGTGCTGATGGTAATTTGGCAAAGCGCGCCAAGCCAGCCCGCAGTGGACGATCCCAGCCAGCCTAGCAGGGTGTCGAGATAATTGATCAGCAGCAGATAGGCGCTAGACGCGACCCTAGAGCCTAGAGCGACTGATCCCCGTCTGCCCTCCAACCGTACCTCAACTCCTCCGCATTGCCACCACCACGGTCCACGACCCTCCAACTCTCCCTCATCTTGAGACCGCACCCTTCACCTACCTAATTCAGTCTCTCTTTCCCCTCTTCTTACTCAAGCTGTTGTAACTACAACTGCTACATTGTGTTTTGTCTTTGTTATTCTGCTTTACACTCGTCTCTGCGCTACGTCTTTCCGTCCTTTGTTTTCGCGATCCTGGTCATCATACGAGCATTGCCTTCGAGTCGCCACTTGCACAGTCTTGCGACCTTCCAATTCCGAATCAGCATGCCCTCCTAATAATTAATAACTCAGACAATCAATCGACCGCGCGTCTCGCGCCTCGCTCCCGCCTCAACACTCGAACCAGTCCGCCAGACCAGAAGCCCCAAGACTTTGCTGGTCAGAGTACTGTGGCTCGGGATCGATTTCTGGGCTCGCATCATGCGCTCTCTGCAATTGCTGTCCGCGGTATTGTGCGCATCTTTTGTCCAGGCTTTCTACCCATACCAACCGCCATGGCTGGAAGAATTGCGAGAGAAGAGGGCACTATCCTCGAGGGCCGAGGACGTTGACTCGGCC